TGCTTCAACCAACAGGATTTATAAAGGCAAAAACGACAAGGACGGGAGGGGGGATACATGGTTACTGGGGTCACCCTAATCTAAACTAATATCAATTAGTGAAACTAATATCAATTATCATCTTAACAATACCAGTTACACTCTTAACAGTTTCAGTTGTGATCTTGACATTAATCCAGGTGTTGGCCTGAATCATTTGTAGGATATAGACAAATTACAACCGTATCGTTAACCCAGGTGCAGCCTATCTGTTTTTAAGCTTGAGCGATCATGCTAGGGGTTTCTGTGCTTTGCCAAGTGTGATGTAGGGGACTGCTGTTGTCTAATGTTTAGATTGTAGTTTCAGACCAGAATTTCGCAGTGCGGGGCGGGGGAGGGGCTTCTTTCTCAAGATGGAGTCATGGATGCTCTAAAATTGACTCCCTACTGTCAAGGTGCTACTTCAGTATTTTTACTGATCAGCATATGAGAAGCATTTTCCAGATCATTAAATAACACTTTCAGTGATTGTATAGTATTTTATTATTTTAGTACAGTATGCTTTTTGTCAGCTTTATTGTATAATTTACATAATCAACCTATTTTTTTTTCCTTTGGGCGTCAGAATGACAAGGAAAGAGTGCCCATCCTCTGGTTCACTTCCTAAATGCCTGTAGCAGCTGGGTGTTAGCTAGCACAAAGCCAGAGCCTGGCCACCGGGGTAGGTGTTGCAGGGTAGGTTAGCCGCTGCCAGGAATGCTGCCATGCATGTCAAAGTGCTGGTTGGGTCCCCTGCTCTGCTTCCAGTCCAGCTTCCTGCTAATGCTTCCTGGGAGGCAGGAATGAAGGCTGAAGTGCTTAGATCCCTCCCCCCCATGCAGGAGTCCCCGGTGGAGTTCTGGGCTCCTCGTTGGTTGGCTTCACCCTAACTCTTGTGAGCAATGGGGGAGTGAACCAATAGATAGAAGATTTCTTTCTCACTCTTGCTCTACCTTTCAAATAAATAAATAAACAGTTCTTTAGAAAGAGGCTGGGGAGCCCCACAATTAAGATTTAGACTTTTTCTGTTAATCTCTAAAAGTTTCTGCATGTTCCTATGCCATTGGTCCCCTTGTTCTAACCCCTGTACCCTGACAGCCGTTGGTTCCCTTGTTCTAACCCCTGTCCCTGACAGCCATTGGTCCCCTTGTTCTAACCCCTGTACCCTGACAGCCATTGGTCCCCTTGTTCTAACCCCTGTCCCTGACAGCCATTGGTCCCCTTGTTCTAACCCCTGTACCCTGACAGCCATTGGTCCCCTTGTTCTAACCCCTGTCCCTGACAGCCATTGGTCCCCTTGTTCTAACCCCTGTCCCTGACAGCCATTGGTCCCCTTGTTCTAACCCCTGTACCCTGAGAGCCATTGGTCCCCTTGTTCTAACCCCTGTACCCTGACAGCCATTGGTCCCCTTGTTCTAACCCCTGTACCCTGACAGCCATTGGTCCCCTTGTTCTAACCCTATGTCCCTGTGACATTGGCCCCCTTGCCCTAATCCTGACAACCATCGGTCTGCTTTCTAGCACCATAATTTCACCTTTTTAAAAGAATTCTACATAAATGAAGTCATATAGGGTGCAGTCACCTGTGTCTGGCTTCTTTCACTTAGCATATTGCTTTTAAGATTCATCCATGCTGTTGCCAGCCACTTGGCAGTTCATTTCACTTTATTGCTGTGTTGAATTCCATTGTTTGAACATGATACAGTTTGTTTATCCACTTGCCCACTTGATGAACATTTGGGTACTTTACAGTTTGGGGCTGTTATAAATAGAAGTGATATGGATATTCACATTGAACTCTTACTGTGGATGCATACATTTCTCTTAAGCAATACCTAGGATGGAGCCAGCGCTGTGGTGCAGCAGGTTAAAGACCCTGCCTGAAGCACCTGCATCCCGTAAGGGTGCGGGTTCTAGTCCCGGCTGCTCCACTTCTGATCCAGCTCTCTGCTATGGCCTGGGAAAGCAGTGGAAAATGGCCCAAGTGCTTAGGCCCCTGCACCCATGTGGGAGACCTGGAAGAAGCTTCTGGTTCTTGACTTTGGATTGGCTCAGCTCTGGCTGTTGTGGCCATTTGGGGAGTTAACCAATGGCTGGAAGACCTCTCTCTGTCTCTACCTCTCTCTCTAATGTTTTCAAATAAATAAAAATAAATCTTTAAGGAAAATAAAACAAAAACCTAGGAGAGCAATTGCTGAGTCATGGTAACTGTGTGTTTAACATCATAAGAAACTGTCTTCATGTTTTGGCTATTCTAGGTTTCTTGCTTTTCCATGTAAATGTTAGAGTCGGCTTGTCAATTTTTACAATAAATCAGCTACAATTTAGTTGGGATTGCATTAGATTTATATATCATGTTGTGGAGATTTGACATCTTAACAGTCCTGAATCTTTGGATACGTTAGTGAGGTGGACCAGTGTCTCTCCATTAAATAATTTCCCTCAGCAGTGTTTTGTAGTTTTGCCTATACCAATCTGACCCCGTTTTAGTTAAATTCATCCTTTGGCATTTTAAAGTTTTGATGTGACTATAAAAACATGTCAGTTTCTAAAGAATTTTGATGTCCAGTTTGTTGAGTAGATAGAAAGTATAACTGATTTTTCTGACTTTTGTATATTGACTTAGAGACCTTGTATCCCGCAGTCTTACTAAACTTACATATTAATTCTTGTTTCTTTAGATACTTTAGGATTTTATACATGTACAAAGATGATTAAGTTGTCTGCGAATGATAAAGTTTTACCTTTTCCTTCCCAACTTGCATTCCTTTTTGTTTCTTTTTCTTTCCTCTTTACACGGATTAGGACTTAGAGGACAGTGTTGATCATGTTGGAACTGACTATCCTTGCCTTGTTCACCATTAAATATGATGTTGGCTGTAGGTTGGTGTTTATTTTTAAAGGTTTATTTATTTGAAAGAGTTAGAGAGAGAAAGAGAGAGAGAGGAGAGAGGAAAGAGAGATCCTCTATCTGTTTGTTTACTCCCCAGATGACCACAACAGCCAGGGCTGGGCCAGGCAGAAGCCAGGAGCTCTTCCCAGTCTCCATGTGGGCATGGAGCCCACACCACTGCTGGGAACTGGATTGGAAGTGGAGCAGTTGGGACACGAACCAGTGCTCATATGGGATGCCAGCGACACAGATGTCAGCTTAACCTGCTGTGCCACAATGCTGTTCCCTGTAGTTGTTGTTTTTTTAAAGATTTATTTTTATTTGAAAGGCAGAATTTCAGAGAGAGATAGAGACAGAGAGTATCTTTCATCTGCTGATTCACTCCCCAAATGGCCACAGTGACTGGGGCTGAACCAGGCCACACCAGGAGCTTCTTCCGGGTCTCCCACATAAGTGCAGGGGCCTAAGCACTTGGGCCATCCTCCACTGCTTTCCCAGGAGCATTAGCAGGGAGCTGAATCATAAGTGAAGCAGCTGAGACTTGAATCAGTGCCTACATGGGATGTCAGTGCTGCAGGCTGGAGCTTTGACCTGCTGTGCCACAGTGCAGGCCCCTGTTGTTTTTTTTAGAGTGCTGTTCATAGATTCTCTTATCCTTTATTTATTTAAAAATTTTTGTTTATCTTCATTTTATATGGAAGGCATAGTGAGAGAGATAGAGCCAGACAGAGACAGAGACAGACAAAGAGAAGTCTTTCATCTACTGGTTTACTCTCAGATTGCCTGCAGCAGCTAGGGCTGAGCCAGATTGAAGCCAGGGGCCCTGAAGCCTGTCTGTCTCTCCTATGGGTACCAGCAACCCAAATACGTGAGCCATCATCTGCTGTCTTCTAAGATGTGCACCAGCAAGAAGCCGAATCAAAAACAGAGTAGCTGGGACTCAATCTGAGCTCTCCCTTGTAGGATGTGGGTGTTCCAAACAGCACACTACCTGCTGTACCAAATGCCCTAGGCATAGTCTTGTAAATAGGCCATTTACATGTGAAAAGAATGTGTATTTGGTGGTTGTTGGGTGCAGTGTTCTATAAATGTTCTTAGTTGTTTATCTGTTTTCTCTGTCATTGATTTCTGGCCTTTGTTTTTTTTTCTTCTAAGTTTTGTTTGGTTTTCTTTTTCTGGTTTCTTTTGATGGAAACTTTGCTTATTGATTTTAACATCTTTGTTCTTTTCTAAAGTAAGCATATACATTTTTCAGTAAATCACTTTGGGTAGTTTGGACATTTCAGTAGTATTCGAATTCATGAACATAGATTGCCTTTTCATTTTTTTCTATTCTGTTCAATTTCTTTCATCAGTGTTTTGTAATTTTCGTTGTAGAAATCTTTTACTTCCTTAGTTAAATTTACTCCTAGGTATTTTGTGTGTGTGTTGTGTGTGTGTGTGTATAGCTATTATGAATGGGATTGCTTTCATGACTTCTTTCTCAACAAGTTTTGTTGGTATATAAAATACTTTTAACTATTGTATGCTGATTTTGTATCCAACAACTTAATTTATTTATGAGTGCTAAAAGTCTTTTGGTGGAGCATTAAGTTTTTCTATGTTTAGAATCATATCATATGCAAACAGAGATAATTTGACTTTCTTTCTATTTGTATACTTTTTACTCTTTTTTTCTTGCTTCAGTGTTCTGGCTAAGACTTCCAGTCTATATTGAATAGCAGTGGTAAGAGTGGATGTCTTGTCTTGTTCCAGATATTAGAGGAATCACTTTCCACTGTTCTCCATTGATGTACCTTTTTCTCTAAGCATTGCCTTCAGTATATCCCACACATTATAATATGTTTTCTTTATTATTTTACTGAAATATTTTTCTCTTTCTCTTGTGGTTTCTCCTTTGACTCGTGGATTATTTAGAAGTGTGCAATTTCCAAATATTTGGGGATTTCCCGTTATGTTCTTGTTATTGGTTTCTAATTTAATTCTATGGTGGTCATAAAATGTGCTCTGTGTGATTTTAATTGTGCCATAACTTCACAAAGCTTTCGGGAACGTCAGGTCATCTGATTCAGTTTTCCTTCCTCTTCAGGTGAGAGATCAAGCCCAGCGCTGTTCACGAGTTCTCCTGGATATTGAAGCAGGCGCCCCTGTTCTCCTTATCCCAGAAAGCTCCAGATCAAATAATCTGATTGTGGCAAATTTGGGGAAGTTGAAAGTCAAGAACAAGTTTCTCTTTGCTGGTTTTCCAGGAACCTTTTCCTTACAGGATAAGGTGAGCAGTCCACAGCCATTCCCTTCCCAGCCCACCCAGTACGTGAACTGACTGAAAGCTCGTGTGATGTCTGCAGCTGCTGTTCCCGCTGCAGAGACTGTGGCTGGAAAGGTGTTTGTTTACATTTTATTGAAATTTCCCTTAGCCTTTTAAGTTAAGGTGGTGGAAATTATAATCCTTGCTAACTGCATATAGTAACTTGTTTTAGCAAACCAACAAATGGAACTGACCTTTTATCTCTTTATAATGCTTTCTGTATATAAAGTATTCTTTCTATAATAACAGCATTTTATATCATGTGACTTTTTTCAGAGGAATGATTTGTGATTTGGCCAGTAGTTTACTTGAAGACAATTAAAAACTTCATAATAAAATCTTTTTATTTATTTATTTGTTTTTTGACAGGCAGAGTGGACAGTGAGAGGGAGAGAGACAGAGAGAAAGGTCTTCCTTTGCTGTTGGTTCACCCTTCAGTGGCCGCTGCGGCTGGCGCATCGCGCTGATCCGAAGCCAGGAGCCAGGTGCTTCTCCTGGTCTCCCATGCGGGTACAGGGCCCAAGCACTTGGGCCATCCTCCACTGCCTTCCCGGGCCGCAGTAGAGAGCTGGCCTGGAAGAGGGGCAACCGGGACAGAATCCGGTGCCCTGACCGGGACTAGAACCTGGTGTGCCGGCGCCGCAGGCAGAGGATTAGCCTAGTGAGCTGCGGCGCCAGCCTCATAATAAAATTTTATACTTGTATTGCTTTATAACTTTAAATTACTTTGGCACTAATTTCTTACAACATTTAAAGGTAATTAGGATGAGCATTGTTGTAATTTTATGTTACATTTGAGAAGACACTTAGAGACTCTTGGAGGATAAACAGTTAAAATGGAAACACCCAGTAAACCACGGACTCTTACCTCTGGGGAGCTGGGAGCCAGTCTTGTCAGTCCCCTTGCACCTTTTTTCATCTGAGGAGACAGTGATGTTTCTGGAACTAGAGATGAGGGCTTGTCGTGCTTGGTGTGTGTTTTCATCATTCCTTGCTGGTTTCCACAGCAGCTTTCCAGTCTGTGTGTTTATCCAGCACAAGTTCACTTTGGCGTGCCAGGAAAGCACTTACTGAAATTCCCATCTGGTTAGGTCTGTTTTCAGTCAAGCAGCTGATAGCAGAAGGATGGAGAGAGCCTTTGAAAAGATGCGGATAACACTTGAAGACCTTGCAACTATCAAAAATAGCAATACAGATCTGATATGTGTTGAATGCTTATTATACACCAGTTTGTGCTAAATTCTTTTTTTTTTTTTTAAGATTTATTTTATTTATTTGAAAGAGTTAGAGAGAGAGGTAGAGACAGAGAGACAGGTCTTCATCCGCTGGTTCACTCTGCAGATGGCTGCAACGGCTGGAGCTGCGCCTGAAGCCAGGAGCCAGGAGCTTCCTCTGGGTCTCCCATGTGGGTGCAGGGGCCCAAGCACTTGGGCCATCTTCTACTGCTTTCCCAGGCCATAGCAGAAAGCTGGGTCAGAAGCAGAGCAGCCAGGACTAGAACCAGCGCCCATATGGGATGCCGGCGCTTCAGGCCAGGGCTTTAATCCGCTACACCATAGCACCGGCACGGCCCTGTGTTAAATTCTTTACATATAAAAGGAGACCATTTCCTGTACTCATAACACAGCTGACACCAAATATGTAGGTTTTTTCCCCACACCAGTCTTATTCTGCCAATGCTTCCCATACCAACAGGGTGTCCTAGAGTTTAATTCTAGTGCTACCTCCCTGGAGTTAGCAGTAGGTTAGGGGCTCAGACCCACAGGAGTGCCCAGATATCCACCTCAAGGCTGGCTCTTGGGTATTTCTCACCAACCTGATGTAAACTAGGGGTTCCTGGTAAGAGTCTACACCTCCGAGCTGGGATTAGGTTTATTTGAGAAAAATAAACTGCCGAAGGTAATTCCTGGATTATGTATCACCCTCACCAGAGTAGCTGTAGCTCTGTTAGAGCAGTGGTTGATTAACGTGGATGAAAGAACTGCAAGGGTTACTACAGAAAATAAGTCTGAACGGGTGTTGTTAATGTCTCTCGGTGTTGGAAGACAGGAATTGAAATTTGGTGTCTAGAGTCGTAGTCCTTACCGGGACTCTGCCAAGGACCTACCTCAGTGAGGCTCTGGGAATAGTAGGGGACTGCAGTATTTGCTGTCAGTCCTAATCTCGGTGTTCTTGTTCTTTCAGATTACTGCCTGTGTGTCTGTCTCTTTTTCTCAGTTGTCCGTTGACTCATTGTCATTAACTGAAACGTCCTGAACTGGCAGTATTTGAGCAGTGGTGGGTACAGGAAGATAGTGTGTGAGCTGTATGAGCTGTGTTCATGCTGTGTTCATGCCTCAAGACCCAGAGTGGAGGTGTTGCGCCAAAGGGCCAGAGGTCAGGTCTCTGTGTGTCCTCTCACTGACAGGTGAACTGGACTTAATGGTCCCTGGAAGCAGCAGAGAGTAAGACCCAAGCAGCAGTGTGTAGCCTAGCGAAAGGAAGAGCATAGGGCTGTCCTCGACACAGCTGCTGACTGAGAAGGTGCACCGGCTCCTCGTGCTGGGGAAGCCTTGCCAGTGCTCACGTGCTCTCCTGTTGGAATAATGAGCCTTTGTGATAAATCTTTATTTTGAGGCCAAACTAGATTTTTCAGGAAGAAGTCAGTTAAAGCCAGAAGGTGTGATCAGGTTTAATAATACCAGTTTTTACTCCTGTTTCCTAAAAAGGTAATGGACTGATTTCCAGTATTAGAGATATCTATATATGGAATACAAGCAGACTCTAGGGTTAGCCTCTGAAGAATTGCCAGAATCCTTCAGGACAGTTTTGCAAAAGTGTTTCTATTTTGTTAAGCCAAGTAGTAGCACATAGTTTGTAGCATTGTAATGAAATGGTTTCCCTGTATTTGTTTTTGAGGATTTGATTTTAAGTGGCATTGCATACAAGGATTGTTTTCTCTTCAAGGTATCACATGCTTTTTTGCCTCCTCATTATTCCGAAAAACCTTATGGTATTCAGCAGTCAATTCACATTCATATGCTTAGAAATAAAATTAAAATATTTCATTACTTGGGAAAGCCTTCTTATCAGTTATTCCCCCTATTTATAGAGAAGTCCTTCTTATGGGCCTGATAAAGAAAATTTTTAGCAATAGGTAGTACTTTCTTGATGATATTTTATATCCTAAAATCCTAGAAAAATTGCCTTGTTGCTTGCTGGTGATTGTTCTGTAGAATTCCATAAGGGCTGCTTGGAGTGTGTATGTGACAGTGCTTGTGTTCAGATAAACCTGAATGTGAAGTTTACCTCTTCGCATGTACACACGTGACTGCCCGCGGCCTGAGCGCCGCGAAGAGTCCTGTCCTCCTCTCACAGGGCCCTTTGCATTTACATTTGCCCTTTAATGTACTCGCACAGGGGAGATTTGTCTCACGTGCATTCCAGTGGTTAAAGGAGAGGAAATAATCCTGAAACGAGAGCTTTCAGAGGGATTATTTGTCCTTGAGCTTGGCAACTCTTATGTTTAGAATTGTTTTACATAAATCCATTTCTTAATGAGTACAGGTTTGAGTTTTTGCATATGTTTTCCTTTCTTTCTGTCAACTACAACTTGTGCTTAAACCATCATTTCCAAGAGCCTTTCAAATGCTTTGGGTCAGTCTCCTCCGGCAGCTGATTCACTTAGACCAACTGCAGAGCAGCTGTAGCGGTGAACAGATGGAAGAGCCGTGCTCTCCAGAGCCTGAATCAGCTAACCAGGAGGGAAGGTCTTTAATGTTGATTTGCTCAAATAATAGCTTTACCTTGTGATTTGCCTTGCCCCCTCCCTTCCAAATGATTGCCCAAAGAATGGTTTCCTTTTCTGTCCCCTGTAATTACAACTCAACATAAGTGATAGAGCATACTGCTTGCGTCTCTTTCCAAAGCTGAGTAAGGACCTATGGCTGTGCTAGGAGGAGACCAGCAGGATTGAGTCTTCCAGTCCTCCCAGTCCCAGCCCAAGAGTGCAGATGTCATTGTGCATTGTGTAGCTCAGAGGCCCGAGTGAAACAAGCATGGGGTATTTAATAGCCAGCTATTGAATCACAGATTTTCCCTTACAGCATTTAACTGAAGGTAGTGTGTATAAAAAGAGTGTCATGTTTTCAATAGACTTGCAACCTAGTTTATCCTGTGTTGGCTCTTCTGAATTTTTATGTCTGAGCAAAACCATAATTGGAATGTCAGACCTTTGTTTTCCATTTTGTTTTCATAGTTAACCTAGAAAAGACAAGAAATGTAAACCCATAAGAGGAGACCTCTACAAAGTACAGACGCTTCACTGTGGCCCACTTCCCCGTTGCCACTGGATACACTTTCTCAGGACAATGAACCTCTTCCCCCAGCGAAGCCACATTAAATCGTGTGGCTGAGAGGATTCGAGTTAACCCAGATTCAATCACCTGAGACAGTTAGCATCTCGGCATTTACTGTTGGGCCAAAAGAGTTGCTGATGTTCTCGACGGGTGTTGAATAACCTGTAACATCTTCGCACATACAATTGTGTGGCAGAAATGTCACGGCTGTGTTCCTCTTATTTATGGAATCCGTGAGGCCGAGGGGAGCACAGGTGTCACTGAGAGCTTTGACGGTCCTGGGGACTGGGAAGGGACTCCTGGGCTATAAAAGATACCATTATACTTTCAGCTGCTGCCTTCTGGAGTGTGTTTTTGTTTGTTTCTTCCCAGGAATCTGTGCCTTCAGCTTCCCCAACAGGTACCCCCAAACACAGTGTGAGGAAAGCGGCCATCCCAGAGAACCCTAAGGGAACCCATTCCCAGGGGCTGTTTATGACCCCTCCTGCTGGCATGGGTCTGGGCAGCCTGAAGAGGGAGTCTGTGCCCAGTCCCTCCACCAGCTCCACCAAGCAGCGAGGGCAGCAAGCCACGCCTGCAGGCCGTGTTTCCAGCAGTCCAGGTAACAGCGAGCAGGGAACTATGGGATGGTGGTGGGGAAATTCCTGTGACTATTCCAGAGCCTAAGGGGGGCGGGGGCGGGGATGCATTATGCCAAGCAGATGCCAACAAAGAGATGGCATTTCTTGAGTGATAATCAGATTTTGATGTTGCTTTAGCAGGCTTACGGGTGTTAGGTGTAGATTTAGCATTGGGTGACTGCTGAAGTGGGGTTAAATTAACAAGACACACCGTAAATTAAAAGTTTTAAAATTGTCTATATGAACTTTTTATCTCGTAGATCAAGATAGTTGCTACCAGATGGTGATGGTATAATTAGAATATCACAAGTCCTGCGTCCTTATAAGCCACTGCTTAACCACTGTCATTGCAGATCACTAATTCTGAAAAATAAAAAAGGAACCCTTTAGAAAACATGAGTGAGAATTAGGTAACAAATACTGTCAACAAAACACTATCAGATATGAACCTGGGCAGGTGTCTGCCCTGTCTGTGTGCAAGGACTTGGATCCTGGCTGCACTCCTGATTACAGCATTTCTGCTAGGGGGCAGGTGATGGCTCACGTTGTTGGGTCCCTGCTACCCATGGAGGAGACCTCAATGAGTTCCTGGCTCCTGGCTTTGGCTTGGCCCATCTCTGGCTGTTGCAGGCATTTGGAGAGTGAACTAACAGGAAGACCTCATTTCTGTCTTTTTCTCTCTCTTATCTCTGCCTTTCAAAAAAATAAAATGCAAGGCTGACTTTGTGGTGCAGTGGGCTAAGCTTCTACTTGTGGCCAGCATCCCGTATTGGAGTGCCTACTCAAGAGTCCAGTGGCCTGGGAAGGCCTAAGTGTGTGGGTACCTACCATCCATGTGGGAGACGTGAATGGAGTTCCTGGCTCCTGGCTTTGACCTGGCCCAGACCTGGTTGTTTTAGCCATTTGGAGAATAAAACAGTTGATGGAAGGTCTCTTTCTCTGTCTCTTCCTCTCTGTGCTATGCCTTTCAAATAAATAAATAAATCTTTAAAAATAAATAACTAAAATTTAAAAAAGATAAATCATCCAGTTATCAGCATTCTTTCCTAAAATATAGGGTATTTCAAAGAGTTCATGGAAAATGGAATTAAAGGTAACTTTCAGGCAAAAATTTTTTGAAATTCCTGCATATGATGGGTTCTTCAGAAAGTTCATGGGAGATCCAAATTATGAACAAACTTTGAGCAGATTTCAAAGCTGTTTTTTTCAAAGATTTATTTTATTTATTTGAAAAAGTTACAGAGGGAGGTAGAGACAGAGAGAGAGGTCTTCCATCCGATGGTTCACTCCCTAGAGGGCTACAACGGCCGGAGCTGCGCTGATCTGAAGCCAGGAGCCAGGTGCCTCCTCTGGTCTCCCATGTGGGCGCAGGGGCCCAAGGACTTGGGCCATCTTCTACTGCTTTCCCAGGCCATAGCAGAGAGCTGGATCGGAAGAGGAGCAGCCGGGACTAGAACTGGCGCCCATATAGGATGCGGGCGCTTCAGGCCAGGGCTTTAACCCATTGCGCCACAGTGCTGGCCCCTTAAAGCTTTTTTTTTTTACACTTAAATAAACATCTTTTAATTTTAATTTTCTCTGAACTTTTTGAAGTGCCCTTGGATGACAATTAGTCCTTCCAAACAACGGCCTAATTTTGGCTTTTCAAGTTTTGAAAGTGCCCTGGATGGGAGTGTGTGGACCAAGTGAGGTGCTGCTCTAAGGATTTAGGGAGGGAGGCAGAATGTGCCAAGCCAAGAAGGTCAGGCTGGTGTGATTGGACTCTGAGAGTCTTGTTAGACCTCCCTGCAGCACTCTGCCGTCTTAGAGGTGACAGGAGAGCGCTTGACAGTTATGTTGATGGTTAAATGGGATCATCATCGTCATAGTAGTTGTTACTGAACATCTGCAATGTGCCACACATTGTAGCATATTATTTACATTATGTCACCCTCAAAACAGCCCTGTAAGGTTTTATCTTCATCCGTTTTATCTAGTTTGTAGATGAAGGCCCAAAGGCTTAGAGAGATTGAATAACTTAACTTGCTCAAGGCTACGTAGACAGTAAATTTCAGCAGTCTGCCTCTGGAATCTAATTCCCAACCTGTGTGACGTTGCCAATTGAACTCCGGCTGTGACACAGGTGGAGCATGGAGGAGTGCACGTGTGGGTTTCTCGAGAAAGGCTGTGTGTGTCAGTGGTTGTGATGATTAGGAATAAGGCCAGCAGTACTATAGGTGGACACCTGTAAGGAATGATTAGGAATATTTTGTAGAAAGATCTCTTTCCTGACAATATTTCTTCTCCTGATTCGCTGTTTGTCTCTGAAATTCCCCTACTTGTGATGCATTGCCTTGGATTAAGACAGTGGTTTTCACATTGTTTCCATACATTCCTAGGATTCCATGACAGAACCCTAGGGAATCTCTGAAACCTATTTTATTCCTGTTTTTTTACTTCCTTCTGCCAGATCAGCTCATTTCCACATATTTTACATACTCATCAACTCATCAAGAGCTAACTTATTTAGTGCCCACTTCATACCAGGTATTATAATACTTTGTTCTGTGGTATATATAACATGCTGTAAGACATGGTTCCTGCTGTGGTGGTCCTTAGAGGCTAATGAGAAAGACTTAAATAAACATATAAATACTGATAGGTTATAATAAATGTTATTATGGGAAGGATGACAAAGGAGAACCCAATTAGATTGCGATGGGAGGATGACGTCACTGGTAAGGCCATCTAGGAGCAAAGAGCTTGGCATTAGGGTCACGGAAAGAGAAAAGATCTGAAACCCTGGGACTTAGCAAGTGGGAGAATGGCTTGGGATGAGATTGGAAAAGCAGGCAGCAGGCTTATGCAGGCCCTTGTAGGGATTTGACAGGGTTCTACAACAAGAATTTTGGATTAAACATGGCCATTAAAGTGCATAAAGGAAGGGAATGTTATGGTCCATTTATTTTTTTAAGGATTACTCAGGTATTTTGTGGGGAGAGTGGTTTTGTGAGGACCAGGATGGAATTATGTAGGTATCTTGAGGATTGTTTATGATGGTCTAGGCGAGAATGAAGGTGGTTTGGGTTTGATCAGTGATGATGGAAATGGTTACACGTATTATTTGTTTGAAAAAAGCATTTAGTTCCTGGGAAAAGTTTGTAAACCTTTGGGTAGAATTGTCTCTAGGGAGGAATTTCATGTTAAATCATTTTTTTTTATAAGCTCTTTAGCCCCAGTTAGTGTCTCAGAATAGGAGGCAAGCAGTGTGTGCCTAGCGTGGAGGAGGAGCTTTGCATGGGGAGGCCTGGGTACCATGGTGTAGACCTGGACAGCCAGTTTCTTGAGTAGTGAATAGCACGGGGAAGCAGGCAGTTCTACATATTTTCCAAAGACACAGTGAACATATTTGGTCTTCAAAATTTTGTTCAGGGCAAATCCTTTCTGGTACTCCTCTTCTTTATTATCTCTCTTTCCTTGGATCTTTGTAGAAGACCACGTCTGCCTGCTGGACTGCATTGTTGTGGATCTGCAGGACATGGACATCTTTGCAGCAGAGCGACATCCACGGGAGTACTCCAAGCCCTCAGAGGCCAGCGGTGGAGATCTCGTCTTCCCCTCCTATTTTGTGCGGCAGACAGGAGGCAGCCTCTTAACTGAGCCTTGTAGGCTGAAGCTGCAGGTGGAAAGGAATTTAGACAAGTGAGTGTTTTACAGCTACTAACTGTTGTAAGCGCTGGCATCCCATATGGGCACTGGTTCAAGTCCCAGCTGCTCCATTTCCAATCCAGCTCTCTGCTATGGCCTGGGAAAGCAGTGCAAGAGGGCCCAAGTGCTTGGGCCCCTGCACCCACGTGGGAGACCTGGAAGAAGTTCCTGGCTCCTGGCTTCAGATCCGTTCAGCTCTGGCCACTGTGGCCATTTGGGGAATGAACCAGCAGATGGAAGACCTCTCTCTCTGGCTCTACCTCTCTGTGTAACTCTGTCTTTGAAATAAATAAAATAAATTAAAGTGAATCAGGGGGCTGGTGCTGTGGCGAAGAAGGTTAAGCTTCTGTCTACAGTGCTGGCATCCCATATGAGTGCTGCTTCTGATCCAGCTCTCTGCTATGGCCTGGGAAAGCAGTGGAAGATGGCCCAAGTCCTTGGGTCCCTACACCTACATGAGAGACCCAAAAGAAGCTCCAGGCTCCTGGCTTCGGCCTGGCCCAGCTCTGCTGTTGCAACCATTTAGGGAATGAACCCATGGATAGAAGATGTCTCTCTCTATCCTCTCTCTGTATCTCTGCCTTTCAGATAAACAAGTAAATCTTTTATAGAAAAAAAATCAGAAAGGGTATAGGTATTTATTTGTTTCTTCATCATTGTAACAAGTGTTTATTGAGTCCCTGCTATGTGGTAGAAATGAGGGCAGAGCTACTGTGAATAAAGACAAACCTTCTGCCTTCAAGGAGCCTGTGTTTTGTTGGGTGATACAGGAAGGTGAGTAGCTGATTCTAGTTTAGTGTTTGAGTTAGTGTTGTAATTGTGTGATAAGTTTACAGGTGCCTGCAGACTGAGCATGGATTTGGGTGGTGAGGGGTGTGATGGCGTGCAGAGTCTTATGGAAGAGGTGGGCATTCGGATTATGTGTTCCATTGTGTGCTGATCCAGAATCAGTGTGACTGTTAGATGCAGTTCTGCCGTTTTGACTCCATTAAGCAATCTGAAAGACTGAAGAGCTGACCCTGTGGTTGGTCTCAGAATGTGGGATGGAATTCTATGGCTCAGAGCATTGCTTCAGTTGTCTTGAGTTCTATATGTGCCTGGGAAATGTCTTGGGGGGGGGGGGGTTGGACATTGCTAGATGCTACCTGAGACCAGCAGGATCCGACTCTCAGGGCTGACATCCAGGTGTGTCTTTAACCGGCTCGCTTGCCCAGGCACATGGACTGGGCACTGCTGGTGCCAGTGGTGATCGCTTTCAGTCTGGGGCACCGATCGTGGAGAAGGCAAGAGCGTTTTTGCATCTCAGCTCCAGGGGGCGATGACTGGCTGTGGAGGGGTGGGCATTTTCATTGCAGCCCCTCTAACTGTGCAGCGTGATGTTAAGCCTGTTCTGGCAGCACCCCTTCCTAGTTCTCGGGTTTGGACAAGTCATTTAATGTCACTTTTTTTTGTTTCTCTCTGGATTAATGATACAATGTAGCTGTTCTCACTGGGATGTTTGTGTTTCGCTCTTTCTTGTTATTCAAGTGCTGCCTGGCTGGTGTTCAGTTATGGTTGGCATGGGCTGTATTTGGTTTTACTGGCTTAGCAGTATTAAGAAGAGCTTCAGTATTTAGAAATTGAACACTTTGTTTTCTTTTGAGGCAATGCTTTCCAGAAAAAAAAAAAAATGAGCTCTGCTATTCTGCTTATCTAAACTTTCCGACTCCCAGCAGTGTTTATGTGGATAATTATAGTCTGTTAGCCCAGCTAGGAGGTGATGCTGAGCACAAGGTGTCCTGTCAGCTTTGACACCACAGAGGCAGGAGCCTGGTAGGCACCTGATAATCCGGTCCAGTTTCCCTTTACTGGTTACGTCATTCGTCTTTCACATTCTGTTGTATGTAGGTTTCTCTGTATAGACAGTGTGATTGTTTATATTCCTTTTCCATTTCAGATCCTAACCCTCCCCTTTCAGACTCCGAGCACAGTGTCTGTCAAATCCGTGACGCCCGTGTCACCTTAGGAGGCTATAGGAAGCCCCTTAGTGTTGGAATGAGGGGTTTTGATCCCCTGACCCTGAGCATGTCAGCGTTCTTCTGCCTGCCCAGCTGAAATGGGTCACCTATTCAGTTTCTACCAAGTGCCATCTGGGCTCAGTTGGAACCATCAGTTCCTTCCTTTATCAATTACTGCTGAATGTGAGGAGTTAAATAGAGCTTGACATCTCCTCTTTGTTGCTTTTCCAGCTGTAAAGTTTAAGCTGTTTTGCAGTCCCATGAGATTTTCCTTATACTAGATTAGTTAGCTAGCTCATGTCAGATTTGAGGATTTTCTAAATGTGTATTTTCAGAGAAAAGAGGCTTTTTATAGTTGAAACATGATAGTCATACCAATTTGCTAAATTTGGAGCTAAAAGAAGTTTTTGTCATTGGAAGTTGGAATTTACTTGGTTGAAAGTATAGATGGGTTGAAAGTATAGTTGGCTGTTGTATTTGGAGGTAAGCTGTGTCAATGTGAAATTAGTGATTGTTTGTCAAAATGACCTCTGTTCTTTTTCATAGAGAAATAAGTCATACTGTACCAGACATATCTATCCATGGCAATCTCTCCTCAGTCCACTGCTCCCTGGATTTGTATAAATACAAGCTGATCCGTGGCTTACTAGAAAACAACCTTGGAGAGCCCATAGAGGAGTTTATGCGGCCTTATGATTTACAAGATCCAAGAATTCATGTGAGTGAGACCTATCTCCTTCTGTAACTCTCATAGCCTCAGCTGATGGTTACCCTGTGCATATATTCCTCAAAATCACCTGGAAAAGGAAGGCAGAACAAGCCAGTCAGATTTCTTGACATATTGACCCATTTTCAGATTAACATCATCCACTCTGTGTTGATTAGCATTTTCCTTTTACAGACTGTTCTCAGCGGAGAAGTGTACACTTGCATGTGCTTCCTCATTGATATGGTAAATGTAAGCCTGGAACTTAAAGATCCAAAAGGGAAGGAAAGTGCTGGATCCCTGGCCAGGTATGGCTTTCATCATGTTTTATTGCTAATAATGACTGCAAGAAATACACATATTTTCATTTGCATAGGGCAAAACAGTGTGGTTCACAGCAGAATGTGGCTTTCAGGGTGCTTTTTGGTGGTTCTACACAACACTTTATGAAAGTTTAAATTCAGGGCAGCCTTCCAGTTAAGATAGCATATCCTGTGTTGGACTGCCTGGGTTTGATACCTGACTCTACTCCTAACTCTTGCTTCCTGCTAACGTGAACTCTGGGAGACAGCAGGTGATGGCTCAAGTACCTGCGTTCCTGTCACCTACTGAATTGCGTTCTTAGCTCCAGAGGCCATTGTAGGCATTCGGGGAGTGAACCAGCAAATGAGAGCTCCTTTTCTGTGTGTGTGTCTCTCTCCAAAAACCAAATAAGCAAATTAATTAATTAATTAAAAATTAAATTGGTTGCTCTGTTACCAAGGTAGGTCAGTCAGCTTATGCTGCAGTCACAGACAGCCCCCAGACACCAGAGACGTCACACAGTGCTGATGTCTTTCTCCGTCATGCTGCTGATCGTTGCTGTCGTCACTCATGGTGCTTCTTCAGAGCTTCTTCTGGTCTCCCATGTGGCTGACAGGGTCCAAGGACTTCGGCCACCTTCCACTGCTTTCCCGGGTGCATTAGTGGGAGCTGGATCTGAAGTGGAGCAGCTGGGACTTGAACTGGCACTCATATGGGATCCCGGCATCACAGATGGCAACTTTACCTGCTGTGCCACAAGGCCGGCTTCCCGGCATCACAGATGGCGACTTCACCTGCTGTGCCACGAGGCGGCATCCTGGCATCACAGATGGCGACTTCACCTGCTGTGCCACAAGGCCGGCATCCCGGCATCACAGATGGCGACTTTACCTGCTGTGCCTCGAGGCCGGCATCCCGGCATCACAGATGGCGACTTTACCTGCTGTGCCACGAGGCCAGCTTCCCGGCATCACAGATGGCGACTTTACCTGCTGTGCCACGAGGCCGGCATCCCGGCATCACAGATGGCGACTTCACCTGCTGTGCCTCGAGGCCGGCTTCCCGGCATCACAGATGGCGACTTTACCTGCTGTGCCTCGAGGCCGGCATCCCGGCATCACAGATGGCGACTTTACCTGCTGTGCCACGAGGCGGCATCCTGGATTCACAGATGGCGACTTTACTGCCGTGCCACGAGGCCGGCCCAGTACTCTTATTTTCTAGGTGGAGTCTCTGAGTAGCGTAAGATCTGATGGTTGGAAAAATGATTCAGTATTTGAAAACATTTCAAGGCTAGTAATCTCCCTGCCAGAACATTCTGTCTTCTAGTTTGTTTTTTCCATGAACATCTGCCATGAGAGGGTCAAGCTTGTGAAAATGAAAACATGACCTCCCAGGGAGTGCATTAGCAGGAGCTAGAATCAGAAGAGGAGGTGGGACTTCAACCCAGACACTCCAGCAGGTGCAGGAACCCCAGAGGCATCTTAACCACCACCCGAACACTTGCCTCAAGCTAGAAATTTGATTTTTTTTTTTACATTTTTTTTTTTTTTTGACAGGCAGAGTGGATAGTGAGAGAGAGACAGAGAGAAAGGTCTTCCTTTTGCTGTTGGTTCACCCTCCAATGGCCACCACGGCTGGTGTGCTGCGGCCGGCGCACCGCGCTGATCCGAAGCCAGGAGCCAGGTGCTTCTCCTGGTCTCCCATGGGGTGCAGGGCCCAAGCACTTGGGCCATCCTCCACTGCACTCCCGGGCCACATCAGAGAGCTGGCCTGGAAGAGGGGCAACCGGGACAGAATCCGGCGCCCCGACCGGGACTAGAACCCGGTGTGCCGGCGCCGCAAGGTGGAGGATTAGCCTATTGAGCCGCGGCGCCGGCGCAATTTGATTTTTAATGGTTGGCCGTGCCTTTAGTCTTTCTTTCTTTTCTTTTTTAAGATTTTATTTATTTGTTTGAGAGGTAGAGTTACAGTCAGAGGGAGAAACAGAAAGATCTTCCGTCCGTTGGTTCAATCCCCAAATGGCCGCAACGGCCGGATTTGAGCCAATCTGAAGCCAGGAGCCAGGTGCCTCTTCCGGGTCTCCCACGTGGGGACCAAGTACTTGGGTCATCTTCTACTGCTTTCCCAGGCCACAGTAGAGAGCTGGATTGGAAGATGAGCATCCGGGACTAGAACCGGCCCCCATATGGGATGCTGGTGCTATAGGCGGAGGATTAACCTACTGCGCCACAGCGCCGGCCCCTTTAGTCTTTCTTAATATGGAATAATTCTGGATGTACATTCTTACAATGAAACAGTAATTATGATTTGCTTATTGCAGCTGTCTCTTTTTTTTTAAAGATTTATTTTATTTTATTTGAAAGGCAGCATTAGGGGGAGAAAGAGAGAGAGAGAGGAAAAGAGAGAGAGGGATATCTTCAATCTGCTGGCTTACTCCCGAAATGGCTACAGTGGCCAGAGCTGGGCCAATCTGAAGCCAGGAGCCAGGAGCTTCGTCCAGGTCTCCCACATGGGTGCAGGAGCCTAAGTGCTTGGACCATCCTTTGCTGCTTTTCCCAGGCCATTAACAGGGAGATGGATTAGAAGTGGAGCAGCCGAGACTGGAACCTGCACCTATATGAGAAGATGGCATCACAGGTGGCAGCTTCAGCCTCTGTGCCCCAGCGCTGGCCCCAGCTGTCTCTAATCTTAAATGTATGCAGTTTTAAATTCATTTCTTGTTGGTGGATCAGTTGAATTGTTTCTCTGTGGAGAATATTATGTGTTCTCATTGTTTCTTGGGGGCTTCGTGGTCTTATATAGAAACTCAGGTAGACTCTAGAGAGAATCTCCAGGCAGGTGCAGTTCTGAAAGGATCCCTGGGGATATCACAAATGTGCAGACTTCTCAGACTTGGGAAGGGAGACTAGATGATGGTGAATTAAGAACCTAATAAATGTGTCATATGGCTGCCTCAAGTTCCTATGAAGATCAATCTCTATTGAATTGGAAAAGTAAGATCTAAGGTACCATGCCCCTGAATCCATTTTGAGGGGATCTGTAAACAAATTCAACACAAGATCTCAGAATGAAAGTTAATCTCCTGGGGCCGGCACCGTGGCTCACTGGGTTAATCCTCTGCCTGCGGTGCTGGCGTCCCATATGGGTACTGGGTTTTAGTCCCGGCTGCTCCTTTTCCAGTCCAGCTCTCTGCTGTGGCCCAGGAAGGCAGTGGAGGATGGCCCAAGTGCTTGGGCCCTGCACCCGCATGGGAGACCAGGAGGAAGCACCTGGCTCCTGGCTTCAGGTTGGTACAGCGCACCGGCTGTGGCAGCCATCTCGGGGGTGAACCAACGGAAGGAAGACCTTTCTCTCTGTCTCCTCTCTCACTGTCTAACTCTATCTGTCAAAAAAAAAAAAGAAAGAAAGAAAGAAAGAAAGAAAGAAAGAAAGAAAGAAATTTAATCTCCTTCATACAAGTTAATTATATTTGTGATCTATGTTTCTCCTGTAAACTTGAGCTTTCATGATTTTATGAAGTGGAAGAGTTATGTTTAACATCTTGATTTATTCTCTCCTTCTTAGATTTGACTTCAAGAAATGCAAACTGCTCTATGAGAGTTTTTCCAACCAAACTAAGTCTATCAACTTGGTTTCCCATTCCATGATGGCTTTTGATACCCGCTATGCTGGGCAAAAGACCAGCCCTGGCACAACAAATGTTTTCAACTGCATCTTTCAGCCTTCCAAGAACAGCAGCACTGCGCAAGGATCCATTCAGATTGAGCTGCACTTCAGGTAGTAGGGCCAGAACCTGACTATGCCTTTCTTTATGGAGACATTTCCTTTTGTGGCCAGTGGGCCAAAGTGTATGTTGGCTTTAGAACATCAAAGGACCACAAAGTCACTAAAAAGTTAAATAGATACTGGCTCATTAGTGCAGTCTACTCTTATTAACATCTAATTCCTATAACTTTGCAGTTTCATTTATTGACCAAAAGGTGTCTCTGTTGCCTTTAAAACTAAAGGTTAGAATTGAACCAGATTCTTAAAGTCTACCTCACTATATAAGCTGTAGCCTATTCTAATTTGTAAAGTGATTTGGAAAAGGAAGACGTTATGTCTTTCAAGGTTCTTTATATATTTTAAACATGTTAAATGAGACAAGTAGCTGGTGGTTTAACAAGCAATATCAGTAAATATCAAGCAAACCCAAAAAGCAGTTATTTCCTCAGATGAACCAGATGTATGCAAGCCTCCTGTTCAAATAAAGATTTTGAAACAAGAGAACTTCAGAACACAACCACCTTGTCCTCTGACTGTAGTCAGCCTAGTGATCAGGAAAGCAGTGCTGCAGACTGTTACAAAGGACATGGGCTTTGACGTCAGAGAAAGATTTTTGGTCTACGCAAATAATGGGAAAGTGGTTTTGATTTGAATTACATCTGTTTTTCTACTCAAGTCTCATTGACTCACTTCTCTACGTACAAAGAATTTTTACCTTTTTGAAGTAGATTGTTTTTCCTTACGTGTGTTATGAGAAGAGCATTGTGCATGGAAAGAGTGAGTGTTTTGGAATCAGACAAACATGACCTCAACACCTTGAGTTTCCCACTGAGCTGAGTCTCAGGACAAATCGGTTAGCCTTTGAGCCTTAATTTCCTCTTCTATAAAATGATACCTACCTCCAGCATGGCTGTCATAGTTTACATATTTCTGGCGTGTTGCTTGGCAAAGATGGTAGCTATTACTATTACTGCTCATGCAGCTTTGCTCCAGTGAGATTTTATGACCAAATGAGCATGGACCTGAAACCTGAAAAATTAGTTCTGAGCTAAAGAAATCCTTCAAGGAAAATCCCAAAAGGACAACTCTGGAACTAATGTCAGTTCCATTCTTTTTAGTTCTTAATGTCGTGAGATATGTTATAAATATAAACCACTAAGTAAAAAAGGCTGGAAAAAACTTCATGGTTAGTCAAAAATAAGGATAAAATAATCAGGAGGATTATTGTGTATTTATATGTCTCTGAGTACCTGACATTTCAGCGTGCTGTTTAGTGTTCCTCAGGGTTTAGGATTTTTTTTAGGGGGTTGGGGAGGGGCTGATGAGGTCCTGGTCTCCCAGTATGCCTTTAGGAAGTCTAGGAAGGGAGACTTTTAGACTTTCGTGTGAACTTTTAACAGATTCAGTAGTAGGAATGCTAGTTGCCTCCTTTTGGGCTCTACCGTGAGTTGGGTGCTTTATCTACTTGTCATTTTAATCCTCATAAGTCTGCAAGGAGGGTGACTTCATCTTGACTTAATAGAGGCAGAGGTAGAAGCTTGGAGAGGGTTAAGTCAACTCTGGAAGGTCACGCAACTAGAAAGACCAGTAATCTGGATTTAGACCTTGGTCTCTGACGTCAAAGCCCATGTCCTTTGTAACAGTCTGCAGGCCACTGCTTTCCTGATCACTAGGCTGATTACAGTCAGAGGACAAGGTGGTTGTGTTCTGAAGTTCTCTTGTTTCAAAATCTTTATTTGAACAGGAGGCTTGCATACATCTGGCTCATCTGAGGAAATAACTGCTTTTTGGGTTTGCTTGATATTTACTGATATTGCTTGTTAAACCACCAGCTACTTGTCTCATTTAACATGTTTAAAATATATAAAGAGCCTTGAAATATATTTCTGTTTATGTTCCAAAGGTTTATAATTTCTTGGAGTCAAATAATAAAGTCTTACCTTGGCTCTCGCTAACAGAAATGCCATTGTTAGTGAGAGGAGTAAACTGTTCATGCTCTTGATTGGAACTTCTGAACACTTTCCGTGTCTCAAGAAGAATTACTCTTCTGTTGGGATTTTGCATGTCAAATATAAATCACTTCACAGTGTTTAAAGGCTTGACATATTTTCCAGAAAAGGGATCTGACACACTCTGACTTTCCAGTTAGTGCAGAGCTCTGACAATCTGTGTTCAAAATGGGGTGGAAAAATTTTACTGAGGGCAACATTTTTTCTGCATTACAAAAGGATAGAGTGTTTCTGTGAAAAATGCTACGTCTGTGAGAAGGAGACATGCAGCATGCTGCCCTTTTGCTGGAGGCAGTGAGCCAGGTTTGGGAGAAGTGGGGGACTTCGAGAAACCAGCCAAGCAGTACTTTCACATCAGCCTTCCCCGAATCAGAGCTCTTTCTAGGGCGTGGAGCCGTGTACATGTGGTACCTGGCCCCAGAGTGCATCCTCTGGGCCTGCAGAACCAAGTTTAACACAGAAGATGCTCTAGGAGTATTGCTAGCCCGTGCTTCTTCTGTCCTACACCTCTGCTCACTAGAGAGACTTGGAAAACACTTGGCTACTCCATGGATTCAGGCCAGGCCTGGAGTCTTTTTTTACCTCAGATAAGAAGTTTGGGGTAATGAGGTCTACAAAACTCCACCTCAGTTCTACATCTAGGCTGCTTGAGGGATAGATTCATGGTAAAGGCCACCTTCTTTGTCCTTTTCAGACAAAAAGATCTAAGCTCTTCCATTAGTTTCTGTTGGAGAAACCTTCTAGAATTAGTTTATAAACTTAGTGTTTATAAAGAAGTAATTTATCAAACACCTGCTCTGTGCTTGGAGCATTCTCTCTTAGGATTTTTTTTTAAGATTTTATTTTATTTATTTGACAGAGAAAAGGAGAGACAGAGAGAAAGGTCTGCCATCTGCTGGTTCACTCCCCAAATGGTCACAATAGCTGGAGCTTGGCCTGTCTGAAGCCAGGAGCCAGGAGCATCTTCTGGGTCTCCCATGTGGGTTCAAGTGCCCAAGAACTCAGGCCATCTTGTACTGCTTTCCCAGGCCATAGCAGAGAACTGGATCAGAAGAGGAGAAGCCCGGGCTAGAACTGGTGCCCATATGGGATGCTGGCACTGCAGGTGTGGTCTTTAGCCCACTAAGCCGCAGTGCCAGCCCCCTCTCTTAGGATATTAATATTCTTCATCTTGTAAGTGAGGAAGCAGGGGCCAGCATTATGGTGTAGTGGGTAAAGCTGCCATCTGCAGTGTTGGCATCCCATATGGGCACTGGTTCTAGTCCTGGTTGCTCCATTTCCCATCCAGCTCTCTGCTGTGGCCTGGGAAGGCAGTGGAAGATGGCCCAGGTGTTTGGGCCCCTGCACCCGCATGGGAGACACGGAAAAAACTCCTGGCTCCTGGCTTTGGGCCAGCTCAGCTTCAGCCATTGCAGCCATTTGGGGAGTGAGCCACAGTTGGAAGATCTCTCTCTCTCTCTCTCTCTCTCTGCCTCTGCCTCTGCTTCTCCCTCTCTCTGTCTTGTAACTCTGTGTTTCAAGTAGTTAAATAAATCTTGAAAATAAGTGAGGAAGCAGACTAAGAGGATATAGGTGACTTAACCAAGGTAACACAACCTGTAAGTGGCTGTATTTAAGTCTGGGCCTCTGACTCTACAGTCTGTTCACTTTCTACTACACCAGAATCTCTCAGCTTCAACACTATAGGCAAGTATCCCTTATGCACTTCAAATTGGAGATTTTTTTCAGAGTTTGGGATATTTGCATAGACTTTACTGATGACGCATCCGTAATCCAAAAACTGCAAAATCTGAAACTGTTTGGGTGTCGGATGGTGTGGATTTTAGACTTCAGATTAGGGATGCTCAGCCCGCCACTGTCGTGGGGCTGTGCCGTTTATTGTGGGACGGTTAGCCTCTGTTTACTGTGGGATGGCCTCTGCTAACTGCAGCAGCAGCCCCCTCCATGTGATAATAAAAATGTCTCCAGATATTGCCTAGTGACTCCAGGAGAGCAGAATCACCCTGGCTGAGAACCGCTGAGCTCTCTGGATTGTTTTCTCATAGCAATTCCCTCTTGATTAGAAAAATATGATTACCCTTTGGGAAGCATATACTGAATATATTATTAAACCAGTGTGGAGAGTTTATTGGTAGTTGAAGCTGTCAGTTTAGAAAATACTGGATACCATCTGCCAAAAATGAGTAATACATTTGTAGATCATGAAAACATCATGTTTCTTTGTCCTGTTTTATCTTCTTTTTTGTAGATCTACCAAGGATTCCTCCTGTTTTACAGTAGTTCTCAACAATCTTCGTGTGTTCCTCATATTTGATTGGCTCCTGTTAGTCCATGATTTTCTCCACACTCCCAGTGATATTAAGAAACAGAATGTTACTCCTTCTCGCCACCGGCATTGTAGCAATGAATCTGCTGTAGTTCCCAAAACTGTGAAGAGTGGAGTAGTTACCAAGCGGTCATCCCTTCCTGTGTCCAGTGAAAGGCACCTGGAGGTCAAGGTTAATGTAACAGGTGAATATATGTAGGTACAATTCACTGGTTCTAAGTTTTGGTGTTAGGTTCAGGATCAGTCTTCCTGGAAGATTTCTCTATTACTTTTTATCTTTTCACATGAGCACGTATACATTTAGATCTTTCACAGGCCAAAAGAACTCAGGGTTTTGGCCTTGATTTTTAGGTGGAAGCTGCCTTGTCCCTCTCCTCTACCTGCCTCGTCCACATGCTTGGTTGAGCCCCTGCCTGGACACAGGTCTTTATTCCCAATGTGAAGTCTGGCATTGATTTTCTGATTGATCTTTAGGGCCCTGACAGATGGGTCTTAACTGAATCTAAGCAGATGTGGTATGTGCAAATCTCAGTTTTGAAGGTGAATCAGTGAGGAGATTGTTATTTTCTTTAGCAAGGGAATATTTCTCTTTACAGATGGACATACTATTGTTTTTGTTAACTAGTGAGCTCCTATAGTACAACTACATGTGTCTCTTTATTTATTGCTGTGTTTTCCCCTATGCATTTCTCAGTGGTTTTGATGAGACTTATTAGCACAGTATGTTTTATTTCACTTTTTTAAAAAGATTTATTTATTTATTTGAAAGAGTTGCACAGAGAGAGAAGGAGAGGTAGAGAGTTAGAGAGAGAGAGAGAGAGGTCTTCTATCCACTGGTTCATTCTCCAGATGGCTGCAACTGCTGGAGCTGCGCCGATCCGAAGCCAGGAGCCAGGAGCTTCTTCTGGGTCTCCCGTGTGGGTGCAGGGCCCAAGGACTTGGGCAATCTTCTGTGCATTTTAGACACAGTTAGAAATGCTTGCAGGCTGGCGCCCCGGCTCACTAGGCTAATCCTCCCGCCTGTGGCGCCGGCACACCGGGTTCTAGTCCTGGTTGGGGCGCCGGATTCTGTCCCGGTTGCCCCTCTTCCAGGCCAGCTCTCTGCTGTGGCCCAGGAGTGCAGTGGAGGATGGCCCAGGTGGTTGGGCCCTGCACCCCATGGGAGACCAGGAGAAGCACCTGGCTCCTGCCATCGGATCAGCGCGGTGCGCCAGCCGCAGCGGCCATTGCGGGGTGAACCAACAGAAAAAGGAAGACCTTTCTCTCTGTCTCTCTCTCTTTCACTGTCCACTCTGCCTGTCAAAATAAAATAAAAATAAAATAAAAATAAAATAAAGAAATGCTTGCTTTATAGATGATTTCTACTTTATGAAAGCATCGTGTACAGCAGAGTGAGCTTGCCGTGTGTGAGTACGTGCAGGAGCTGCCTGCTGGCTGCAGAATCTCGACTTGGACTGACGGACGTTCTCTGTAACAACTTGAGCAGCTGCACAGGTGCAGTCAGTGCCTTATGCTGCCTGACCAGCTGTGGTATCTGAGTCCACTTCCTGGGGCTTTGAACTACGGTCTTACTTGGAGAAAGGATGATTTCTTGGGCTTCTGAGTGTCTGTTAGGCCTTCTAGGAAGACTGGGTGCAATTTTTCTCTCCAGCTTAAAAATAGATGCTGCAGAGAGAAACCTAACTTTGGGTTGATTGGTGTTGTTTGCATTCCAGGCACAGAGTTTGTGGTCATTGAAGATGTGTCCTGCTTCGATACCAATGCCATCATTCTGAAAGGCACCACGGTGCTGACCTATAAGCCACGGTTTGTTGATCGCCCCTTTTCAGGAAGTTTGTTTGGCATCGAGGTAAGAGTTCTGTGAGTTGATCACAGCACCACGTGTTTGGCTCAAAGAAAAGCATCTGGACGAGAATTTTACCACACAGACTTTCTCGTGAGGGGAAGGAGTTCACGGGGTTGCAGGGCTGTTGCCTTTTTCTCCTGTCCATTTTCTTCTGAAATTATTTAATTGTTCTAATGTGTGAATTCAGTCCTCCAGTGTTAGTCTATAAACCTGTGGGGGAACTTTACCTCTTACACACTCTGTTCTCTTCTTGTCCCTGTGCCGCTTAGGCCCCGTGCTGGGGCTTCTGGTTCCACAGGACTAGTTCACGGCAGGTGTGCAGAGGTGAGGCAGTGGGCCCTCTCCCTGTATCCCGTTCCCCATGTTGAGGACCATCCTAGCTCTCTGGGTAATGGAAATCTGTTTCTAGAAGGTGTTAAGGATTTCATGTGTTGTCTAACATTTAGGACTGTCTGACCTGCAAAAGGGCAGCTCTAGAGAGTCATGTATATCCCAAGAGGGCATCTCCAATGGTGCTGCTCTGGGCTCGGCCTTTGTAGTTGGAAATTTCATCAACAATATTAAGCAAAGCCTGCTGTCTCTTTCTATGCCATAATTGTGGAGATAGAGGGAAAATGGGGCAGATTCTTGTTTGCATCAGATGTTCTTAATTGACTGATCTCCGCTGACTTTCCTCTTGTTATAATGTGAGAATATTTGGTCAGGGTTCCTTTCCCTTTACAATTGAACTTTTTATGCCCTCTTCTTTCCAGAGGTGATATTAGGGGTTGCATGAAGGAAACTTAATTTCACCATCAGCGGTATTTTTTTGAGGGGGGCACATGTCAAATATAACTGAATAAAACCTGTAGAGATTTCACATTTCACTTTTTAGAAAAACCACATTTATTTATTTATTTGAAAGGCAGAGTTAGAGAGGAGGGGAATGAAGAGGGAGAGAGATCTTCCATTCACTTCCATTTGGGTCTCCCACGTGGGCCCTCTGGCCCGAGAACTTGAGCTGCCATCCGCTGCCTTCCCAGGCACTCGTATAGGGGGCCGGCACCGCAGGCTGCAGCTGTGCCCACTGCCCTGCACTGCTGGCCTCCACAGTTCACTTCTTGGCCACTTGTTTCTCTCATACAAAGAGGGGAAGGATTTGCCAGTGTGATGTGAGTCGGTCATGAACTGGAGTTCAGCCTGCTTTCCAGACCACCACTGTACCACCTTCGCTTGGGAAATCTTTGTGACTGATGAATGGACTGTCAGGTACAACTGGGTTTTGTGTAGCAGAAGTCCTTGAAGGAAAATGAAACGTCTGCTCCGGAGTCTCAGCAAAGCTGCATGTGAAGTGTTTGAGATTCTCGGAAGCTCCTCTCAGTGTTCTTCAGGTAGCGCGGCTGACGGCTGACGCTTAGTGTTAACACCTCCTTGTCACGTCCCTGCGGGGAGAATAGATAAAGTATAATGAGTTAATGTTGACTATGGCAGAGGCCCTTGGAGTCACGTATGTTTCAGTTGTTAGGAAATGCCCTAAAAGGGGAAGGGAAAGGGACAAAAGGGCCTGAAAAGAATGCTATCTCCTTTTCTCTGTATTCTTTTTTAATGTTTTTAAAGATTTATTTATTTGAAAGACAGACTTGCAGAGGCAGAGAGAGAGGTCTTGCATCTGCTGGTTCACTCCCCAGATGACTGCAATGGTCAGAGCTGGGCCGATCCGAAGCCAGGAGCCAGGAGCTTCCTTCGGGTCTTCCACATGAGTGTGGAGGCCTAAGAACCTGGGCCTTCCTCTACTGCCTTCCCAGGCCACAGCAGAGAACTGGATTGGAAATGGAGCAGCTGGGACTCGAACCCGTGGCATATGGGATACTGGCACTGCAGGCAGCTGCTTTACCTGCTACACCACAGCGCCAGCCCCTCTCTGTATTCTTTTTTTTAAATTTAATTTAATTTTTTATTTATTTTTTTGACAGGCAGAGTGGACAGTGAGAGATAGAGAGAGACAGAGGGAAAGGTCTTCCTTTTGTCATTGGTTCACCCTCCAATGGCCGCCACGGCTGGCCTCCAATGACCGCACCACGCTGATCAGAAGCCAGGAGCCAGGTGCTTCTCCTGGTCTCCCATGGGGTGCAGGGCCCAAGCACTTGGGCCATCCTCCACTGCCTTCCCGGGCCACAACAGAGAGAGCTGGCCTGGAAGAGGGGCAACCGGGACAGAATCCGGCGCCCCGACCGGGACTAGAACCCGGGTGCCGGCTCTGCAGGCGGGAGGATTAGCCTAGTGAGCCGCGGCGCCGGCCTCTGTATTCTTTTATGCATACAAAATAATTTGGTTCTAGAATGGAAGTCCTCCCTCCTTTTCACGCCCCACAAATTTTTTTAGCATTTTATTATAGACTATTTTGAACATCTAGGTACCTATCACCCAGCTTCAATAATTCATGTATTTATTTTCAATTAAGGGAAGAGGAAATTCCCTGTCCTACACATAGATAATTTCTATTGACATTTTGATGTTTGTTTTCTTAATAAAGAAAGTCATTAAGAAATAGTATGTGGATTGGGCTGTATTTTCACATTATCTGTGTTGTAACTATCTTCTTTCATGTCGTATGATCTTTGTAACTGTCATGTTTAAATGGCTAAAATGTTCCTTTGAATAGACATGAATTCCTTTTTTGTGCTTCATTTTTTTTAATTAAATATTTTTTAGTTATTTTATTGAGTTATTTTAAGAGTGAGAAAGAGAGAGATCTCCCATTTTCTGGTTCATCCCCTAAATGCGTGTAGCAGCTCAGACTGGGCCAGGCTTAGTTCAGGATCCAGGAGCTCCCCATGAGAGGCAGGGATCCAGGTGCTTGAGTCGTCCTCACCTGCTGCCTCTCAGGCTGTGTGTTGTTAGAGGACACTGGGATTGGGAGTGGAGCCAGCGCTGCAGCCTGCGTAGTCCCGGGTGGAACGCGAGGGTCCCATGCAGCGTCTCCGCTGCTGTGTCAAAACCCACATCCTCTTAATTTTTCTTTTTAATTATTAGTCATGGTTCAGTGAAATTTTCTGTATTTTGCAGTATTTTCTTAGGCTAGTTTCTAAAGAGAAGTAGGATTATTGGGTGGAAGGGTGTGGGATCTTTAAGCCTCTCCAGATGAACTGTTGGGCTGTTTTTTTCTCAGGGTGTACCCCTGTGCGAGCTCTTGTACTGGCTATGGTCTTGTGATGACACAGGGCTGACTGCTTCTGAGGTGGTTTCTTTTTGGGCTGACGTTAATCCCTGCCACACTGCATCTCATTCTCTAGGTATTTTCATGCCGACTTGGGAACGAGCATGATACAGCTCTTTCAATTGTTGATCCAGTACAAATTCAGGTGGAGCTGGTGGGGAATTCTTCTTATCAGAACAGCTCAGGACTGATGGATGCGTTCAACAGTGAAGATTTCCCACCTGTCTTGGAGGTAATGACGGAATCTCAAACACTTTCCCCTGCAGGCTTCCCTTGCACTGAGCTGGCGGCATTTTAGTTACTGCAGCAATGCCAAAGAGATCGGTATTGTCTCTGTGCTAGGAGGTCTTGCGGTTTTGGGGAGGATGCACGACCTTCTAATGGTCTGGTATCACACTGAAGTTCTGTAAAAGTTTACAGGAAGCAGAACTCAAAGTTTGCAGGGATATTTATTGTGAATGAGCTCAAGGTTGGGTGAGTTTGGGAGGAAGGGTGGCATGTGAGTTGGCAGAGTGGAAGCGGAAGAGCGTTTCACGTTACAAAGCAAAGTCCATGTGGAAACAGGCGGTTTGACCAGGCCGGAGAGTGGTGCAGGCGGGTGGGGAGGATCAGAGGGTGAAGCCAAGCAGGGGAAGGCTAACTTGGTGTTTCACTGCTTTGGTGGAAGGGGAGTAGTCGGTTTGAACCATGCAAGACTGAAAAGGGCCTGTGAAAGCCATCTGCCTTTCAGTCTTAGTGGTACCTCCTGGGCAGACGGAAAGTGAATGGCTGGAGCACCGCAGCCAGGCACTCAGTCACAGGGCTGGCGAGAGGTCGGGTGCATGCCTCCACCAGTGCGGCCTTGCTCACCCCTGAGGGGCACTGGGTCTCAGAAGACACTCTTGCTTTGGGTCACCGTTGACTCAGTCAAAGTTGTGTTCGAATAAAGGAGAGAGTTTGTTCCTTGGTTGGTTGATTTTAGATTTAAAAAATTAAATATAGCCATTCAAAATAGGTTACAGTGTGTTGCTGCTATATGGTCTTGTTTCTCCCAAGCCATCCTTTGATCCTTCTGTTAATGATTAATATGCTTGCATGAAGATCGTCCTGCTGACATACTAAGTGCTGTAGCCGTTAGCGTAGCTTCGTATTTTTATTTACTGCAGTTGTGTGACCATTTGCCCTCAGAGCTGAGATGGCATACTTTATGGTCACTAGTGCTTAATTTCAAGATCTTTGCAGTCGTCTAAACGAGAAATTTGATTTAGTATCTGTTGAACTTTTAACACCTGAAATAGGAAGTATATCTGTTAAAGTGTTTGAGCAAAGCCAAATGCATTTAAAAATTTGCTACCTTTTACATTTTGTTAGATTCAATTACAAGCCCTGGATATCAGACTCTCCTATAATGATGTTCAGCTGTTTCTTGCCATTGCGAAATCCATCCCAGAGCAAGCTAATGCTGCAGTACCAGACTCAGTGGCCTTGGAATCAGACTGTGTTAGCAGTTACCTCCCAGGGGCATCTCGAGTTGGAGAAGAAATCAGAGAGGGGACAAGACATAGCTTAGATCCTGTCTTGGGTAAGTGTTTGACAATAAAACACACTCAGTCTTCCATTATAATAACCATCCCTCTTTTTAACATTAAAATTTTCCTTTTGCACAGTTGTTCAGAATCTAATTGTATGCTGTTAAGTATACTTGTAAGTCATACGTATGACTTTTTTTTTTAAATTTAAAAACAAACGAAGCACCCTAAATGAACTGCTCTAGCCTATGCTATTTTTCCTTTCAGTTTCTTTCAGAACTTCCATAGTTATGTGGATAATACTAAGAGTTTTAAGCTTTGAAAAATAGTCAATATAGGGAAAAGACTTAAAATTTTAGGGTACTCTTGATAGAAGCCTCCAATTACGAGCTCACTTTTACATACAGAAATGAAGTATTTTAGTTGCCAGTTTCTGAATTTCTTTTCTTTATTCTTAAGTTAGTCTGTGGATTAATTTCCATAAAATTACTTCCTAGAGTTACAGCTGGCTAGACTGCAGGAGCTGGGATTCAGCATGGAGGACTGTCGCAAAGCTCTGTTGGTGTGTCAAGGTAATTTGAACGAGGGTTCCGTGATCTAGTGTTTATTTTCAGACTGTGCGTCCTTTCCCTCTGCTCCCGGACTCCCGCAAGGTGAATCGGACTGCTGGTGCATATTTAGAAGGCCCTTCGCGTGTCATAGTGGGGCTGCTGATCACCCTTCGTGCACGTACTCAGCCCTGTATGCCTGTCTCTGGGCTTTCCTGTTGCATCTTCACAGCCCATGGAGGTAGGGAAACTTACTCAGTTAGGTTGGGGAAGCCTGTGTGAAGTCCGCTATTAGTGAGGGCTTGAAGGCAGGTCTTCCTGACTCTAAGCCTGTGTTCTTTCTCCTGTGTCGCAGTGCCTTCCTACTTCCCCATGGACCCCATTTCTCTTAAGTAGAAGCGCATCAAGGCTGTGTTCCTTACACTTCTGTGCACCTCTCCCTTTCTGTGTCTCTGTGTGCTGTGCGTAGCCACACATTTATGTGCACATATATATTTTATATATTGGTAGATTGTATTGCAAATGCAGTATCACAGGCTTTCAAGTAATATTTGATTGAATTATTTTGTTACAGTTACTTAGTGTTCTATCAGCATCTCCCTATATCATTAAAATTATTTATAAACTGATTTTTTTACATTAACTCTAAGGACATATTCTTTTTATTTATTTTCTATTTTTTTTAAAGATTTTTTTGTTTATTTGAAAGTCAGAGTTACACAGAGAGAGGAGAGGCAGAGAGAGAGAGAGAGAGAGAGAGATAGACAGACAGAGGTCTTCCATATGGTGGTTCACTCCCCAATTGGCTGCAATGGATGGAACTGCACTGATCCGAAGCCAGGAGCCAGGACCGTCTTCCAGGTCTCCCATGAGGGTGCAGGGGCCCAAGGACTTGGGCCATCTTGTACTGCTTTCCCAGGCCATAGTAGAGAGCTGGATCAGAAGTGGAGAAGCCGGATCTTGAACCAGTGCCCATATAGGGTGCCGGCTCTTCAGGCCAGGGCGTTAACGCAGTGTGCCACAGTGCCAGCCCTAGGACATATTCTAATTTAACTGTCTTTTACTTGTTTTTCTTTAAAAATTTTATTTATTTGAGAGGTAGAGTTAGAGACAGAGGAGGGAGAGATAGAAAGATCTTACATCCACTTGTTTACTCCCCAAATGGTTGCCACGCCGCAGCAGGGCTGATCGGAAGCCAGGAGCCAGAAGCGTCTTCTGGGTCTCTCACGCTGGTGCATGGTCCAAACACTTGGGCCATCTGCTGATGCTTTCCCAGGCCTTATCAGAGAGCTGGATCGGAAGAGGAGCAGCTGGGACACGAATAGGCACCCATAAGGGATGCCAGCGCCACAAGTGGAGGCTTAGCCTACTACTGCACATGGCCAGCTCCGCTTTTGTTTCGCAGTATTATACACGATTCAGTAGTAAGCATGTCTTTGATGTGAACTTTTTTCTTTTTTTCTTTTTCTTTTTATTTTTTTAATTTTTTATTTTATTTTTTTTTTATTATTTTTTTGACAGGCAGAGTGGACAGTGAGAGAGAGAGAGACAGAGAGAAAGGTCTTCCTTTGCCGTTGGTTCACCCTCCAATGGCCGCCGCGGCCGGCGTGCTGCGGCCGGCGCACCGCGCTGATCCGATGGCAGGAGCCAGGAGCCAGGTGCTTTTCCTGGTCTCCCATGGGGTGCAGGGCCCAAGCACTTGGGCCATCCTCCACTGCACTCCCTGGCCACAGCAGAGCGCTGGCCTGGAAGAGGGGCAACCGGGACAGAATCCGGCACCCCGACCGGGACTAGAACCCGGTGTGCCGGCGCCGCAAGGTGGAGGATTAGCCTAGTGAGCCGCGGCACCGGCCATGTGAACTTTTTTCTATCTTTTAAATATTTCCCTGGTAGAGAGACCTAATTTTATAGATACTAGAACAAAGGGTATAGATATATTTTTCATGCCATTGACTGGACTCGACAAGGCTTCTTTTTTTAAAAAAAAAAAAAAAAAAACACTTTGCCCAATGTACCTCTTTATTTATATGTGCATTAAAAGGAATCCAAAGTCTGAAACACTTTTGGTCCCAAGCATTTCAGGTAAGGGATACTCAACCTGTACCTCTTAATTAACTTTACTTTTCCCTCTTTCTATATTTTAACAATCAAAGCACATTTAAAAATTTTTTACTGGGGCAGGCGCTGTGGCACATTAGGCTAAGCCTCTGCCTGTGGCACCAGCAGCCCATTTGGGCGCCAGGTTATGCACCAGCTACTCTTCCAGTTTTCTGCTTATGACCCAAGGAAAGCAGTGGAAGATGGCCCAAATGCTTGGGCCCCTGTACCCACGTGGGAGACCCTGAAGAAGCTCCTGGCTCCTGGCTTTGGATTGGCCTAGCTCTGGATGTTGTGGCCATTTGGGGAATGAACCAGTGGATGGGAGATCTTTCTCTCTACCTCTCAAATAAATAAATAAAATTAAAATTTTTTTTTCTAAGAACCTTTGGGTTTCTTTGTTTTATTTCTATAGTAATTAAAGCTTACTTTTGGCTGGCACCATGGCTCAATAGGCTAATCCTCCACCTGTGGTGCTGGCACACCAGATTCTGTCCCGGTTGCCCCTCTTCCAGGCCAGCTCTCTGCTGTGGCCCGGGAGTGCAGTGGAGGATGGCCCAGGTGCTTGGGCCCTGCACCCCATGGGAGACCAGGAGGAAGCACCTGGCTCCTGCCTTCGGATCAGCGTGGTGCACCGGCCACAGTGGCCATTGTGGGGTGAACCAATGGAAAAAGGAAGACCTTTCTCTCTGTCTCTCTCACTGTCCACTCTGCCTGTCAAAAACTAAAAAAAAAATAAAAAATAAAAATAAAAAAAAGCTCACTTCTGTCAATAATAGAGATGGTAATAGAGCCAGATTCTTGCCGAGCCTTTTGCACACGCCCGCCTCTGCTCCAGGAGGCCACACGTGCGGTGCGTTTCCTCCCCTGTCAGCCTCTCTGTGGGCACTGTGGGTGCAGAAACAGAAGTGGCTTCCCTGGAGCAGCAGCTAGTACCTGCAGAGCCGGGCGGGAGCACGTGTCCTTAGCTGCTTCCACTGCTGTGTGAGTGTTCTCTGGTAATTCACAAGTGTCGCTTTGCTTTTCTTGCCCTTTATTTGGGAGGGGGAGACTCCAGCAATCTGGTTGTATTTAAGCAGCTGTTATGTAGCAGTTGTCTGTTACACACATGCAGTTCCTCTGCTCTCCGTTCTTAAGGAATTTGTGATTGGTTGAGAAGACAGATTATAACAAAGTAAGAAATTTGAAAACAATTAAGCAGCGCATCTGTATATGCAAAACTGGGTAGTGAAGATTAAATGCGGAAGTACCAAGTGGCCTCTAGAATTGGGACCCTCTCCTTCCCGCAGCAGATGGTCTTGTAGGGCAAGCGTGGCTTCCTGTGGGCCGTCTGAGCCAGATCCTGACAGGTGTTGGTGAACTTGAATGGAAGGTGCACAACAAAGAAGGCTGCTGTCTGCTGCCCTAAAAGCAGGACTCCTGTTGTCACGTAGGATTTTTTCACCTTTTTTTTTTTTTAAGACTTAAGAATACCTCTGTAATCAAGGATTTCTTGGGCTTCCCAGGAGGTCCCTATAAAACTTGGTTTTTCCATTTCCTCTATGAATTGCCAGGCTAGCTGTGGAAGCTAATGGAAACTGACCGCATTTTAATTTTTTTTTTTTTAAGGCCAGTTGAAAAAAGCAGCAAGTTGGTTGTTTAAGAATGCAGAGCCTCTGAAGTCTCTCTCCCTGGCCTCTGATGGCCGCGATGGCCTGGGTGCTGTGGCAGCCCCCCGACTCTCTGGAGTGGAAATCAAAGCCGAGAGCGTGTGCATCTGCTTTATCGACGACTGCATGGACTGCGACGTGCCTCTCGCCGAGCTCACGTTCTCCCGTGAGTGCTGCCCTGTCTTCAGATGCATCCACTGACTGCGGAGTTACTTGGGCTTTTTTTTAAATGTTATTATTCATGCTGTCTTCTTAGTGGTATGGGTGTAATTTAGATAATGCTTTTCCATATGCTTTTTATTATGTGTGTGTGTGTGTGTGTGCATTTTAAGATTTATGTATTTGTTTGAAAGGCAGAGTTAGAGAGAGAGCAAGAGATCGAGATCTTCCATCTGCTGGTTTACTCCCCAGATGGCTACAATGGCCCACATTGGGCCTGGCTGAAGCCAGGAGCCAGGAGTTTCATCTGAGTTTCCTGCGAGGGTGCAGGGGCACAAGTACTTGGGGCATCTTCTGCTGCTTTCCCAGGTCATTAGCAGGGAGCTGGATTGAAAATGGAGCTGCTGGGACTCAAACTGGCACTCACTGGAAACTGGTGCTCTCGGAGGTGGGTTAACCCACAGTAGCACAGCCCTGGCTATGTGTATTTTAAAGATACTTTTACTTATTTGCCATATGCGGCCTTCAGCATATAGCTGAATAATAGAAACTGTCATTGATAAAATTTCTATTATATTAGCAGCTGTAGCTAAGTAATTCTTGATCTCTCCATTTTGCTTGTCTTTTATGTATCTGAAGATGATAGTGAATGCCATTACTAAAGGCATTTTAAAGGAAAGCTTGATGGGGCTGGCGCTGTGGCACAGTGGATTAAGCTGCTGCCTGAAGCACAGGCATTCCATATGGGCATGGGTTCAAGTCCCGGCTGCTCCACTTCTGACCCAGCTCCCTGCTACTGTTTCTGGGAAGGCAGCAGAGGATGGCCCAGGTGCTTGGGCCCCTGCACTCATGTGGGAGATCCAAAAGAAGCCCTTGACTCCTGGCTTCAACCTGGCCCGGCCCAAGCACCTGGGCCGTCCTCCACTGCCTTCCCAGGCCATTGCAGAGCGCTGGATTGGAAGAGGGGCAGCTGGGACTAGAACCAGCACCTCAGGCGATGGGTTAACCTACTGCCCCACAGAGCCAGCCCCTGTAACTCTCTTTAAAATAAAAACAAAACTCAGAAAATGATGTTTTTACCCTTTTTAGCTCTTGAAAATTAAAAAAGAAGACAAGAACCTTGTTGGAAAGCTCACCTTTGAGCCTCTCCCTAGGACCATGTCGGAGGTGAAAGCCTCTTCGTGTGGGAGCTGTTCTCTAAGTGGAGGGGTCCAGGTCAGGACTGCTTAGTCCTGCGGGGCGTCACTGCCCGTGCTCTGGGAGCGGGGCTCCCTCCCACGTCCACCTTTGCTTTCCGTTCAGCCAGCTTCTTTTTCCCTTCCAGTTGATTGTATGGCTTTGACTTGACTTCTGTACGCTGTAATACTTCTTTTCCCTGTGCTTCCAGACACTGCCAGGACTGCCTGATTACAAGTAACCACTGGGGCGGGGGCCGCAGCTCACTAGGCTAATCCTCCACCTTGCGGCGCCTGCACACCGGGTTCTAGTCCCGGTTGGGGTGCCGGATTCTGTCCCGGTTGCCCCTCTTCCAGGCCAGCGCTCTGCTGTGGCCCGGGAGTGCAGTGGAGGATGGCCCAAGTGCTTGGGCCCTGCACCCCATGGGAGACCAGGAGAAGCACCTGGCTCCTGCCTTCGGATCAGCGCGATGTGCCGGCTGCAGCGTGCCAGCCGCGGTGGCCATTGGAGGGTGAACCAGCGGCAAAAGGAAGACCTTTCTGTCTCTCTCTCTCACCGTCCACTCTGCCTTTCAAAAAAAAGTAACCACTGGGGATTCTGTTTTCATGAATATCTTTTCTGTAGAGGCTAATTAGATGATTACTTATTTTTCTGTGGTAATCCTAGAATTTTGAGCTAGTATTTTTCAGGACATAACTGCTCTTATCACCATGTGTTCTTTTCATGTATATATGTAGATATCTTTTTACTTTCCCAGTGGCTTTGATACATGTGAGTGGCAGAGCTGGGAGACACAATATTTAAGGAAGTGCCAAAAAACTCAACAATCAAGATAAATAGTACTTAATGCACTATTTTTAAAAATGCAAATTGATACAGGCATAAATGACTAAAAATCACAGTTGTGTGTGCTTGCCCGTGAGACCTGCAGTGCTGGTGGAGCTGGCGTGTCCCCAGTGTCGCTGTCTGCAGACAGGACTCCCGCTCCTGCCCCCTGCAGCCGTGGGCTCTGCTTTCCTTTCAGGTCTGAATTTTCTGCAGCACATGAGGAGCAGCTTCGAGGGCTACGCCCACTTCACTCTCTCTGGAGATTACTATAACCGCGCTCTGTCAGGTCAGTAGAAAGCATGTATTATCGTGGGATTTAAAAAATAAATTTAAACGTGTGCCTTGGGCCCATTGTTACATACATTTGACATGAAGGAATGGAGGGTAGAGGCAGGACAGCAAAGATTAAAAGCAAGTGACTGCAGAAGCACAGAAGATACGGTTTTTTGTTTTTCTAAAATGTCTCTGATAGGTTACAAGTGAGTTATTTAAAAAGGAGTTTTCTTGGCCGGCGCCGCGGCTCACTAGGCTAATCCTCCGCCTAGCGGCGCCGCCACACCGGGTTCTAGTCCCGGTTGCCCCTCTTCCAGGCCAGCTCTCTGCTGTGGTCAGGGAGTGCAGTGGAGGATGGCCCAGGTGCTTGGGCCCTGCACCCCATGGGAGACCAGGAAAAGCACCTGGCTCCTGGCTCCTGCCATCGGATCAGCGCGGTGCACCGGCCGCAGCGCGCCGGCCGCGGCGGCCATTGGAGGGTGAACCAACGGCAAAGGAAGACCTTTCTCTTTGTCTCTCTCTCTCACTGTCCACTCTAAAATGTCTCTGGTAGGTTACAAGTGAGTTACAAGTGAGTTATTTAAAAAGGAGTCTTCGTGGTTGCTTCTTTCTCATCCTGGAGTTTGACTCATTCCAGAACATGACGTTGCTCAGTAGAGAAGCATCACTGGGCCCTCATGATAGCCAAATTTCAAGGGGAGCTCTAAGCCCATCAGCATTTTTAACCTTGAGTCTCTTCACTCCCGCGGCCTTGTTTGTCTCATTAGCAGTGTGCGGAGTCAGTGATAACCTACTCCCTAAGAAAATGCAGTTGATCAGACAAGTGTGTTTTGGAAGCTGTTAGATCCAGATAACACTTCCAGGCGTTTTCAGGTTCTGTATGCAGTCATGGGCAGGACCGGGATGAGGGCCTGTACGGGTTGGAATCTAGAAGGCGTCCTGTATTAGGGCCTTGTGATTTGAGCTGTGAACTTCTTTGCCTTAAGAGAGATGAAAGAAATTCCCATCAGGATTCCTAGTAGGTGTGGACAGAAGCAGCAGAGTAATGTTGTGCAGTCGGAGGTGTAAACCGATGATTGATTTTTCCCTTTGATGTCAATGAAAAATTCAGCCTCCGTTGGTTATGCTGCTGCTGATTGTTGTAGGGACCTATCACATTCAATTTTAAGGTAGTTAACATCTCCCTCTGTTCTGGATTCACTTAAAGGTAACACTCTGATTTCCTATTGTTCAAAATATGTAACTTTAGAGTAATGATCCAAGTCTTCCTAGCTGAGAGAAACTCATGCAGGGCATATGGTAGTTATTTTTCTGAGAACGATTTATTTTCCTAGACAAAATATTGCTTACTTTTAAAGTTGTATGAAGACATTCTGGTTACTAAGTGGCAAATGCAGGGAAATTAATGGAGCTACTCTGCACGACATACTATATTGGAGTTTTGTTGGTAAATTTCCTGCTCTGTGGCTGATTGAGTTAGTGTATTTAACACTGGAAAAGGACTGGTCTTCAAAAATGAATCTTTCAAATCACACTGAGATGGGCTTTCACACCCAACAGATAGGTCAGGTTTAATTTTGCCCCTAGTAAGTATTGGTGAAGATCCGATCCATGGTTCCTCCTGTTAGAATTGTGAGTTTTTATAGCTACGTTGGAAAACAATTTGGCAAGACTGAGTAAAACTGAATACAAGCCTACTCAGCCTCGCTATATTCTGCCTCCAGGCCTCCAGGTCTATACCTGGGAGGCGCTCTTAGCTGTTTCTACTAGAATAAGTGTAAAGACTGCTGGTGTTCTTAACAGCAATAAAACTAAAATCTGATTATCTTTCAGACGTAGAATGGATAAATATATGCAATAGTGGGTTATTGCTCAGTGATGAAAATGAATGTGTCACAGCTGTGTGCATCAAATATACAACAGTATGCTCAGAGAGGTGTTGTTGAGCAAAAATAGAAACCTAAGGAATAAGTACAGTGACTTCTGGGAAGATCATAAGCAGGAAAAAACGAATCAGTATGTTCTTAGGAATCGCATACATGTGTGGTAGAATTATGAAGAAGAACAATACACATAATTCAAATTTCAAGTTCTAATAGGAGAGGGTTGAGAGGAAGAAAGGGATGAGATTAGGGAGTGGCACTTGGGGAATTAAGATGAATAGTTGGTACATGAGTATTTGCTATGTATTCTTTTTTTTTCTTTAAAGATTTATTTATTTATTTAAATTCAGAGTTACACAGAGAGGAGAGGCAGAGAGAGAGGTCTTCCATCCACTGGTTCACTCCCCAGTTGGCTGCAACGGCCGGAGCTGAGCCGATCTGAAGCCAGGAGCCAGGAGCTTCTTCCGGGTCTCCCACGTGGGTGCAGGGGCCCAAGAACGTAGGCCATCTGTACTGCTTTCCCAGGCCATAGCAGAGAACTGGATTGGAAGTGGAGCAGCCAGGACTTGAACTGGCGCCCATATGGGATGCCTGCACTGCAAGCGGTGGCTTTACCTGCCATGCCACAGTGCTGGCCCCAACAATGTATTATTCGTTAAACTGTGCCTGTGTGTTTTTATATGCCTCATATGTATGACAATGTTTTAAGGGAAAAAATGTGAAAATGTTAAGTTCTTGGGCCTGCAGATAGACCTGTTTATCAGTTAATGGACATTCATGTAACCAACAAAGTTACATTTAATAGTTGTTTAAGCTGCTGTTGTTTCTTCAACCCGAGTTGAGACTCCCTTTTCCACCTGAGTGGCTTAGCAATGAGTCCTGTGTGCCCTTTAGTGGGAGAGGGCACAGTACTCCCTGTCCTCCTTCCTGCCGTCTAGGGAAGACCACGGAACGGACACCTGTGCACTCTTCCTCGTACAGCCCCTGGACAGTGCAGGCATCTGCTAACGGTGGCGCTTCTGTGCTAAAAGTGAACTGCAGTTACGAAGCTGTGAAACTCTCCTTTGTCCTTGCTGAGCATTTGTGAAAGGTGTCCCTGTCGGCTCCTGATGCCCGCTGAGCAGGTGTCCTGTTTCCTTTGTGCTCTAGGCTGGGAGCCCTTCATTGAGCCGTGGCCGTGCTCTGTGTCCTGGCAGCAACAGGCAGCCAGTCGTCTGCACCCTCCTCGCCTGAAGCTGGAGGCGAAGGCCAGACCCCGTCTGGATATCAATATCACTTCCGTGCTGATCGGTGAGTGCAAACTTGGTCCCTTGTTGGAGGGAACGTCCTAGTATGTGAGAGTCCTAAAAGCCTCTCACACCTATGTGAGCATGGCGTGGTCCTATGTGAGCCCATGTCAGGCTTCGTGTATTCACCTCGGCTGTTGTCCTGTTAGACCTGAACCTGGCCTTGTGATTCTTCTCAGCCTATTTCTGCAGCCTGTCACCCAAATGGGAGACTCAAATGGCGTTCCTGGGTTCTGCCTTCACTCTGGTGTAGCCCTGACCGTTGTGGGCATTTAGGGAGTGAACCAGCCCAGTACACAACAGCCCAGGGCTGAAGCCCAGAGCTGGGAACCTAGTCCAGGTTTTCCAGTCATTTGCACCATCATTGCTGCCTCCCAGGCTCTGCATAGCAGGAAGTGTAGTCAGGAGCCAGAACTGGGAATCGAACCCATGTAGGTGTCTTAACAGGAGTCTTAAACGCCCCGTAGCCTCCCTGCTGGTCTGTCTGCCAGCCTCTCCTTTGGCGTGGCATGCTGTGCTCTTTGCAGGCCCAGTCTTTCCTTTTTCAGACTTCTTGCTAAGGCCCTACCCCAATATGGTCTGCTAAAGCCAAATCAGAGTATTCATTGTTCCCGAGGTGTGCGCGTACTTTGATGTTTCACAGTCGTTGCATATGCTGTTGCTTCTCCCTGGATGTTATTCTTCGAGATCCAGAGCAGAGGTCCCCACCTCTGATTTCCCTGGACCTTCGTGTACACTACCCCACTTCTGCCGTACAGAAAAAAGCTCCTCTTCTTTGTCCCCATAGAATTGTGTTTCTCTTAGCTTTAGACCTTTCACATTGCAGGGCTGTGGCCATGGTTGCTGTGTTCCTATTACTCTCTTGCGACGGAGTGTGAAGTTTCCGGCCTGGTCTTCTCAGAATCTGGCAGAGGCCTGCGTGACAGGGAGGCAGCCATCAGTGAACACTTGCTTTTCTGACCTGAAGTTATTTGACCTGAACCCTCAATCTTTTCTACTTGTCTTTTTAATATCTTGGGGATTCTTTCTAGATCAGTATGTAAGTACCAAGGAATCCTGGATGGCAGATTACTGTAAAGAGGACAAAGAAGTAGAGGCAACCGAATCAGAAGACTGGATGGGCTCATCGGTGGATCCACCATGCTTTGGACAAAGTAAGGTCTTTTCTACAAATGTCTAACCGAGTCACTGCTGACCTGCAGAGCAAGGCTTCTCTGAGAAATTAAAATGAACCAAAATTCTTCATGGAAGAACAGATTGGAAATTCTGAATAGCTTCTGTGGGTTCTGTTTTAGTCTTTGAGAGAGAGTTTTCTGGCATGGACTACTGAGTTTTGAATGTGGCTCTAATTCTGCTTTTGATAGGGAGAAAGGATGTATGGGACATATGTCCTGAATTCCAGTAACCTGTGCATGACTGGTGTACTTGAGAATGCATTGGGATCAGTAGTTGTTTGGTTTGTGTTTTATCTGGCAAAACATTGGTTTTCCAGTCAATTATACTTTTTGACCACTTTTAAAAACTTTTTTATATATTTGTTTTCACTTTATTTGAAAAGCAGAGAGTTGGGGGCATTGGAAGGAGACAGGCAGAGATAGGTCTTCTGTCCTCTCTCTTCTGTCCTCCACATGCCTGCAACAACTAGCACTGAGCCGGCTGAGTCAGGAACTCCATCCCAGTCTCCCACTTGGGCAGGGACCAAGTGCCTCCGCCATTACTGCTGCCTTCTGGGCTGTGCATCAGCAAGCAACTGGGGTGGAAGTGGAAGAGCCGGGACTGGAACAGGCACTCTGATATGGGATGCAGCATGGCTGTTTTGCCAAACATACATCTTTGACCAGATTTAAAAAACAAAACAAACCAGATAAGTAGGATTTATTTGCTTTTAAGATTTATTTTATTTTATTTATTTTTACTTGAAAGGCAAAGAGTTTTCTTCCCTTATTTCCAGCCTCATCTTGGAGGTTTGTTTTCCTCTGAGCCGGGAGATTGTGCTGACAACTGCATGGTCTTCCTGTCCCACAGCCACTGTCCCCCAGCGCAGCCCTACCTTTTCAGTGTGGCTTCTTGGGGCGCCTGGGCTGAAGTTCACATAGCTTGTGAATACTTTGGTATTCCATCTGGTCTGTGCACAGGTCATGGGAAGACGGTTTCCGCGTGTATGTAGCATCTGTATGGGCCCACCTCTCCTCAGGGTGTGTCTGCCTTGGGCCCGCGGAAGAAAGGAGAGACCAGCTATGCTGGTTCTCTGCCCCGGGCTGCTGCTTTGGAGTCCCAAGGCCAGGGCCACTCAGTGCTCATCAACTTCTCTTCCGGCTCCTCCTCCAACCTACCCAGTGTGTCTCAGCAAATGTAACATGGTCTGTCAGAAGACTGATTAAACTCTGTAATAAGGAACGTATGCAGTGGTAATCCAGGGGAGCCGAAATCCGGCCTGCGCTGTGCAAACACAAGGAAGGGCCAAGCTTCGGGATTCTGAGGAAAACCTTCCTTGTCCCCTGCTTTTCTTTCTGTCCCTTTAAAAACTTTCTCCTCTCTTTTCTCTAGTTAGTAAGCTGTTTTATTTATATTAAATGCCAGGGCTAAGTTAAACCTTGTTTTATTTAGTTAGAGATTTTTATGGTTACTTCTGGGGGAATAAGCAGACATAACCGAATATACGTCAATTTCCGAGCATCTTTTCTCGTTGGAAATTCCCGAGTGACAGTGCGGCTGATGCCAGGCTGTGTCCTGTAGACCTGCTCAGCTGATGGCGGGGCCTTTGTTGTGAGAGTCAGGAGGTTTCAACCTTGTTGAACTCATAACTTTGATGTCTTATTCAAGAATATTTAGTCATATTCCCTCAAAAGTTATGCTTTTTAATCAGACCAGTCTTAAAATGAGCCCTTGGAATAGCCCCTACTCAGCCTGAGAGGACTTGGGGCTTCTCACTGTTTCTTCCGGGGGGAAGAGGGTATGGCCTCATCCTGACGTAACTCTGGGCCTCTTCAGGAAGGGCCTGAGATTCTGCACATGACCTGGGTGTGTGGCACTTCACTGAATCCATTTTATATTCCAAGGATGTTTGAATGCACATGAAAATGTATAGTATAAATAGCCTTAAAATTTCCATACTTAATTTAGAATTTAAACAGTACTATGAGATAACTCCTTAGTAGAGGTTGTTTAGATTTGGAACCCAGCATGGCTTTTCCCCTGAATTTTGAGACCCACCGTGATCGCATTCTGCTGCTCCTGTGTTCCAGTTTGATTGGAGCAGCTGCTGCTAAAATCGGTACTGACTGGTTTCTGCTGAGTTTTCTGTGCCATTTAAAATCATAACATGCTTCAAATAAAAATCCCTAAAGGCTTATCATTTTGTTCCAGGAAACATTCAATACAGTTTTTTCTCCTAATTCAGGGAGAAAGAAAAGGAGTGTGTTGCCTTGACACCAGCCCTGCAATAAAAACTCACGTAGCCAATACTGTGTTCCTTTGTCAAGTACAGTCCTACTCCCAGTCATCGGTGAAAGGCAGGATCCTGTGACTGCATGATGCTTGCTGTTCTTGTAACATTCTCTGTGCTTATTGTTTGCAGGGGAGTCTTCTTGGCTGTATTTACCTTACCCTCTAACTTCGTCTCTCCTGTCTACCAGGCCTCCCCCTTGTCTACCTTAGAACTAGGAGTACAGCCAGTCTGACTAACCTAGAGCACCAGATCTATGCTAGAGGTACAGTACAGCCAAGCGAGGGCTTGCTTATCTTCCTCTTCTAAGAACTGCCTTGCATGTGGATTTCTTTTTTTTTTTTTTTTTCTGGGTGGGAACTGAATGAGGGTATACCCAGTTGTGAGTGCTTTGCTCTAGTAGTAGGAAAGAACGTTTCAAGCTAATGAACAATGTGACATTTTATATCAGAAGTAACCCATGTGCTAACTCTCATATATGGGTATCTTCCGTTTCCCTTAACTTTTTGTGGAAGTGGAATAAACTACATAGCTTATGATGCAGAAATACTTGCTGTCAGTTAGGCTGGATTGCTCATACTGAAAAGCAAGCAAATGGAGGGCTCATCCTCCATCTGGCAGGGCTACATGTCTCTATTTGTAGAACACCCAGTCAATACTTACTCTCATGGGAATGCAAGAGCTTTATGGATTAGGAGCTATAACGATCAAAAACAAAACAAAGGAAAAAATGTTCACTACAGTAAATGGTTGTGTGGGCACAAACCTGTGTGCTTTAGAGGTAGGAAAGAAAGTGTTCTTTATTTCTATCCCTGACCCTTTGGGGTTGCTGGAGAGTTTGGAGAGTAAATATGGGAGAAAGCACTGCATCCTCTAAAGGGCTGGAATCCCGAGTGGTTATGTTTAAGGAGCACAGTTTAATCTAATGGTTTCTGTTTATACATGGCTAGTTCCAACCTTGGATCATGATATATTTTATAAAAAGGTCATTGGAGTCATTCCCCCTACCAGTGTGCACAATGATGGACACAGGATATTACCATGAGTTTTTTCTGTTGGATTTTCTTGGGGTGGATGTTTGAGGGGGCACTCACAAAGAAAGCCCATAGCTGAACCTGCATTCATTCATGAGCTGATACTTCTAAGCTTTCCTACACGTCATTTGATGTTTCTGGCTAAGCCAAGCACTGCTGCTCTGTAGCTGATGAGGACAGTGAGGCTGAGAGAGACCGACAGTTTGCCTTCATTCGGTAGCGGAGCAGAGGCTTTAGTCTAACTGGGATTCGCAGGCAGGTCCTTTCAGGCAGACTGAGCTGCTCTTACAGCGGGAGAACCTGCACTGGTGATGAGGGGCAGATGGCTCTGGGAAGCAAGGGTAGAGCGGTAGGCATTTCCTTAGCTGCGCTGTTTGAAGCTGAATCTGGATGTAAGAAGTTTTTGGTTCATTCAACCCATGAAGAAATTGATATTAGTCGCTTGAGGCCACCAGGGGATACTGTCGTTGCTGATAGACGGGGGATCTTTTTCTCTGGCGCAGAGGCAAGTGCAGAGGTTATCTGGAGCCTAGTGCAGGAGATGGCACGACTGTTCCCTGACGTTGGGTTTGCATTTGTGTGCATTGAAGTCTATGCTCTTAGTCTAATCAACCCGAGAAGCTTGGGTGTGTAGCAGTTGCCTACCCATGCTGTTTAATTCCAAAGCAGTATGCTTGTGGATATCTTTGTATTGATTCCAAGCACTTACTCCATATTATAAAGTGATCAAAGCCATCTGCCACCTGTGCTTTTTACATCCAGTGGAAACTTCCAGTCTGGCTCGCGGCGGGTGATGGAAGCACATCTGGCTTGTTTTGCTGCGGGCCCTTCATCTACTGCAGTAAAAGCAGCTCTCTCATTGCTCTCCTGGAGAGGGAGGTGCCTTTCAGAGTGCCACAGTGAATACTGGTTACCCTGCAGAAAGCTCTTACATGTTCCACTTCCCTCCTGTTCTTGTCAGCAGCCTCACAACTACTCCTTAATTTTCTGCTTGATGAGCGAAATTAAAAAAAAAAAAAAAGGTTATTTATTTGACAGAGTTACAGAGAGTGAGACCGAGGGCTCTTACTGGTACACACTCCAGATGGCCACAATGACCAGGGCTGGGCTAGGCCAAAGCCAGGTGCCAGGAGTCTCCCATATTTGTGGCAGGGTCCCAACCACTTGGGCCATCTTCTGCTGCTTTCCCCAGGCCATAAGCAGGGAGCTGGATTGGAAATGAAGCAGCTGGGACATGAACTGGTGCCCACATGGGATGCTGGCATCAGATTTGGCAGCTTTATCTGCTGTGCCAAAACACTGGCCTCAATTGTTTTTATCTTTGGGAAGTAAGTAGGACATCAAGGTGACAAATGGGTATATTCCTAGGCGGAAGTTATTTGTAGAAGTATTTGGGGTGCCACTCAGCGGCCACAAAATTGTGAGAGTACTAGAGATTGTTCATTTTTGTTATAGATTATATCTTAGACGCCTGAGCTATTGTTGCAAAAATAGAGCTTGCCTTGGTCTGAAATGGCTTGTTTTGTGGTGCTTATAGTACTAACTTCTGAAAACACTGGAAGAGGCAAAGCAAACAGAGGAAGCAGTCACTGACTGTTAGGCACTGCCCAGGACGTCCTGTGGGTCACGGATGGCCTGACACGCCGCCTATTGCCTTCTCCTTTTTCTTGGCTGGACACACAGGGTCTTGAGGCTGAGCTTGCGTCTCCTCTGGTGCTGTGTGCATTTGTAGTCCCCACGAGATACCATTTCCTCCATAGATAGCTTGGGTCACAGTGTTTCTCAGTTTGTTCCTGTGCACTAAGTCTAGACACAACAAGACTGTACCCTGTCTGCTGGGTAGTCTATGTGTTCATAAGCCTGTAGGCCAGGAGCCTTCCCCGTACTGAAATGATGTTGCCTTGGTGGTTCCTTTGGCCAACTCCCTCTTTGTGTGGCCAATGGAGGGGACACAGACTTGTGCTCAGAGGAGCTGATACCTGTCCCCTTAGCACTCTGCCCCGTGCCAGCCACACAGCCCTGGCAGCATGCCTGTGGTGGAATTCCCAGGTGGCCTGGGCACTAGAGACCTTCTTTGCATTTCTTGGGGTGTTTGTGGTCTCTAGGATTTGGTCACTGAGAGTTCCGTCTTGGTCGTTGTTCTTCCCCCAGCGTCCTGACTGGAAGCAGTTGTGTGAAATGCAGCTGCTTTTGTGGCCTCCACAGCGCCCACCATGTAGCTGTGGTGATGCCTGTGTTTTCAAAATATGAGCTAAGACTTTATTTGTGAAACGTTGGAAAAATATATCCCTGATTTTCCAGGAAGGAAAAACAGCTATGAGTGTAAGAGAATAGCACAGAATGTAAGTCCATGTGCTCCGTCTTGCTACAGTTTGGGTTACCTATGTAGAATATGTTGTTTGGGAACAGTGGAAGGTATGGCCCATTTCAGTTTCTTGATTCCGGCCGAGTTGGTTCCTGATGGCTTCTCAGACGTCAGATCCGTAAAGCGCTGTGGGAGAACTGAGGGCAGGGAGTAGTCAGAGGGCTGCCAGTCTTCCCCTAGCCCCCAGCAAGTACATAGAACCTCCCGTTTCTCCTCTTGGCAAGCCCGAGGTGGTTCCTTTTCTCTTTCCTCCGTCTTGCCCAAGAGCTGGCCACGCACACAGTCCAGGTGTGGGAGGGCTGTGCCCCAGCTACAGGCCTCTGCCATTCGCCACTTTCTGTTTGTCGTCGTAGAGGCGAAAACTCCGAAGCGCCGGCAGCCATTTGTTCCCTTTGCTCTGAGGAACCACACGGGGTGCACCTTGTGGTTTGCCACACTGACCACCACACCCACCAGGTAAGAGCACTCAGCCTGTCACACCGAGCCGTGTCTGCCACCAAAGCCCCCTTGCAGCAGCCCGGCAGAGGGAGCTGGACCCCTTCTGTGTGCATCATGCCTTGCTGTCCTGCTGAGACAGCGGAAGGATCGCTCTCGTTCTCTGCGAAGTGGGTCCTGAGCGTCACGTGGCCCTAGACTCCTGCTCCAGGGAGGCGAGGTGTTGAATGGAAGTCCAGCACGTCGAGGGTGTGTGTAAAGTGTGAAAGAACCAATTCCATCTTTTCTCCTCAGTTTCTGTGCCCTTCCCCCTTTAAAAAAAAAGCTATATATGGTTATTAAACTAAGGTTTTGAAAAATTTTCTTCCAAGACTGTTATGAAAATGCTACTGTTTTCCTTCTGCCCCGAAGGAATGATCTTCCATATCTAAGACACACTTCTGCACAGATGGAATTGGGTAGAGTTTAGAGAATGAATGAATGAGCCTATACCTATGCCAAGTGAGGACCTTTTCTTTTTTTTTTTTTTTTTTTGGTAGGCAGAATGGATAGTGAGAGAGAGAGACAGAGAGAAAGGTCCTCTTTTTGCCGTTGGTCCGAAGGCAGGAGCCAGGTGCTTCTCCTGGTCTCCCATGGGGTGCAGGGCCCAAGCACCTGGGCCATCCTCCACTGCACTCCCGGGCCACAGCAGAGAGCTGGCCTGGAAGAGGAGCAACCAGGACAGAATCGGGCGCCCCGACCGGGACTAGAACCCAGTGTGCCGGCGCCACAAGGCGGAGGATTAGCTTAGTGAGCCGCGGCGCCGGCCTAGTGAGGACCTTTTCTAACACCTTTCTGCCTGTTTAGGTCTTGGCTCAAAGTTCCAAATGCATGATCTTCCTAGTGTAGGTGACACAGTACGTGAGATGGGTGACAGCATCCGCGTTTCCCCTGCCTCCACAAAGCACGGTGATGCCCCAGGAGGAGGTGTGTGTGTCTGTTAGCGCCTGCCCTGTCTCTGAACTGCCACTGTAAAGGGCCAGGCCTTAGTGCCCATGGCCCGCTCTTTGCTGCTGGAGGTGAGCGAGTGGGTCGGGATACTGTGTCTCAGACTGGTGACTGAGGTGAGGGACCGTTCAGGTCATCCTTTCTAGCCTGACCCTGCTGCCGTGTTGCTGTGAGTCCCGGGCAGGGTGGGGAAGCAGGGACCTCTGGTCCTCAGCCAGAGCTCCTGTGAGGGCGTGCTGAGGCGGGGGGAAAGCTGTCCTCTGCGTGGTTGCAGGGCTGCACTGTCTCACAGCGGGAGCCCAGGAGTGGTGCCAGAAGGGAGCAGGACATTTCTTGATGATGCCCACAATGTCAGTGAGTGGCGAGAAGTCCTCACAGGTGAAGAGATTCCTTTTGAGTTTGAAGCAAGAGGAAAGTTAAGACACAGGTAAAGTGTGATGTATTCTTTTCCTTTTAAAAATAAAAGTGGTTATAAATGATTGTTCCTGATATTTTGCCTTTTGACTTTGCTTACTAATGATTTTAATGTATTTTTAAAAGATATCTTGAAAATCAGTGTTTACTTTTAAAAAATAGACTGTCTTCTATCTTCGAAATGCATGTCTTTCCATTAATTATCTGTTTATTTGACATCTGAGGTGCGTTTCATATAATTTGGTTGAAACATTGACGATCATAACACTCAAGTTCATTGTATCCTGGCCTGTTTCTCATGATGTGGTAGTGTCATGGTGCTCCTAAAAGCTTCTCAAAGGGTGTTGATTTCATCTTTTACACACACACACACACAGTGCATGTATGTGTACATGTGCACACGTATTTACACACATGTGCGTACATATGTATAAACCTGCACATGGCACTTTTAGTGAGCAGATAGCTTCAGGGAGCAGAACCAGAAATTATAGTGTAGACGTTGAGATTCTAAGATGGGTAAGAGCAGCTCATCTTGGAGTCCTGCTAGCTGATACAGTCTCTGAAGTAACCAGCCAAAGGACTGGAATAAATCTAGAAAAAGGTTATACCTGGGTGTTGTGAGATCATAAAATGTTTGATAAAAATTTAAAACAAATTAAATGAAAGTGGGCTGTCCAGTGGAAATGAATAGGTGAAGGCCTAGTGCTGGGAGGTTGAGATCTGTGTGCTTGAGTGTTGGCTGCAATTTGGGGCTGAGCTGAAATGCAAGAGATTCACTTCAGTCTCATGTAGTCGTGTGCTTTTCATGATGCTGTACGTCTGTGTGTGCCAGCCTGTGCCTACATCAGGCATGTCTTCCCTTCCTGTAGCTCTGTACTGGCATACATTATTCCCAGCTGGCAAGAGTTCTGAGCCTGTGATCTCTGGGGGCTTTATAGGGCAAAGAAAAAAAAATTTAAATCCACATGCTGGGCATATGTACCTGGAAGCCACTTCAGAGCTCCCAGGAATGGGTGGTGAGCGTTTTCCTGTCCTCCCCCTAGTTCTTGGAGAAGCAATCTATGGAGCTGTCGGCCATATTTCTTAGTAAGCACTGCCTTTGCTGTATCAGAGAGGGTTTGACCTTGCTGTTGGTTCCGTTTTACTTTCCATATTCTGTACCCCATTTCAAGTCCCACTGTTCTGCTTGAATTCATCAAAATAAATGCTTTTTCTGGCATGTTCCCTTTTGGCACTCTACCCCACTCCGCACCTCCCTCCTCCCTCCCTGTCAGCCTCAACTCCAGTTCCCCATTTCAGGCTTCTGGCTTGAATTAGGCAAAATCTAAAATAGAATTAAATGTGCAGTTTCCTCCCGTTCCTTCTGTTTTGCCCACTGCCTTCTGCACTTCAGCCCTGCCTTGCTGATGGCTGTCTTGCTACCCTGACTTTAGTCATGAAGGGCTGGAGGCAAACAACTGACTGCAGTGCCTAGAGGAGCAGACTGTCCAACAAAGGAACCAAGGAGAAATTTTAGCCATTTTTCTAAGATTATGACTGCTTGGTTATATCACTAGTGTACTTTTTTGTTTTTAAAGCTTTATTTATTCATTTGAAAGTCAGAATTAAACAGAGTGAGAAGGAGAGGCAGAGAGAGAGAGAGAGAGAGAGAGAGAGAGAGAGAGGTGTCTTCCATCCGCTAGTTTACTCTCCAATTGGCCACAATGGCTGGAGCTACGCTGATCCGAAGCCAGGAGCCAGGAACCTCTTCCGCATCTCCCACATGGGTGCAGGGGCCCAAGGACTTAGGCCATCTTCTGCTGCTTCCCCAGGCCATCGCAGAGAGCTGGATCAGAAGAGGAGCAGCTGGGACTTGAACTGGCACCCATATGGGATGCGGGCACTGCAGGCGGCAGCTTTTACTTGCTATGCCACAGCACCAGCCTTACTGTTGTACTTTTACCACAACATTGAAATGATTGTAGTTGATGTCATAATTTCCTAACAGTTGAGGTGGGGCTGTTGGGGGAAGATCTGGGATAGTGTACAGATTCATGGTGTGTGGAAGGGGAGGATAAAATGCTGCTCTTGCTCATGATGAATCTTATTAAAATTTGTATCCTAATTTGTATCAGCTCTTGCTAACTATAAATCCCAACTCAACGACTCTCTTGATTTCCTTTGCGTCAGGTACTCTGCGATAGGTTTAGCCAGCTGGGTTTCCTGCCATCATACAGTAAATCAGCTTTGGCTCTTTGTCTCTGCTTTTCTTCCCCTGCTGAGACGGTGCTTACTTTGTTCTTTTTGACAGACACACCCATGACCTCCGAATTCATCAACTGCAAGTGAGAGTGAATGGCTGGGAGCAAGTGAGTCCAGTGTCTGTGGACAAAGTTGGGACCTTTTTCCGATATGCAGCTCCAGATAAAAATTCCTCTTCATCCACGGTGCGTGGTCATAGATTGTGTGTTTAATGGCGTGATGGTGCTGTGGCCACACCCCTCGAAGCCAGGCAGTCAGATAGTTAAGCCTGTAGTAAATCTGCTTTCATGAACTTGTCTTTCTATTTTCATGAATTCTAAGAAGAAGACCTAATGTTATCTTGGGTCAACCACAGGCATTGGTAATTGATATTTAATAAAGCAGACAATGGTTAATTTCAGTTGAATAACAAGATTGAAAAATGGCAGTAACATATTGTCTTATACACTGATCCATTTCATATTTGATGGCTAGATGCGAGTTATAATTGTCCCTTGATATCTAAGATCCTCACCTCTCCCCTGCCCCCACAGATAGGAAAACGCACAGATGCTCGGCCCCTCTATAAAATGGTGTTGAGTTTGCATATAACATATTTTAAGATTTATTTTATTTATAAGACAGAGTTAGAGAGAAGGGAGATGGAGAGAGAGATCATCCATCTGCTGGTTCTCTCCCCAGATAGCTGCAATGGCTGGGGCTGGGCCAGGCTGAAGCCAGGAGCCCGTAGCTTCCTCTGGGTCTCCCATGTGAGTGCAGGAGCTCAAGCACTTGGGCCTTCCTCCACTGCTTTCCCAGGCACATGATCAGGGTGCTGGATTTTAAGTGGAACAGCCAGGACTTGACCTGGCACCCTCATGGGATGCCAGCGCTGCAAGCTGTGGCTTTAACCCACTGTGCCCAGCACTGGCCCCAACATATACAGTGTCCTTTAAATCATCTCTAGAGTACTTAGAATACCTAATACAATATAAATGCTCTGTGAATAGGGAATATACCTAATGCAATATAAGTGCTCTGTGAATAGGGAATATAATGACAAGGGAAAAAAGACCTTTTCATGTTCAGGAGCAGTAGAACCATTTTAGTCCTGACCACACAGTACTTGATCCCAAATGGGTTGAATCTGTTGACATGGAACCCACAGAGAGGGAGAGCCAACTATGTTGGCGTTATTTGACATTTTTTTTAAAGTTTTTTGTTTTTATTATTTTTTTAAATTTATTTGAGAGTTAGAGTTATAAACAGAGAGAGAGGGAGAGACAGAGAGAAAGGTTTTCCATCCGCTGGTTCACTCCCCAGATGGCCGCAATGGACAAAGCTGAGCCGATTCTAAGCCAGGAGCCAGAAACCTCCTTCAGGTCTCCTAAGCAGGTGCAAGGGCCCAAGCACTTGGGCCATTCTCCGCTGCTTTCCCAGGCCACAGTAGAAAGCTGGATCAGAAGTGGAGCAGTCAGAACTTGAACTGGCACCCATATGAAATGCTGGCGCTGCACATAGAAGCTTAGCCTGCTAAGCCACAGTGCTGACCCCATTTAACATATTCCTAACTTCCTATACACTGTCTTTTTTTTGCATTTCCTATAACATAGCTCCAAGTCCTTCTCTGTGGCACAAAGAGAGATGTCATTAATTTTCTGATCATACATAGTCTCACACAGCCTTGTCCTAATTTTGTCCCAGCTTGGAACCTAAGGTTCGAGGGCTAACCTGGAGCAATAATGCAGGCAGTGTCCCCGACTAATCTGTGCTGAGTAGGCTGGCGTCCTGGTGGCTGCAGCCTCCAGGGATGCTCCTGCCCGATACCCGACTTCATTGTATCCTTACACTTGTTTTGTGGGTAGCAGTGGCAAGGTGAGAAGCGCAGATTTTTGTAGATCCTGCAGCTTTCCTCATGAAAAGTGTTCCTGAGAACACTGTTCTACAAATGTTTGTTTTCACAGTTGCCCTCTGATGCCCTGTTTTTAGAACAAAAATGAAGCTTACTTTTCTATATTACTTTTCTGCCTAAATTAGTGTCTGGTAATAAAAGAACTAATTTCTCCCCACAGGCATCTTTCTCTTGTATTGATATATTCTAGAGGAGTCCTGCATACATTGAATGGTTGTGAAATGAGTGTTGTTTTCCCCATCTCTTCCAAGAGATGTTTTCTCAATAGACTATGCTTTGTCTAAAAGTATTTGCAAATACCACCCTTTTAAGCAAATTATGTTGTCATTGAACTTAATGATGCCTGTTACTTGAGGCCTCTGCTGACCCTGAGTCTTGGAATCTTTCTTAGATTGGCAGCCCAAGCAGCAGAACAAATATTATACATCCCCAAGTCTATGTGAGTATGGCTTTCCTGTTGTCATCGTGTTACTGAGTAGATACGCTGCACCCAAGCTGTACGTGGATGCGAATTTCTTGGTGATTAAAGGACTTTATGATGTGTGTTTGATCGCTGCTCTTTTCTATGGTGATTACCTTCCTTTTCCAAACCCTTGCAAGGGAATTTTCTCACCTAACTTGGAACGTGAAACTGAGTCTTACAGGGAAGGAGAAGAAAAGGCAGATGGTTTAGTCCAATGTCTCCTTTTCTCTCTACATTAAAATGACTGATATATCCTTACATATTTCATAAGATTTAGCCCAAAAAGTCTTGAAAGTAAACAATAAGGAAAAACAGTAAATTTTTTTGCCGTTTAGCATCTGAAACATGTCACAAGATGACATTAAAAATTTTTTTTAGGCTTAGAAGATTTCTTCTCTTTGAGGATTGTAAATTTTGAAATGTGGCATTTCAGGTGGACCTAGAAGCAACAATATCAAATTTCTAGTAGTTACTGATGGTGACTCTGTTGGATCTCAACTGGGGCTGGATCAGTGGAATCCTGAACTTTCATGATTGGTGTTTAAGATTGTGTCCCTTTGAAAACAAAAAGTATAGCTTGCCTTTCATTTGGACTTCCTGGGAGTCTTGGTTCAAAATGTAGAGCTTTTTGTTATGTTGTCTATTAGGTTGACTTTCACTTACCGTTTGTTTTAATAGAAGTGTTGCCAGAGTGAAAAGCTGGGATGAGTGTCATTTGCTTCTCTAGTTGAAAAGCGCTGTCAGTATGTCTGTACCCTCATTTTAAGAGCAGTCGTTCCCAAGTCTTCCTCTCTGTGGTCTACTTAAGTTGCTGCTGCTGCTGCTGCTGCTTCTATCACGTGGCAGTGGTACAGAATGTGTATTGAATGAACACAGGAAAATACTAGTGGCCACAACCCAAGAGCAGAAATGAATGATTTCCCTCCATTATGTTTAGTTTGTGAACTTCAGTGTCCTATTTTGAAAGAGTGGTTATTAAATAAAACCTAGGTAGTTATTATGAAGAAAGAAAACTTTGTTTCTAAAGTTCTTTAAAACACAAACATTGGTTTTCCTGTAAGCATGTTAACTAATAGTGTATGAGCCCAAAGAATAAATTTTAAGACATGTAGAAAAAAGGAAGTTATTATTTGTTCCTGTGAAAAGCACATCAGTGAAGACAACTCTGTTGTACTCTCTGGATTCTACAAAGGCAAGTTTTAATCTCACAAGACTTCCTGCTGTTTTTCTGGGTGTATTTGGGTAGCACCCAACCCATTGTTGGTGTTCAAGGAATGTTTTCTCAATTTAATAGTAATCTGGGACGGAAGTAGCACAGAAGGTAAATCATTTAATGGTTTCCAAAGTCCTGCTTCAGAGTTGCTATTTTTAGTTGCTTTGGATGATATTTATTTTAGTCCCCTCCCGTGGAGTTGAAAACAAGTCTTGTTCACAGTTTCCATCTGAGAGCTGACCCAAGGGCATTGTGGATGAAGAGTAGCTTCCAGGAGCTATCCTTACCATGTTACAGGGAGCCTAGAAAATTGGACAGGTCACGACCACAGTTTTAGGTGATGTTTTTTATAATGTGTGTAGGGGCCTAAAACTGAATTTTCTTTACAACTAAATTTGTGACATGTCTTTCTACATTGTTTTGGAAATTTTATTACTGACAGGTTTTAGTAGTATATAGTTTATTGGATGTTCACTTGCTGTAATGTTGAATGCTTTAAGGATTTAATGACAAATTTCACTGAAGAATAAGTAATAATAGTAATAATCAGATGTGTTTCGTTTAGACATTCTGATGGTATTGCTGTATTTTGTGTGTTTTACAGACACACAGCCAAGTTACTTCTTTGTCTCCTTCACAGTTCTCTTCACTCCCGCCCGTCCGGGTGGTCTTTGCAGTGACTATGGAGGGCAGCGCTCGGAAAGTAATCACTGTTCGATCAGCGCTCATAGTGAGGAACCGGCTGGAGACACCCATGGAACTGAGACTGGACAGCCCGTCGGCCCCAGACAGTATGTTTTGATTGTCTAGAATATACTAAATGTCCATAAATATTTGTGGACTGTGACCATGGCTCTCTTCCCGGTGGGTGCCATCTAAGCAGTCGATGCATGTAGTCCTTCTCCCTCTGTCCATCTAAGCAGTCGATGCATGTAGTCCTTCTCCCTCTGTCCGTCTAAGCAGTCGATGCATGTAGTCCTTCTCCCTCTGTCCGTCTAAGCAGTCGATGCATGCAGTCCTTCTCCCTCTGTCCGTCTAAGCAGTCGATGCATGCAGTCCTTCTCCCTCTGTCCGTCTAAGCAGTCGATGCATGCAGTCCTTCTCCCTCTGTCCATCTAAGCAGTCGATGCATGCAGTCCTTCTCCCTCTGTCCGTCTAAGCAGTCGATGCATGCAGTCCTTCTCCCTCTGTCCGTCTAAGCAGTCGATGCATGCAGTCTTTCTCCCTCTGTCCGTCTAAGCAGTCGATGCATGCAGTCTTTCTCCCTCTGTCCATCTAAGCAGTCGATGCATGCAGTCCTTCTCCCTCTGTCCATCTAAGCAGTCGATGCATGTAGTCCTTCTCCCTCTGTCCATCTAAGCAGTCGATGCATGCAGTCCTTCTCCCTCTGTCCTGAGATGCTCAAGCTTCGGGCTGGAGGTGTGAGTGCTAATAGCGCTTATTTCTGTGGCAGAGCCGGTGGTGCTTCCTGCTGTCATGCCAGGGGACTCGTTTGCTGTGCCTTTACATCTCACCTCCTGGCGGCTCCAGGCCCGGCCCAAAGGATTGGGTGTGTTTTTCTGTAAGGCTCCTATTCACTGGACAAACGTTGTGAAGACTACAGAGGTTAGTAGCAGCAAACGAGAGTGCCACTCTATGGACACCGAAAAAAGCCGATTCTTCAGGTATGTGCTACTTCTGCAATGGCATGTTTAACATGTCGTTTTTCCCCCCTCAAGGTGACTATTACTATTCTCTCTCTAAGGATCCTTTGTGATTTAGTTGTGTTTATTTATTTTTTTTAAAGATTTATTTTTTTAATTAATTTATTTGACAGGTAGAGTTACAGACAGTGAGAGGGAGAGACAGAAAGAAAGGTCTTCCTTCCATTGGTTCACCCCCCAAATGGCCACCATGGCCGGCGCACTGCACTGATCCGAAGTCAGGAGCCAGGTGCTTCCTCCTGGTCTCCCATGCGGGTGCAGGGCCCAAGCACTTGGACCACCCTCCACTGCCTTTCCGGGCCACAGCAGAGAGCTGGAATGGAAGAGGAGCGACCGGGACCAGAACCCGGCGCCCATATGGGATTCCGGCGCCATAGGCGGAGGATTAGCCAAGTGAGCCCTAGTTGTGTTTATTTAAAACCTGAAGTTTCTGTGTTCTTGAGTTAGAGTTCCAGAGAACTAAAGGTTAACCCTTGCTTGGGGTAGAGAGGATTACTTATTTGGTATTTACGGGAGAAGCACTCAATAAACTTGCTATTCACACTTAAAAGATTAGAATCTTGGATATGAACATCAGCATAAAGAGAGGACAGGTAGGGAAAGACAGAAAAAAAAAAAACAGTTCTTGTTCCTAAATTACAATTCCTGTCCCTAAATTGGGAGGCAAAATCCTGGGATTGGTACATTTTTTTTAAAAGATTTATTTATTTATTTGAAAGGCATAATTACAGAGAGGCGGAGAGAGAGAGAGAGAGTGAGAGAGAGAGTCAGTCTTCCATCCTCTGGTTCACTCCGCGAGTGGCCACAACAGCTGGAGCTGGGCCGATCCGAAGCCAGGAGCCAGGAGCTTCTTCCAGGTCTCCCACACGGGTGCAGGGGCCCAAGCACTTCTACTGCTCTCCCAGGCCATAGCAGAGAGCTGGATCGGAAGTGGAGCAGCCAAGCATCAAATTGGCACTCGTATCGGATGCCGGCACTGCAGGTGGTGGCCCTACCTGCTGCTCCACAGCACCGGCCCCGATTGGTAGTTTTTGAGTGAAATATTTTAAAAATATTTTGGATGAAGGTTCACACACCTAGTACTGACTTGTATAAAATTGCCTAACCATTTAAACTCCTGTTTTTCCCTTTCGAAGAGTATTAAGTGATTGTTAATAGACCTCCTGTTGGAAAAAACACTGGATTGCTATTGTTAGACCCTAGTAATTGTAGACTTCAAACTTATTAGCGATCATTAGCTCTAATTTCCTTTATAGAGAAGACAGGCTTTTATTCAAATTAAAGGTAAGTAGAAGAATAGTATAAAAAAATGCAAGTAGTACCCTTCACCCAGGTCTGCCAGTTGTTAACAGACTGAAGGAAGGAAGGCGGAAGTGCACGGCCATGGTGGGGATTTTAGCGTTTCCCTTTCTGTAGTTTGTAGAATACAAAAACCAATGAGGATGGAAGATTTGATCAGTGCTGTCAGCGAGCTTGCTGTCCTGGACATTTGTCCAACACTTTACCCCGCAGCTCCAGAGTGTGTGTTCTTTTCGAGCATGTGTGCAGTGCTCACCGAGAGACCATCTGCTGGGCCCTAGAACAGAGATCAGTGACTATTAAAGAATTGAACCGTTCTGATTGTATTTCCTGATCACAGTAGGATTCAACCAGAACTGGAGTGGAATTCCTGGCTCCTGGCCCAGCCTGGCCCAGCCTGAGCTGTTGTGGCTATCTGGGGAGAGATCCAGTGGATGGAAGATATCATCACGCCCCACTCACTAACACTGCCTTTCAAATGAATAAATCTTAAAAATAAGGAAGATGAAAACCACTGATTTATTTTTATACCTTAAGTTATAAAAGGGAGAGCAAATTAAACACAATAACACGCAAAAAAAGGTAAACAATAAAATTAGAGTGGAAATCAGTGAACTAGAAAACAAACGAAAAATGTCAAAACTGGCTTCTTAAAGAGACTCATAAATTTGATAAACCTCTAGTAAGTGTAATGAAGAAAAAAAGAGAAAAACAAATTACCACTATAAGTAATGAAAGGAGACAGTATTGTAGATCATACATTAAGGAGATGATATAGGCGTAAAAACAATTTTATGTCAATAAATTCAACACTTAAATGATACCTGGCTTTTTTTTTTTTTTTTTTTTTTTTGACAGGCAGAGTGGACAGGTGGACAGTGAGAGAGAGAGACAGAGAGAAAGGTCTTCCTTTGCCATTGGTTCACCCTCCAATGGCCGACGCGGCCGGCGCGCTGCGGCTGGCGCACCGCGCTGATCCGATGGCAGGAGCCAGGAGCCAGGTGCTTTTCTTGGTCTCCCATGGGGTGCAGGGCCCAAGCACCTGGGCCATCCTCCACTGCACTCCCTGGCCACAGCAGAGAGCTGGCCTGGAAGAGGGGCAACCAGGACAGAATCCGGCACCCCGACCGGAACTAGAACCCGGTGTGCCGGCGCCGCTAGGCGGAGGATTAGCCTAGTGAGCCGCGGCGCCGGCCCGATACCTGGCTTTCTTGAAAAACACAAATTGCCAAAATTGATGCAAAGGAGTAGATAATTCAGATAGCCTAGTGTGTATTTTAAAAATTAAATGTATTTTAAAAACCTACCTGTGAAGAACACTATTGGCCTACATGACTTTACTACTTTTCTACCAGAAGAAAATATGAGGGTACTTCCAAATGTTAATGAAAAAAATGGAATTGAAATATAAGTTTACTTTGGTGTAAAAATTTGAAATTATGCACCATTTTTTCATAACACTCATTTGCCATGAACTCTTTGAAGATTCATTATTTGCATGATTTCAAACTATTTTTACATCAAAATAAACATCGTGTAATTCTGTTTCCTCTGAAAAAAAAAAATTTTTTTTTTGACAGGCAAAGTGGACAGTGAGAGAGAGAGACAGAGAGAAAGGTCTTCCTTTTCCGTGCGGCCGGCGCATCACGCTGATCCGAAGGCAGGAGCCAGGTGCTTCTCCTGGTCTCCCATGGGGTGCAGGGCCCAAGCACCTGGGCCATCCTCCACTGCACTCCCTGGCCACAGCAGAGAGCTGGCCTGGAAGAGGGGCAACCGGGACAGAATCCGGCGCCCTGACCGGGACTAGAACCCGGTGTGCTGGCGCCGCTGAGCTACTCTTATAATACTAGTTCTACACAAATCTATCATAAAATAGAGGAGTAGGACTGGCGCCATGGCCCATTAGGCTAATCTTCCACCTAGCGGCGCCGGCACACCGGGTTCTAGTCCCGGTCGGGGCGCCGGATTCTGTCCCGGTTGCCCCTCTTCCAGGCCAGCTCTCTGCTGTGGCCCGGGAAGACAGTGGAGAATGCCCCAAAGGCTGGGGCCCTGCACCCCATGGGAGACCAGGATAAGTACCTGGCTCCTGCCTTCGGATCAGCGTGGTGCGCCGGCCGCAGCACACCAGCCGTGGCGGCCATTAGAGGGTGAACCAACGGCAAAAGGAAGACCTTTCTCTCTGTCTCTCTCTCTCACTGTCTAACTCTGCCTGTCAAAACAAACAAACAAACAAACAAACAAAAAAAAAAAACAAAAAAACAAAAGGAAGGGAGGATCAGATTATCTCAGTAAATCCAGAAAAAATTTTAGCACTTGATAGAATTCAAAATCTGTCTGGTAATCGTCGGTGTGGTAGTCTGCTCAGGAGTGTTTCAAGGCTGTACTGCTCTGCACAGTGAGTGGCTTAAGCAAGCAGGTCTTTGTTTCTCACAATTCTGGAGGCTGGGAAGTCCAAGGCTGAGGTCCCAAGGTGGGGGGGGGGGGCGGTGGATGGAGAGAGAGCAAACGCAAAAATAAGCTTTGGTCTGTCTCCCTCCTACAAGTACACTAATTCCTTCTTGGGGACCCCTCCCTTGAGAATTAGAGAGAGAGCGAGAGAGAGAAAGAAAGGTCTTCCATCCGCTGGTTCACTCTGGTTCACTCCTCAAATGACTGCAACGTCTGGAGCTGGCCGATCCAGAACCAGGAGCTTTCTCTGGGTCTCCCATGCAGATGCCGGGGTCATCTTCTGTTTTCCCAGGCCATCAGCAGGGAGCAGGATCAGAAGAGGAGCAGCCAGGACTTGAATGGCACCCATGTAGGCTGCCAGCACTGTAGGCCGTAGTGCGACATAATAGAAAGCAGTTGCTTGAATAATAATCAATAATAATATTGATTGGAATGGGATCAAGGGTACTGTCTGGGATGAGAGAAATATTCTGTAACTTGTTTTGAATGGTGGTTATGAAGCTGTATATAGTTGTCAAAGCTTATCAGACAACTTTGTATATTGTATATATTATACCTCAGTAAATATATTTGTATTGAAAATATCTTACTCATTTAGTTAACCATTTTACTGTTATACTTTTTCAGAGTCAGTTGAGGAGATACAGGTTCAAATTCTTCATTTAAGCTGATGATTTTCGTAACATTTTGTTTTCATAGATTTTGCGTGGCTATAAAGAAAGAGAATTATCCAGATTATATGCCCTCAAACATATTTTCTGATAGTGCAAAACAGATTTTCAGACAGCCTGGGCATACTATATATCTCCTGCCAACTGTGGTCATCTGCAACCTGCTGCCCTGTGAACTCGATTTTTATGTTAAAGGAGTGCCAATTAATGGGACACTGAAACCTGGCCGAGAGGCAGCTCTGCACACAGCTGATACGTCCCAGAACATCGAGCTGGGTAAGAGGTTGTCGTGTGATCATGTGTAGTCATCCCACAAAAATGTTAGTGAATATTTTGTGATAATTTGGTAAACATCTTAAAGAAATCCTGGCATATTTATCTTAAAAAGCCCGCTCAAAGCAATAATGCATTTCTTTTTTTAAAAATTTTTTTTTTGGACAGGCAGAGTGGACAGTGAGAGAGAGAGAGACAGAGAGAAAGGTCTTCCTTTTGCCATTGGTTCACCCTCCAATGGCTGCCGCGGCTGGCACGCTGCAGCCGGCACACCGCGCTGATCCGATGGCAGGAGCCAGGTGCTTTTCCTGGTCTCCCATGGGGTGCAGGGCCCAAGCACCTGGCCACAGCAGAGAGCTGGCCTGGAAGGGGGGCAACTGGGACAGAATCCAGCGTCCCGACCGGGACTAGAACCCGGTGTGCCGGTGCTGCAGGCGGAGGATTAGCCTAGTGAGCCGCGGCGCCGGCCGCAATAATGCATTTATAAGTAAAAATGAACAAATTGGAGATTGCCGGAGGAAGCGCCGACAGAGCCATGTTACTGAGAATGCTCGCTTGAGGTGTGCTGAAAGGAAGTCATCTCATCTTTTCGAACGATGATTTTTCTTTAGCTGTAAAAAGAGCACGATTACACGTCTCCTTTCTTGCTGAGAAGGAATGAACCTTCGCTAAGTGCATTGCACTCCAGGTATAAGCCTTCTCTCCTCTTACTGACGAAGCTTCGGAATGTTCGATGCATCATTGATTTCATTTGTAAAGGCAAGTGAAGTCAGCGTAGAGGACCGTGGGCGTGCTTGCAGCACTAGAGCAGTGCTTCTGGAGTTTGGGCAGGAGGTGTGTTTCTTTAAGACTGTCAGAGACGTTTTATTAAAGTGGTTTTGAAACAGCCCCCATTCTTAACGCTCTGTTTAATAAAATTTTTTAACAAGTTTATTTATTTGAAATAGTAAGAAAGAGAGAGAGATCCCACCTACTGATTCACTCGCCGAGCGCCCACAGTAGCCAGTGCTAGGCCCGGCTGAAGCCAGGAGCCCTGGATTCAATCTGGGTCTCCCAAGTGGGTGGCAAGGACTCAGCCCCTTGAGCCTTCACTCGCTGCTCCTCGGAGTGTGCGTCACCGTGAAGATGGAGTGGAGAGCAGCGCTGGGCCGTGGACTGGGGCTCTCTGACAGAGGACACAGGTTCCTAGGCAGTGGCTTAACCACTGCACCAGAATCCCTGCCCTCAGCATACTGGAGTGGTAATAGCTCTGTAAGTGCTGTCACTGTATTAAACCATTTGGTCTTTACCACAGCACCTTTCAGGTAAGACGAGTGTTAAGCCCATTTTATAAGTGAGGAAGCTGAATGTTACTGGACTTTAGTGGTATTGTCCCACAATGACAAGATTTCATTTCAGGGGCCAGGTTGCGGCATAGCTGGTAAAGCCACCGCCTGTTACGCTGGCATCCCAAATGGGCACTGGTTTGCATCCTGGCTGCTCCACTTCTGATCCGTCTTCCTGCTAATACTCCTGGAAAAGCGTGGAGGATGGCCTGAGTACTTGTGTCCCTGTCCACACATGGGAGGTGTAGAAGAAGCTCCTGGCTCCTGGCTCCTGGCTTCAGCCTGGCCCAGCCCTGGCTGTTGCAGCCATTTGGGGAGTGAACCAGTGGATGGAAGATCTTGAGCGCTCTCTCTCTCTTTCTGTAACTCTGGAAGGAAGATTTCATTTCAACGGTGATATAAACTGTTGAGCTTGGTTAGAAAAGAGAAACAGTGCAGTGCTAATTACTGACTCCAAAATAAGTAAGTCTTTGGCGTGTTACTAGTTTTCTGGTGTATTTCTTCAGCTGTTCTGTGAGAGCCCTTACAGAAAACATGGCCTCATCCCGCTATCTCTGTGCACACAACTAGTGTCCTTCTGTGCAGCATCCTGCAGTTCTGGTCGTCTGTCTTCCCAGCAGTCCTGCACGCACACACTCTGCTTGACTGTTTGGAGACAGATCCCGAGAGGTGGAGAGCTTGTTTCCATGGTGTGCGGAGTATAAGTGCAGGCTGTGGAGTTGAAATTAGGTCCAGTGTGGCTGCTGGACTTTTATTCTTTTTTTTTTTTAATTAATTAATTTATTTATTTGAAAGGCCGAGTTACAGAGAGGCAGAGAGAGAAAGAGAGGTTTTCCATCCACGGATTCACTTCCCAAATGGCTGCAACGGCCAGAGCTGGGGCATTCCTAAGCCAGGAGCCAGGAGCTGCTTCCGGGTCTCCCACGTGGGTGCAGAGGCCCAAGGACTTGGGTCGTCTTCCACTGCTTTCCCAGGCCACAGGAGAGGGCTGGATCGGAAGTGGAGCAGCTGGGACTCAAACCGGCACCCATATGGGATGCCGGCACTGCAAGCAGCAGCTTTACCTGTTACACCACAGCGCTGGCCCTATGGACTTTACTCTTTTTTTTTTTTTTTTAAGATTTACTTTATTTATTTGAAAGAGTTACAGAGAGAGGTAGAGACAGAGAGAGAGGTCTTCCATCAGCTGGTTCACTCCCCAATTGGCCGCAACGACCAGAGCTGTGCCGATACGAAGCCAGGAGCCTCTTCCGGGTCTCCCATGTGGGTGCAGGGGCCCAAGGACTTGGGCCATCTTCCACTGCTCTTCCAGGCCATAGCAGGGAGCCGGATTGGAAGTGGAGCAGCCAGGACTTGAACCGGCGCTCATATGGGATGCTGGTGCTTCAGGCTAGAGCTTTAACCCACTGCGCCACAGCGCCTGCCTCATGGACCTTTCACTCTTAAGGCTATACTTATGCCACTGTTTCAAGAACCTAACACAAGCCCTGATGTAAATTCCTCTAATAGTCTCCGCTATTACTGGTAGCTTCTTGGTATTCTAATCCTAATTAGGAAGATTAGACTCCCCAGTGTGACTTCCAGGCCATCTGATTTGCTTCATATTCTCACCTCAGCTAGTGGAAAATGGCCATTCTCATGAGATTCTTTGTTACTGTTTTTTCCAAAAAGGAATCCAGTTTAGTTTTTCTGTGGGCTATTTTAAAAATCTAAAGCGAGAACCCAGGAAGTTAGTGATTTGTGTGTTTTTTAGGAGTGTCACTGGAGAATTTTCCCCTCTGTAAAGAGTTGCTCATTCCACCTGGAACCCAGAACTATATGGTGAGAATGCGACTTTATGACGTCAATCGGCGGCAGCTGAACCTCACCATCCGAATTGTGTGTCGAGCAGAAGGATCCTTAAAGATTTTCATTTCTGCCCCATATTGGCTCATTAACAAAACAGGTACGTGCAGGGGCTGCTCAGGTAGGCCTGCCGTTGGTCTTGGGAATTCAGATGTATTTACTTGGCTAAATCAATGGAGCCGATGCAAATGGGTTACTTCAGCCGTCTAAGGAGCAAAAGCTGACCTGCTTCCGTCATAAGTGCCTGGTCTTGGTCAAAGCTGCCCTTTTAGACAACGAACTGAGCCCAGGTTTTACTGTTTTCACCTCATTCCCTCCCTCCATCTCTCCACTTACACATTGGAGCCTCCTTGTGTCGACTGGGTGGGGTTAATAGAAACTCTCCCCTTCTCCCTAAAGGGTTGCCACTCATCTTCAGACAGGACAATGCGAAGACTGATGCTGCAGGCCAGTTTGAGGAACATGAGCTGGCCCGGAGCCTGAGCCCTCTCTTATTCTGCTATGCTGATAAAGAGCAGCCCAACCTGTGAGTACAGTTATTTATAGGAAGGGGAAATCAGCTCCCAGGGAAGGGAAAAAATTAGCAAAGGCTATCGTGTATCTGTGTAAGCAGACGTATACCACAGATAACAATCCTGACTTGGCAGGGGAATAGAACTATGACCTAATGGGATTTTTTCGGATCTCATTTCTGTGTTATTCTATACTAAAAATAAACCATTTGGTTGGTTTATAATGAAAGCTAGTTTTATTTTACATGTGTTGAATTAGTTCTCTTATTCATAACTCTGCCAAGGAAGAGAAACCCACATTTGCCCCCTCTCTCGCTGCAATTTTCCTTCTGCTGTGAGTTTAGCACAGTCCAAGGAGCTGGCGTCACGGTGGAATCAGGCTGGCCCTTTGGTAAAGTGTTCAGCCCCATTAATCCAGTCCGGGTTATTTGTGTAAGGTTTTGAACTCTGTCCCTTTTACCCTTGAAAGAACGTGGGGTTTGCGGATCTCAAAGCCCTTGTTAACTGGCTTAGAGGCAGGGAACGGCGGCCGTTGAGGGGATTCAGTGGCGGGGCTCAGGCAGGGGAGGAAGCAGTGTTTCACTTTAAGGTGAGGAAGAGGAGCTGAGGCAGAGTTACCGGCCCAGGGCTGTGTTGCTGCTGAGTGGCAGAGCTGGAGGCACATGCAGGAGTTGTTTCCAGAATCTGTGAGGAGACACTAGCCGATGAAACAGCTCTGCCGTTGGAGCAGTGCCAGTCCTTACCAGCAATGCACTGTTAGTGACATCCTCTCTACCTGGTTTTCTCCTACTTTTTTCGTGAATCCTGAAACACCTGAGTCAGGAAACGATTAGTTTGGCTTGAATCCTTGGGGAATAATAGAAATTGTAGCATTTTCCTCGTGGATTATGTTCATAGAATCCTAATGTTTTCTCTCAAGTGTTTAGTTGTATATGTCAGTGTATTTTATACACTGTTCAACTGTGGTTACCGCTAAGAGTTTTTTTTGCTCACTGATTAATTTTCTTGCTGTGTTTAAGAATCACATGAGAGTAGGCATGAGTGTCAGTAGTAGAGATCTGATTTGGGTGATGGCTATGTTAGTGTTTCCTGATTAGAACAAGTAGATAAGACTTTGTTGTAGATGAATATGTACATCTTTGCTTTTCTGCCCACAGCTGCACGATGAGAATCGGAAGGGGGATTCATCCAGAAGGCATGCCAGGCTGGTGTCAGGGCTTCTCCCTGGATGGTGGGAGTGGTGTCCGAGCTTTGAAAGTCATCCAGCAAGGAAACCGCCCAGGGCTGATCTATAACATTGGTGGGTGACGTTCGGGGCAGTGGGAGCATTGGAACCATTGGCTAATGACCACAGGCTTGGAGGAAGAGGCTGACCATGCATTTTGGCCTGGCTACAAGAGTTGATTTTCTCATTTGGCATGGGTCAGGTGTCTGTTCTCTGAATGCTAGATTGATATCAAGCCGGATGGATTCTCAGGGGGATTTGAGGAGCCACCTGAATACTACCCTTTTGAGATCGGTGGCTCTGTTTAACTTCAGATTCACTTGGGTAAGGAAAGTATCAATTTGGCTCGAATCTTTGTTTTTCTGAAGTGAATAATAGGAACACTTAGAATGCTTTTCATCCTCTAAGTATTCCCACGCATTCATTAAAATTTGCAGACTTTAAGAGAGTAAGAAGCATTGTTCTTTGTGAAACCGAGACAGAGAGGTCAAGTGACTTGCCCAGGTGCAAAAGGGAAGTCTGGGTCAGAAGTAGGATTAGGACTGGGCTGTATACATTTGAGAAAAAAATACAATTGAATGCACTTGGTGTTTGTAGTAATTAGAAGGGTGGGAGTAGTGCAGAGGGGAGGGGAAGACCCTGTTCCCACAGTCCTCCAGGCCACCTGTGCGTACAGGAAAGATTTTCTGAAGGATTCAGAACAATTTGATTTTAATGTGCCTCAGGTTTAAAATGTTAGCAGTGCCGCCTTCTTTTAGCATGTGATTTCCGGGGATCTTCAAGCAGCGTTCAGTCTTGAGAGCTGGGACACTGTCTTGGAGCTGCGTTGTCCTGTAGAACTCTCCAAGATGACAGAGGTGTTCTGTTGTACGCCATCCAATATAGCGGCCACCAAATCCCATGCGGCTCCTGAGAGCGTAAGAGAAATGCAGTGTGATCGAGGGATTGGATTTTTCATTGTATATCATTTTATTGATTTTAAATTGAAGTCGCCACACGTGGTTAGTGGCTACTGTACTGGACAATGTGGATACAAAGTTGCGTTACAGGAGGAAAACGGAGGCAGCTTCTGTGCATGTTGGCTGAGCCCCAGGGAGAGGGATCTGTTTAAGTGTTCAGGATTCACTAGAAAAAGAATTTCCTAGTTTACTAGCAAAAGAATCTTCCTAGTTTTCTTTACAGAGTTTTTAACATGGATTTGCATTCATTCTCCTTTGACGTATATTTTTCAGAGAAATGGATTCTGCAGCCGGTGACAGTTTTCTTTACTTTTTGTCACCTTGGTCTGCTGTACCGCCTTGAGCAGGCGGAAGCTGCTCTGTGCTGAGCTTGACTTCTAGCTGGGATGTTGTGCCCTTGCTACACTTTCAGACAGACTACACAGGGTGACTGGAAGCTGTAGTTAGGACAGATTGGGGGAGGACACAACATGAGGCTTGCTCCTTTTGAAGTAGTTAGCACTAAGAACCATAGAATTTGATTCTGAAGTGAATGGGGCAGTTAACAGATTGATATGTTGATAACTGAACTTATGTTGGGAAATCTAGGATACATGATTGCAATATTGTAGGGGAGAGTCTTCCATTTTTCTGGTTCTCTTTATACTTGTTGACTCCGAGTCAGGCCCTTAGGGATACTCCTTTGCAGGAGGTGCCCGTGTGTGCTGGCTTTAGAGGCAGCCAGCCTGATTTGAACCCCAGTTGTGCCAGCCACGAGCTGTGTGACCTAGGGCAAGTTACTTGGCTTTCTGTGCCTTGGTTTCCCCATCTGTAAAAGGAAAATAATTAAAATACCTAACTCCTAAGGTTGTTAGGATCAAATCGAAAGCCTTTGGTAGATGTATTATCATATATTACAAGTTTAACAAATATTATTATTGTCATTATTTTTATTTCCACTAGAATTATTTTATCATTGCATAGCTAGAGCTCATCCCAGTGCTTTGAAGATGATGCTGTATTCATTGTTTAAATGGATAAGTGATCCATCCCACTGAGTTTTGTATTTTTAAAAATTGTTGGCCGGCACTGCGGCTCACTAGGCTAATCCTCCGCCTGCGGTGCCGGCACACCGGGTTCTAGTCCCGGTCGGGGCACCGGATTCTGTCCCGGTTGCCCCTCTTCCAGGCCAGCTCTCTGCTGTGGCCCGGGAGTGCAGTGGAGGATGGCCCAAGTCCTTGGGCCCTGCACCCCATGGGAGACCAGGATAAGTACCTGGCTCCTGGCTTCGGATCAGCGCAGTGCGCCGGCTGCGGCGGCCATTGAAGGGTGAACCAATGGCAAAGGAAGACCTTTCTCTCTGTCTCTCTCTCTCACTGTCCACTCTGCCTGTCAAAAAAAAAAAAATTGTTATCAGTGTTTTCAAGATAAATTCACTTTTCTTTCTTTTTTGATACCTGGTATTTTGAAATTTCCTTCTGACTGTTTTGTTATTTTTTCCCTAGTACATAGTAGGTGCTAAAACATACTTATTTCACAAGTAAATAAATTCTGTTATATTCAGCAGTATGCTTCCGTGGGATTCTCAGGTTAACAGGCTAAAAGGAAATGCGAGGAAAGAGTCCGTTGAGTTCAGAGCTCCATAGAATCCAACTAAGTGCTTGGAAATTTCCACTCTAGCCTGGAAAAGGTGCAGGTCCTCCCGGAGATTTTGTGTCCCAGGTGTGTAAGCAGAAACATCTCACATAGAACTTAGCACAGGTTCATAGATGAAGATGTAAGATCTGGGTGCCTGAACCCTGTATATTTAAATTGCTGTTCCAACGGGAGATACTTTGTGACGAAACGAGGAATTATGGGGCTGTCAGTATTTCCCTGGAGACTTTCCAGGTCCTACATGTGAATAAAGCATAGTATTTTCATTTCATTCTTGAAAAGTTTGATGTCCTCTCTGGGTGGCAGAGTTGATTTTTTTCTTTTTTTTTTCCCCCAGAGAAACTAAGTAATTATAAAGGCTGTTTATTTTTGTCAAACCAAAACTTTTCTCTGTTCTTGTTATTTTTAGGTATTGATGTCAAGAAAGGTCGCGGTCGCTATATTGACACCTGCATGGTCATCTTTGCCCCCCGTTACCTGTTAGATAATAAATCATCTCACAAGCTTGCGTTTGCACAGAGGGAATTTGCCAGGGGACAGGTAAGCAGTTTGCTGCTGCGGCTCCTTTGTTTGAAAGACAGAGTCGAGAAAGAGCTCCCATCAGCTGATTCACTCCCCAAGTGCACACAACAGCTGGGGCTGAGCCGGCCTGAAGCTGGGAGCTGGGAACACAGTCCAGGTCTCCCATGTGGCTGGCAGGAACTCAAGTACTTCAGCCATCACCGCTGGCTGCAGGGTCTGCATTGGCAGGAAGCTGGAGTCAGGAACCTAAGCTGGAAGTCCAGCCCAGGCGCTGAGATGTGGGATGTGGGCATTTACCTGCTCAGGTAAACATCCACCCCACAGTTGGCTTTTGAAGCGTGAGTAGTGCTTATGTAGTAGCACAGTGAGTTTCAGTGTCATGTCTTGTCTTCTATCAAGATCATAGATTCTCTGATCTGAGTGACTGTTCTGTGCCATCGCTATGCAACTAGCTCCTGGTAAGACTCAGGGGAGGTGCTCAGTGAACATCTGCTGCATTGAGTGGGTATGTTGATGTAAGCCAGTGATCTGTGTTTCAGGGAACAGCGAATCCAGAAGGCTACATCTCCACCCTTCCTGGTTCCAGTGTGGTGTTCCACTGGCCGCGAAACGACTACGATCAGCTGTTATGTGTCAGACTGATGGATGTTCCCAATTGTATTTGGTCTGGAGGCTTTGAGGTCAACAAGAATAATTCCTTCCATATCAACATGAGGTAAATTTGAGACTACAACCACAGAGAGGTGTGGAAGCATAAATAGTGAGCCTATGCTCTTTGTAAAATGAACACAGAGAGTTTTGACTCGGATCGAGGTCTTAGAACTTGCACAGTGCAGGGCAGTCTGAGTGGGCATTCTTATCGAATGAACACCAGTTTTGATTTTTGACAGGCAGAGTGGACAGTGAGAGAGAGAGACAGAGAGAGAAAGGTCTTCCTTTGCCGTTGGTTCACCCTCCAATGGCCGCCGCTGCAGCCGGCGCACCGCGCTGATCCGAAGGCAGGAGCCAGGATCCAGGTGCTTTTCCTGGTCTCCCATGGGGTGCAGGGCCCAAGCACCTGGGCCATCCTCCACTGCACTCCCTGGCCATAGCAGAGAGCTGGCCTGGAAGAGGGGCAACCGGGACAGAATCCGGCGCCCCGACCGGGACTAGAACCCGGTGTGCCGGCGCCGCAAGGTGGAGGATTAGCCTATTGAGCCACGGCGCCGGCCCTGAGTGGGCATTCTTATCGAATGAACACCAGTTTTGACCGTGTGTAATTGTTGTAGTCTAAGAGGTTATAAGTCCAGGAGGTAACACTGAGTTCATAGGATGATTGCTTGTTGCTCTGAACATTCTGTCTGCATTGGATGATTGCTTGTTGCTCTGAACATTCTGTCTGCATTTAGGTGGTAATAGTGATTGTAAATGTTTTTTTTTCTATTTGTGCATATTTGTGTAAACTCTTCTCTCATTCAATACTGTTCCAGTAAATCTGGCTACCCTCAGGTCCTTGTTAAGAAAAATCAACAATTGTGTCTCAGCTAACCCAGGATGACATAATCTCTCTTCCTGCTTTTATCAGAAGCTATTAAAATTGTTCTAATGAGAACCACACATAATACGTAATTTACCACCTGAACTATTTTAAGTGTGTAGTTCACTTGTGTAAGTACACTCACATTATTGTTCACATGATGTCCCTAACTATTCTCATCTTGCAGAACTAAAACTCTCTGTACCCCTCATACAGTAGCTTCCCATTCCCTTTACCCACAGCCTCGGGCAGCTCCCGTTCTACTGTGTGTCTATATAAATTTGACGACTCTAGCTAGCTTATATAAATTGAATCATATGGTGTTTGTCTTTTTGTGACTGGCTTGGTTTACCTAAGTGTCCTCAGTGTTCATGCATAGTGTAACATGTCAGAATCTCCTTTTTTAAGGCTGAATAATATTCCATTGGGATACATACATACCACTCTTCAGCCGTTTGTTGAAGGACATTTGGTCCATTGTTGTCCTTGTGACTGTTGTGAAAATGCTGCCGTGAGCATATGTATCCAAATACCTCTTCCAGATCCTGCTTTCAGTTCCATTCTGTGTAGCTCCAGGAGTGAAATTGGTACATCTTTTGAGCTCATTTTATTTCTGATTTTTTGAGGAACTACCATATTGTTTGTGCTATTATTACATACTGAAGAAATTCAACACTGATTGGATACTTTGTCGTAAATACTTATCTTAGACTGAATACATGAATGTTCTTCATAGATATCCCTCTCACAGTGTAGGGTCATTTGTGTTATTTGGTTAATGTATTTTCTTTTCTTTTTTTTAAGAGTTACTTATTTGTGCATTGATTTTATATCCTGCTACTTTGCCAAACTTTTCTATGAGTTCCAGTAGCCTCTTAGTAGAGTTCTTTGGATCCCCTAAATAAAGAATCATATCATCTGCAAAGAGGGATAGTTTGGCTTCTTCCTTCCCAATTTGTATCCCTTTAATTTCTTTTTCTTGCCTAATAGCTCTAGCTAGAACCTCCAGAACTATATTGAATAGCGGTGGTGAGAGTGGGCATCCCTGTCTGGTACCAGATCTCAGTGGAAATGCTTCCAACTTTTCCCCATTCAATAGGATGCTGGCCGTGGGTTTTTCATAAATTGCTTTGATTGTATTGAGGAATGTTCCTTCTATACCCAGTTTGCTTAGAGTTTTCATCATGAAAGGGTATTGTATTTTATCAAATGCTTTCTCTGCATCTGTTGAGATAATCATATGTTTTTTTTCTTCTGCGGTTTGTTAATGTGGTGTATCACATTGATTTGCAAACATTGAACCATCCCTGTATACCAGGATTAAATCCCACGTGGTCTGGGTGGATGATCTTTCTGATGTGTTGTTGCATTCTGTTGGCCAGAATTCTACTGAAGATTTTTGCATCTGTGTTCTTCAGGGAAATGGTCTGTAATTCTCTTTCTCTGCTGCATTTTTTTCAGGTTTAGGAATTAAGGTGATGCTGGCTTCATAGAAAGAATTTGGGAGGATTCCCTCTTTGTCGATTGTTCTGAATAGTTTGAGGAGAATTGGAGTTAGTTCTTTAAATGTCTGGTAGAATTCAGCAGTGAATCCATCTGGTCCTGGGCTTTTCTTTGTTGGGAGGGCCTTTATTACTGATTCAGTTTCTGACTCGGTTATGGGTCTGTTTAGGTTTTCTATGTCTTCATGGTTCAATTTAGGTAGGTTGTATGTGTCCAGGAATCTATCCATTTCTGATAGATTTCCCTGTTTGCTGGCATACAATGCTTTGTAGTAATTTCTGATGACTCTTTTTATTTCTGTGGTGTCTGTTGTTAAATTCCCTTTTTCATCTCTGATTTTATTGCTTTGAGTCTTTTCTATTTTTAGTTAGTTGGGCCAATGGTGTGTCAATTTTGTTTATTTATTTGAAAGGCAGAGTTAGAGGCCGAGGCTGAGAGAGAGAGAGAGAGAGAGAGAGAGAGAGAGGTCTTCCATCCACTGGTTCACTCCCCAAATGGCCGCAGTGGCTGGAATTGGGATCTTCTTCCAGGTCTCCCATGTGGGTGCAGGGGTCCAAGCGCTTGGGCCACCTCCGCTGCTTTTCCTACTGCCAGCGCCTCAGGAGGAGGCTTAACCTACTACACCACAGTGCTGACCCCTGATATATTTTCTTGTTTCATCTAATTTGGAGTAGTTCCACTTTTCCTTTTTTGTCTTTATTGACATTTTTGAAGACTTAAGCCAGTTTCTCGGAAAGTATCCTACTTTCTGCATTTGGCCGATAGTTTCCCATATATAAACATTTTTCATAACAGTATTCCTGTGTGGTGTCTTGAGTCCCATTGTATGCCAGGGGGAGACCTATAACATCTTCTGGCTCTCTTTTTGATGGTAGTAAGTTTGATCATCACTTAATTGAGGTGGGTCCAGCAGACTTCTCTGTTCTAGTACATTACCTTTTCTTCCTTGTAGGTAAGAGCATTGCATTGGAGCAATAATTGGAGACGGAATATTCTGTCTAGCAGAAGCCTTTCACTCAAGGATCTGATTGTACTTATTTGAATCTGTTATAACATTGCTGATTACAAAATGGTGGTTTTCTAAATTTTTTATTTCTTCATTTATTAAATGATATTCCTCTGTAAGACATGTTTTCCATTGTTAGATCTTTGTATAAATGCATGTACACACATACACTACATACATGCATACATACTCTTCATCTTTTTTTTTAAAGATTTATTTATTTATTGGGAAGAGTTACAGAGAGGCGGGGGGCGGGGTCCTCCATCCACTGGTTCACTCCCCAGATGGCCGCAACAGCCAGAGCTGTGCCAATCCAAAGCCAGGAGCCAGGACCCTCCTCTGTGACTTCCAGGAGGGTGCAGGGGCCCAAGGACTTGGGCCATCTTCCACTGCTTTTCCAGGCCATAGCAGGGAGCTGGATTGGAAGTGGAGCAGCTGGGACTCCAGCTGGTGCCCGCATGGGGTGATGACACTGCAGGTGGCGGCTTTACCCGCTATGCCACAGCACCACCCCCCCTTCATCTTTACAGAAGAATGTCAGTAAATAAATGTTTAGGAGATGGGAGAATTAGAAAGTCACCATTTTGTGATTATATTTTCAATTTTGAGTCTTTAGTATGGCTGTGGATTGGTGGTATTGACTGAGGCCCGTGCCGTGTGGTGGCTGTGAGAAGAAACTGACTGCGGCTTGTTTCCTGCACTGTACACAACCTCTTTTGTTTCCTGTGTCTGCAGAGATACCCTGGGAAAATGCTTCTTCCTACGAGTGGAAATTACTCTCCGAGGAGCCACATATAGGATCTCATTTAGTGACACAGATCAGTTACCCCCTCCATTCCGAATTGACAACTTTTCTAAGGTATCAAGGGAAAGAGGGTGAATATATGTTGCCCTTAAAATAATGGTGCAAAATACTCTAAATTTGAGTTTAGAGGAAGCTGTGTAAATAGGTCCTGAATAGCTGGCCAACCTGGAAATCCTTATGTTAGGATGTGGTTTGTGCTGGTTATTTTGACTGATAGACAGCCTTGTCCAGATAGAAGTAAAATTTATCCCCCAAGACTGATTTTGACTTGACATGAAGCCCTCTGTACAAACTGAGAAAGGAGTCAGCTTTTCTGTGCATAGTGAGAGCGGGCAGTTCTCTTGCTGCTTAGTTACAGTAACATTTTCATGTCTTCCAAGTAAAGCCCGAATGGAAATCGTTACATCCTATTATACCTCTGAATGACAGTACCTCATATGAGTTTGTGGCTTTCTGTAGCTGGATTCCAGTATTCTTACTCCTTTCTGTTTTCAAAGTGTGTCATGGGCAGCTTAGCTGGCGGGGTGGGGATCTGGGTGTTAGAGATGCCACTGAAGGACAGAATGCCCCCCTTTGATATTGGACTTAGCAAAGCTGCTTGAAGCCCTTCTCCAGTAGGTTAGAGCCCATGTTCTTTTTGCTGGGCTTTTGGGAATTCACAAGATGGTTAGATTAGATGTGAAAGGCTGAGATGGCGAGCCCCACTGGGAATCTTCCCTGGATAGGAGCCATTTGAGAAGGCTCTGGGACTGAAATCTAGGCGGCACTGACCCCGCGCCAGTGACACCATCCTGAAAGAAAGTCCTCTGTCTTGTCCGTTCCTCTAGGTTCCAGTTGTCTTCACTCAGCACGGTGTAGCAGAACCCAGGCTCCGAACTGAAGTGAAGCCCATGACCTCATTGGATTATGCCTGGGACGAGCCCACCCTGCCACCTTTTATCACTCTCACTGTTAAAGGAGCAGGTTCTTCGGAGATCAACTGCAACATGAATGACTTCCAGGATAACCGCCAGCTTTTTTATGAAAATTTCATTTATATTGCAGCTACATACACATTTTCTGGGTAATTCTAGATTAGAGTATTGTTCTTGTAAAATAGAAGCTTCAAACTAGGACGTAAGATTCCTTCATTCTTCACCAAATCCTAAGCTCAGGGTCTGTCTTGAGAGAGCATTTAATCTAAACCCTTGTCTTTCAGGGGGATTAAAATTTATCCAGAGAGGCAAGACTTGTCTTTATAAAGACCTCTCCCAATAATACATTCTAATATTAAAAACTCTTCCTATAAAATGTTAACCTTATGATATATAAAATTCCTCTTTTTTTAATTTTATTTTTATTTTTATTTACTTGTAAAACATTTCTCTGCTATTTTTTAGCCTGTTTGTCTCCTGCCTCATTTGAAACTAATGTTAATATAACAGTTCAAATCATCATTTTGATTTTTTACACTCTTGAAAATACAGAGTAAGCAGATAGTCACCTAAAGACAAGGATAATAGCCTGATTTTATAGTAATTCCAGCTGCCTTAGAACTGTAATTCACTGCTGTGAGGACTGTTCTAACTCCGTTGTTAGATTCAAAACGCTGGACTTTTAAAAACTGATCATTCCACCAACATGTAAATATAGCTTGTTTCTTGTGCTGAAGTTACAGGGGCAATTTTACAGTTTATCTGTGAAGAAATGGAAAATATCTGAATCTTTAACATTACAAATAGAGATCACCTGATGAGCAAGACATTTAAAGTCGTATTGTTTTTCAAAATATCGTGAATAATTTTGCATATTCTGAGATTCTTCCATGTGCCTGGGGCCCACAGGTGATCCCTGACTCTGTGTCTGGAGTCCAGGTCTCACCAGCAATGACTTGGTGTGCAGAGACGAGCCATGCTTTCCCTTGTGTGCTGCAAGTCTCTCTGGTAATGAGAGAGCTGGGATGTTTCTGCTGTTGTAATTGAGCCAAGAGTATTTGTTTTTTGAGGATTATGGCACTTGGTAGTGTAGCATGCTTAAGGTTAGTGCCAGGCAAACCAGTTTTAAATCTGGTTGCTCCTCATGTTTTAATCTCTGTGCTCTATAGATCCCAGTAATTACAGAGCTCTTCAGTGGAAGGATCCTCGTGGAGGACCCGCAGCTTAGAGGGCTGAGCTGCATGAGCAGCAGGGGGAAACCTGGGGATCTTGGTGTGCTACGAGGCTGGCTGTTTTCTGCAGTATGTTGGGTTTCGTTTTTTCGCATTTTTCAAGGGAATTAGTGATGGAAATGAAAGCCGGTTTTTAGAATTTGGTGCTTGTTTATAGTGAGGTGAAAATCATATAAAATTTACCTTTTTAAAGTGGCTTTTAGTACCTTTTGTATTTTTTATTTTTGATAGGCAGAGTGGACAGTGAGAGAGAGAGAGAGACAGAGAGAAAGGTCTTCCATTTTGCCGTTGGTTCACCCTCCAATGGCCGCTGCGGCCAGCGCACTGCGCTGATCCGAAGGCAGGAGCCAGGTGCTTCTCCTGGTCTCCCATGGGGTGCAGGGCCCAAGCACTTGGGCCATCCTCCACTGCCTTCTCGGGCCACAGCAGAGAGCTGGCCTGGAAGAGGGGCAACCGGGACAGAATCCAGCGCCCCAACTGGGACTAGAACCTGGTGTGCCGGTGCCACGAGGCGGAGGATTAGCCTAGTGAGCCGCGGCGCCGGCCCGCTTTTAGTACCTTTATGATGTTCTGTGACTATCACCTCCACCTCTTTCTGAAACATTTTTTATTACCCCAAAAAGAAACTCTAAACCCATTGGCCCCCCCCCCCCCCCCCCCCCCGAAGACCTCAGAAGCCACAGATCTGCTTTCAGTCTCTGGTTCACCTGTTCTGGGTATTATATGTAAATGGGACCATAGAGTATAAGTGACCTTTTGTGTGTGGCTTCTTTCATTTATCAGAAAGTTTTTGAGGCTTATGACATTGTAAAGGTACCAGTACTTCATCCTTTCTATGAGAAGTATTCAGTGCTTTTTATGCCTAATTTTCAATTGTGTTTACATAATGCGGTTGTTCCTGCCTTCAGCCATTGATGGACATTTGGATTGTTTCCACCTTCTGGCTATTGTGAGCAGTGCTGTTTCGAGCACAGATTTGTTTGCGTGCCTGGGAGTGGAACTGCTGGGTTCTGTGGTGGTTCTGTGTTTAAAGTTTGGAGAGCTGCCAAACAGCATCTGAACCCAGCGTGTGTTCCTGCCGGAAGTGTTTCGGAATTCTGATTTCTCCACTGCTTCCCTGCTGCATTGTTTATGCATTTATTTTTATTGTCTCTATCCTATAGAATGTGAAGTGGTTTTGAATTGCATTTCTTAACTGGCCACATGGAGCATCCTTTCATCTTATTAGCCATTTGTGTATCTTTGAGGAATGTCTGTTCAAGCCCTTTGCTCATTTTAAAACTGCTGTCTTTACCTTTTTATTGTGGAAGTATAAAGTACTTTATATAATCTGACACCATCATTTTGTCAGATATATGGTTTGCAAATTACTTTCTCCCATCCTCTGAATTGTTGCTTTTTGATAACGACCTCTGAAGCACAATTTGTTTTTCATTTTGGTGAAATCTAATTTATCTATATTTTTATTTTATCACTTGAGCGTTTGATGTCATGAAGACTTGTTTTTAACCATGAATTGACTGGTTTACTAGTTCCTTTTTTGTTACTGAGAATGAATGGAGGCTGGAGAACGCTCACAACGAAACCCCGTCCAGGCTCCCAGAGGGTGGCTGGCCTGCAGCGTTCCATAAAGCTCGGAATTCTTGGGCCACAGAGAACCAGGGCGTCATTGCGTGGACTCGGAGGGAGGTGCTTGTGACCTCGTGTTGCCTTCGTTGTGAAGGGCTTTCTGATTTCTGGCCAAGACTTGAGGATGCAGAGATGCTGATCTTCCACCTGGCAGATTAGCACCAACTCTTGGTCCCTTGTGTGTTTGACTTGTTTTTTAGTTTTTTTTCCCTTCTTTATTTCTTGGCCTCAAAAGATCTATGGTCATCTTTTTATATCCAGAAGTTTGAGGGCTAATCTTTGTGCTATTCGAGTCAGAATTTTTCTCCTATGCCTAAAGATTTTTGTCTTTTTTTAGAAAAAAGATATATTTATTTATTTGAAAAGCAGAGTTAACAGTGAGAAAGGGAAAGACAGAGAGATCTTCTGTCTACTGGTTCACTCCCTAAATGACTTTAACAGGGCTGGGCCAGGCCATAGTCAGTAGCCTAGAACTCCATACAGGTCTCCCACATGGGTGGCAGGGTCCCAAGTACTTGGGCCATCTTCCACTGCTTTCTCAGGCACATTAGAATTAGAATTGAGCTGGATCAGAAGTGGTGCAACCACACTCAGATTGCTGCCCACATGGGATACTGGCATTGCAGGCAACAGCTTAATCCACTACCTCACCGTATCTATCGGCCTTGATTTTGTCGTCTTTAATAGAACTTATGGGTGTTTACTTGTGAATATCTGAATGCATGTGTGAGTGTGAATGGACGTGCATGTGTGTGGATGTAATTATTTTTTAATTCTAGTTTGCAGGAAGGAACAGGAAGGCCTGTGGCTTCCAACAAGGCTGTTACCTGTGCAGAGCTTGTCTTGGATGTCTCACCAAAGACACAAAGAGTTATTTTAAAGAAGAAGGTAAGAGAGCTTAAAAATCAGAGTTAAACTATGTGATTGGTAGCACTGAAGGGACACAGAAGCCATTGTTTTAAGGTGAGGAACTGGAGGGGGCTTAGGTTAAGTGATGAGTTCCAGGCACAAAGCTCAGGAGTCTGGGCGGCTCCACTTCAGTGTTCCCTGGTACCACGGCACCTGCTTGCAGGAATTCCCAGCCCTCCTTACTTCCGTGTTCTTTTTGGAGAACCTAACACTTGTATTCTTTTATTTTTCTGTTGTTCCCTAAACTGAATTGGGAGAAAAAAAAAATCAGACTGACAAGATTTTCCCATTCTTAGGCTGACAGCAGAATTGTGAGTCAGTGTAAAAGAAGAAGTTAACTTAGGGCGTGATCATGGTAGTAGAGCTAAATTTGAGAGAAAATCAGAATTGGCCAGGGACGTGAAAGCTACAGAAACATTGGTCTTCGCTGAAACTGAAAGATGACAGCTGCGTGGTGGGAGCAGGAAGGGGCAGAAACCACTGGAGGCAGAGGAGACCACCGGGAAAGCACCTGAAACATTTTCACCTCAGCGTGGGTTCCTGAAGAGTCTGTAATTTTCACACCCTGGTCGGGTGTCTGTTGGCCGCCTCCAGTGGCATCACAAGTGGCAGTGGTGTTGCTGGTTACCTTCACTTGGCTTGGGGTGATTTAGCATCTGACAGGTTTTTAATTGATTGGGAGGAGGTTGGTTCAAATTATTTCAAATGTTGCACATCAAATGAAGGCTTAATACATGTGTTTTGAAATTTAAACATATATTTAAATGGCTTTATTTATATACAGTTCATTTGTCATTAAATTACTCCTTTAAAAAATTCAGTCGTTCCTAGTACATTCACAGTGAGCGGGCCACACAGATAGTCTCCGTGCACTTCTGTCTACCTCAGTCCTGTATCAGTTAATCCTTCTAGATTAAATTGTTAGGGAAGAGGCAGCCAACTGGAAGGGGGATGGTCCATCTCAGGCTTCTAAGAGGAAATTTTGATCGTTTCCAACTTGCACTGAGTGCATAGATGGGCGGGCAGTAGAGGAGTCCGGACGTGAAAACTCGATCTCGCTGGGCCTCTGTGCTCTGATCCCTAACCTGTAGCATCCACAGAGTAGTGAAGCTGCTTTCTTGTTTGGTGTGGTGCCTGGATGCTGCATTCTCTTACTGTGACCGGAGCAGCAAGCGTGTGGGGATCTGAGAGGGAGCCACGGGCTCCGCTTCATCTCTGCAGACACAGGAGGCAGCGCACACAGCAGAAAGGGTGTGATGCCCGGGTTAGAGTTCTGGCATGTCACATCAAGATACACACCGTGTCCCTTATTTCCCATTCCTCTCTGAACTCCATTTTCCTACTGACCTTCAAGATGTGTTAAAAGGATCCACAAGATAATGTACGTTACTTACGGTGTAAAGAGTTTAGTGATACTGACAGCACACATTTACTGAGGCCAGGCCCACATGCCAGGCGTGTGCTAAATGCCATGGATTCATATACTTATCACAGGAACTATAAGAGGTAGCCTAATTTTCTGCTTTGACAGATCAGGAAACAGAGACTCTAATAGATGAACCTGTCCAAGGTTACTCAGCTCATAAAGGTGCAGCTGGATCTTAGTCCTGACATTGGGATTCCAGCATTCATGTCACGTACTTCATAGAATGCAGCAACTGTGTCTTTCCAGCACGAGAGTAGCATGTGAATGAATGTGTGGGAACCAAAAGTGGTTATTGCTGTTGACGGACTCCTGCCTGGTGAGGGTGTGTGTGAGCCTGACAGGTGTTCCTGACTCACAAGTCCTCAGGTTGTGTTAGAGAGGCAGTGTAGCAGAGTGGTTCAGCAGTCTGCCTCTGCAGTCAGCCGACTCCGTCACTTTGCCTGCATGACCACGGAGAAGCTCCTTCATGTCACTGAGCCCTCACTTGCTCCTCTGAATAAGGATAGTCAGAACAGAGAGCTCATTCGATTGTTGTGGGAATTAAATGAGATGTTGCATGCAAATCCCATGGACTGGCCTGTGGTGAATTCTTGGCAAGTTTTGCAGTCATGCATTGCTTAGTAACAAGGATAAGGATGCAGGAGACATGTGTCACTAGTCAGTTTCATCACAGTGTGAATAACATGAGGTGCACTTAACGTAAGGTGATTATAATGTTGTCAGGCAACATGCTCTTACTGGACTGCTGTTATATGTACATCATGACTGAAGTTTGGCATATGCTTTTTTTTTGACAGGCAGAGTGGACAGTGAGAGAGAGAGACAGAGAGAAAGGTCTTCCTTTTGCCATTGGTTCACCCTCCAATGGCCGCCACGGCTGGCGCGCTGCGGCCGGTGCACTGCACTGATCCTATGGCAGGAGCCAGGTGCTTCTCCTGGTCTCCCATGGGGTGCAGGGCCCAAGCACCTGGGCCATCCTCCACTGCACTCCCTGGCCACAGCAGAGAGCTGGCCTGGAAGAGGGGCAACCGGGACAGAATCCGGTGCCCGACCGGGACTAGAACCTGGTGTGCTGGCGCCGCAAGGCGGAGGATTAGCCTACTGAGCCACGGCGCCGGCTGGCATATGCTTGTTATTATTATTGTATATGATGAATTTTTTACACTTTCATGATTGACCTGGGTGTTGAGTGTTCCTAAGGAGAAAATATATTGGGAATTAACAGCCATCGACTTAGTATAACTTTTGAATATAATCAAGATGTGTTGATTAGAGACCATCAATATAGTGTATTTCCTTTATAGACATTGAGGAAAGGGCAGAAGATCTTTGGTGAGATCTGGTTGCTTGTGAGTTATGAGGATTTAGATGTCAGGTGTCAGATTTGGAGAGTATCCTATGATGTTTATATAATTGGATCCTGCTTCAAGGTAAGGGTCACCATCTAGAACGGTAGTGGTCATGGTAATAATATACCTTGTCCAGGTCATTGCTGAACCATTTGTTCTTGATTTTTTAAACAATCTTAAGTGTATGGAAAGAAATTTTTTAAAAAATTATACATTATTTGTAGTTTTTGGTTGTTTGGTTTAGCATATTTCACCGTAAGTGCGATTAGAGATTGACAACAAGGGAAGTCTGAATGAAGCATTCGTTCACTTGGGCAAAATGTCTAAAGGGCAGTTCCTACTTAAGGAAGCAGCCCTCAGAGGAAGCTCCTGGAGCCAGGAGCTAGCTCTGGCTGCACCTGATGGCTTTCTCTGGTTTTGTGCAAATCTGCTCGACAGGAACCAGGAAAGCGTTCCCAGCTGTGGCGGATGACAGGAACAGGAATGCTGGCTCACGAGGGCTCTTCAGTTCCTCACAACCCTAATAAGCCCTCAGCGACTCGCTCCACCGAGGGCTCTGCCATCTTAGATATTGCTGGCCTTGCTGCAGTGACCGACAACAGGTAATCTGCTAGACAACTTTTGATTTCAACTGTTAGAACCAGGGGAAATCTACACCAGAAAACAATATGTGTGTTGTTCTTCATTGGCAGAAATCTAGATAGGACTCTAGGACCTTTGACTTATTATTCTTTTTAATTAATTTATTTATTTGAAAGTCAGAGAAAGATGATCGATCGATCTTCCATCTACCGGTTCACTCCCCAATGGCTACAATGACTGGGGCTGGGCCAAGCCAAAGCCAGGAGGCAGGAGCTTCCTCTGGGTCTGCTATGTGGGTAGCAGGCACTTGGGCCATCCTCTGCTGCTTTCCCAGGCACATCAGCAGGGAGATGGATCAGAAGAGCAGCCAGGACTTGAACCTGCAGCCATGTGGGATGCCGGCTTCTCAGGCGGCAGCTTTACCCACTATGCCACAGCGCCAGGCCCTTCACTTTATTTTTCAAGCTGTTATGACAGTTCTTATGAGAGTGAATGTTTCTTCCATCCAAACTTGCAGCCCACACTTACTCCCCAGAAGTGAACCTTTTCTCCTCTTTAATATTTCTAATGTTTTTGGGTTTTTAAGATTTATTTATTTACTTGAAAGTCAGAGTTACACAGAGAGAGGAGAGGCAGAGGAGGTAGGGGTTTCTATTCGATGGTTCACTCCCTATTGGCTGCAATGACCGGAGCTGGGCCGATCTGAAGCCAGGAGCCAGGAGCTTCTTCTGGGTCTCCCACGCGGGTGCAGAAGCCCAAGGACTTGAGCCATCTTCCACGGCTTTCCCAGGCCACAGCAGAGAGCTGGATTGGAAGTGGAGCAGCCAGGTCTTGAACTGGCACCCATATGGGATGCCAGCACTTCAGGCCAGGGCGTTAACCCACTGTGCCACAGCGCCGGCCCCCTAATGTTTTTGTTATATCTTTCAAAAATAGAAATTAAATTATTAAGGTAGTAATGAAATTTTTCACGGTATTATAACATTTATTAAAATAATGCTATGGGTTAATAGAAATAACAAAGAACCAAGAGTTAAAATGCAAGCTGTGTAAAATCTCAAATAAAAGCCAAAAGTATTTAATGTGTTCATCCGTTAGCTAACTAAAATTTCAAGAAAGATGAGATAACCAATATAATAAATTACTGCAAAACAATTGGAAATTTCCAACTATAAAAATTGTGGATTTTGCATTTTGTATCCTTTCTCAGTCAAGAAAAAATTATTTTTTAAAGGTATGTCATGTAAAATAATATAGAAAAGTACATTGTAAACTTGTAACAATGACTATAAATACATTATCTTACATGTTTCTCATAGGCAGTATGTTATTTATGGTACACATAGAGCATGAAACTTCCAAGATAATAAAAAATGACAAAAATGCATGTCAGCTGTATGGTAACCTACAAGCGACACTTTGATCCACCCACACTGAAAAATTACGAAGTACTATCAGAAACAGTGTTAAAAACTACATATTGGTGGCCGGCGCCGCGGCTCAATAGGCTAATCCTCTGCCTGCGGTGCCAGCACTCCGGGTTCTAGTCCCGGTCGGGGCGCTGGATTCTGTCCCGGTTGCCCCTCTTCCAGGCCAGCTCTCTGCTGTGGCCAGGGAGTGCAGTGGAGGATGACCCAAGTCCTTGGGCCCTGCACCCCATGGGAGACCAGGAGAAGCACTTGGCTCCTGGCTTCGGATTGGTGCGGTGCGCCGGCCCTGGCGGCCATTGGAGGATGAACCAATGGCAAAAAGGAAGACCTTTCTCTCTGTCTCTCTCTCTCTATCTCACTGCCCACTCTTCCTGTCCAAAAAAAAAAAAAAAAAAAGAAAAGAAAAGAAAAGAAAAAAAAACTTACATATTGGTAAGAAACAAATTCAATAAAGGATAGTATTGACAGCCAAGGCATTCAGAGATTTTGTAAGTCATGTTTTTTTTCTCATTTTATCCAAAAAATTTTTCTTGAGATTTACTTTATTTATTTGAAAGACAGAGTTACAGAGAGAGGTAGAGACCGAGAGGTCTTCCATCCGCTGTTTCACCACCAGTTGGCTGCAATGGCCGGAGCTGCACCAATCCGAAGCCAGGAGCCAGGAGCTTCTTCTGGTCTCCCACGTGGGTACAGGGGCCCAAGAACTTGGGCCATCTTGTACTGCTATCCCAGGCCATAGCAGAGAGCTGGATTGGAAGAGGAGCAGCCGGGACTAGAACCGGCACCCATATGGGATGCCAGCGCTTCAGGCCAGGGCATTAACCCACTGCTCCACAGCGCTGGCCCCCTGAAATTTTATGAACTAAAATTTTCAAAAGTTTGTTCAGGAACCAACGTTTTGGCGCAACAACTTAAACCACTGCCTGTGATGCTGGCATCCAGTTGGAACCCTGGTTCACGTTCTGGCCTCTCTACTTCTGATCCAGCTCTCTTCATTACTGTGCCTAGAAACACCAGATATGAGGCAGGTGCTTGGTCCTCCATCACCTATGTGGGATGCTAGCTTTGCCACTGCAGGCAGGGTCTCCTGGCTTTGGCTTGGCGCAGCCCTGGCCATTGTGGCCATTTGAGGAGTGAACCAGTGGATGGAAGGTCTCGCCCTCTCTTTGTCTCTCTTTTTGTCTGTAACTTTGCCTTTCAAATAAATGAAATCTTAAAAAAAAAAAAAAAAAGTTTGTTGAGAACCAGTATTATTCATAAATGTTACACATTTATTTTATCATATATTTATTTACTTCCCCTTAAAAAACCTTTGATAAATATCTACAATGTCCAGGTAGAACATAGTTGAGATTAGGGCTGGCTCCGTGGCGCAGTAAGTTTAATCCTCTGCCTGCAGTGCCGGCATCCCATTTGGTCACCGGTTCTAGTCTCGGCTGCCCTCTTCCGACCCAACTATCTGCTATGGCCTGGGAAAGCAGTAGAAGATGACCCAAGCTCTTGGGCCCCTGCACCTGTGTGGGAGATCCGGAAGAAGCTCCTGGCTTCTGATCTGCTCAGTTCCAGCTGTTGCAGCCATTTGGGGAGTGAACCAAAGGATCGAAGACCCTTCTCTCTGTCTTTCCCTCTTACTGTCTGTAATTCTACCTCTCAAATAAATAAGATCTTGAAAAACATAACTCAGTTGAACCTGGGTCAAATACGTGGGTTTTTTTTTAAAGATTTATTTATTTTTACTTGAAAGCAAAGTTACAGAGAGAGAGAGAGAGAGAGAGAGAGAGTGAGTGAGTGTCTTCCATCTGCGGGTTCACTCTCCAGATGGCTGCAGTGGTCAGAGCTGGGCCAATCCGAAACCAGGAGCCAGGAGCTTCTTTCCAGTCTCCCACACGAGTACAGGGGCCAAGGACTTGGGCCATTTCTACTGCTTTCCCAGGCCATAGCAGAGAGCTGGATGGGAAGAGGGCAGCTGGGACTTGAACTGGTGCCCATATGGGATGCTGGCACTGCAGGCAGTGGCTTTACCTGCTACACCACAGTGCTGGCCCCAGAAATACTTGTTTATAACAATGATCAAGTCAAATGTTTGGGTGTCACAGATTTATTCAACCAACGAAACAAAGCAAAAAATCAAAATATCAAAGCACATATTGTAAATAAATCAAATAACACAACGGTATATGTAACAGAAAGACAAAGCAGTGGTACATTAAACCAAAGCTAGCAGAATACAAAACAGTGAATTTCTATTGCTTTCTGAAACTGTACTGTTTCCAAGCGAGGCACAATGATGGAGAGGCCACCAGGAAGATGCTAACTGAGCTTCCTGCTGATTTCCCTGTGAGATTTTTAGAAAAGATTTATGTATTTATTTGGGGGTGCAGGAGGGGGAGAGATCTTTCTCTGGTTCACTTCCCAAATGGTTACAACAGCTCTGTCTTGGCCAGGCTGAAACTAGGAGCCATGAACCCCATCCAGTCTCCCATGCAGGAGGCAGGGACCCAAGTGCTTGGGCCATCATCTGCTGGTTTCCCAGGTACATTAGCAGGGAGCTGGGTCGAAAGTGGAACAGACAGGACTGGAACTGGCACTGTGATACTGGATGCCAGCTTTGCAAGAGGCAGTTTAACCTGCACCACAGTACCAGCCTCCAGATGCGTTTGTATGAATAGTTCAGTTCTTTGATATTGTGAAGAAGTTGCTTTTTTGGCTATACCTAGTTCCTCCCTAAAATCAGGGAATTTGTTTTTAGTAGATTCTTCAATTCCTTTCAAAGAGACTTTAGATAACTTACAAGTTAAAAGACAAAAATAAAAGTATAAAGAAGTATTTATAAAGCTAATTAAAAATGAATCTTAATGAAGAATGGGTTAGGAGAGGGAGTAGGAGGTGGGATGGTTTGCGGGTGGGAGGGCGGGTATGGGGGGAAGAACTGCTATAATCCAGAAGTTATACTTATGAAATTTATATTATTAAATAAAAGCTTTCTATTAAAAAAAGAAGTATTTAGACAGAAGACTGTTAAAGACTTGAAATATAGATAGTGGATGTCCCCTGCTGTACTGCATGATAGTTTGTCATTATGAGAATGTGAGATCATCTATCATTAAATTATGTTATGAACCTGCAGGCTCTTGTCACTTCTGGTCCTTTCTTGGTTGCTTTCCGTTTTATTTTATTCTGTACTTCTTTCCTCATTAAGAGATGCCTGATTGCCACCACAGCGTTCCAGCTAACTGCCTATTGCCTTTGAAGGGTGGTAGCAGGAAGAAGAGCAAAACCACATTTCCCATGTTCTCTTCAGGCCTGAACAGTTGATTCTGAGAACCCATGTATTTCCTTTTGTCCAGATACGAGCCTCTGATGCTAAGGAAGCCGGACCGCAGACGAAGCACTACTCAGACGTGGAGTTTCCGGGAGGGGAAGCTGACCTGTGGGTTGCACGGGCTGGTTGTCCAGGTCAGTCATTTTCAGTGCCCTTAGTTGCAGTCGGCAGTGGCTTAGGCTTCTTTGAAATGGTGTCTCATCTAGGTTGTATACCATAAATTGTTAAATGAGGAAAATTCATTATGAGTAATACATAGTCTCCTCCATTTTTTTAAAAAATGTCAAAAAACCCTGTGGTTGTCTGTCTCTGTCATCACATAGGAAGTGTTGTTGAAGGTGATGTATAACAAATGTGTTGAAGGCAGGTGCTTGCCTATCTAGTTGTTTCTCTAGTTTGAGACCTGTGAAGTTGAAAGAACAGCTCTGACGGTCTCTGTAAAGTGTTCTCTGAGTCGCTGAGTAATCATGGCTCTGTGTGTTCTCATTCTGTGCATTCCAGCATTTTTTTTTTTTTTAAGAGACTTACTTATTTATTTGAAAAGAGAGTTAGAGAGGAGAAACAGAGAGAGAGAGATTCTCCATCCACCGATTCATTCCCAAATGATCACAATGGTCAGAGCTTGGATGGTCCGAAACAGGAGCCAGGAGCTTCTTCTGGGTCTTCCTTATTGGTGCAGGGCCCAAGTACTTGGGCCATCTTCCACTGCTTTCCCAGACATATTAGCAAGTAGCTGGATCAGAAGTGGAGCGGCCAGGATTTAAACTGGCCCCCGTAGGGGATGCTGGTGTCACAGGCAGCTGCTTTACCCACTACATAGTGGCGGCCCCCATTCCAGCATTCTTAGTGGTGCCTAAATAAGCAATTATTATTTCTAATGTCAGAAAGAAGATTACTGAACAGTTTTCTCTGTCCTCAATTCAGCCGTCTACTCCGTAATAAACTCCCAGGTACTTTGTAAGCAGATAGAGTTTGGAAAATAATCAAGAATTTGAATTTTTCTGTCCTTCATGGCATCAGGCTGAAAATGAGACCATGATCCAAGGTGAGTAAGTAGGAAGGTTTCGAGGAAGATTGGCATGTGCGATGGTGTGTTCAGATCTCCCTCAGTCTGAGGTCACAAAAGGTAAATAGTAGAACCTCAGGCTCTAGCAGAACGTAGGCTATGTTTTTACATAGGACTGTACTCGGGCAGCGCACAAAGCTGAAGGAGGGGCTGGCGCTGTGGTGTAGTAGTCCTGGCTGCTCTTTTTCCAGTCCCGGCTACTCCACAGCCGATCAAGCTCTCTATTCATGGCCTGGGAAAGCAGTGGAAGATGGCTCAAGTACCTGGGCCCTTGCACCCACACGGGAAACCTGGAAGAAGCTCCTGGCTCCTGGTTCCTGGCTTCTGATTGGCCCAGCTTCAGCTATTGCATCCATTTGGGGAGTGAACCAGCAGATGGAAGACCTTTCTCTCTGTCTCACCCTCTCTCTCTAACTCTGCCTCTCAAATAAATAAATAAAATAAAATCTTAATTAAAAAAAAAAACTGTAAGGAGCCTCTGACTGCTATTTGGTGAGATACATTTTCTTTATTGCCCTATCAAAGCTTTTTTTTCATCAAAGGCAAGCTGCTTACTTAATGAAGCATACATCTGGAATGGATTTGTGATTTTTAATTAGCAATACAATTCAAACTTCTAGAGTCAAAAGAGGGCTAGTTGTAATTGGTGGGTTCCATGTCTGACCCTGACTTTACTTGTATTTCCTGTTCTCTTGGAGCAAACACCTTCTGGTGTTTGTTGTTTCTTGAATCTATTTCGTCATTTCTCTGCTTGCGAATGACCCATAATAATAGTATTCATCAGAGCAGAATGTGTTTCGGTTAGGGAAATAAGTTTGTTCCAGTCTTGCTATGCTGAATGAAGTAACTGAAGGCATTAAAACATTGTCTGTCACTGTGCTCATTAGGCTGAATATGTACTTTCTCCCTCAACAACAGTCACAAAAAACTTCTCTGTGTTGAAACTTATCCTATAAACCCAGCTCACGGTATCCTTTTCATTACTCATTAATTAAAAATCTACAAGGCAGGTTTTTAAACTCTTTGCTTTGTCTTTTCTAGCCCTGTGATTGCTCCCCCGTAGGCCTCACCCGGTAGCACTGGGACAGAGAGCGGGAGGTGCTTTTCTCCAAGGCCTGGGTCACTGGGTGTCAGCTGACATTCCCAGCTATGTGTCAGAAGAGGCACCAGCTTTGTGATATTTGGGTTGGCTGTCCAGTCATAGGCAAATTTGGGGAAATTTTCAACTTTAGAATTTGCTTCTTTTTGATAAATGGAATGATAACAATAATTGTTTTTATTTTTAGATTTTTCAGTAAACCTTAATGAAAATAAGAAACAAAGCTGCTTTCGTTAATTCTTTTATAAAAGATTATTTTGAGACAGAGTAAAACTAACATACTCTATTCATGGAATTATCCCTTACTTATAATTCTACCAGTTCGTACATTATAAATTCCTTTTATTTTTCTTTTTTTGCTGTAAGATTTATTTTATCTATTTGAAAGAGTTGGAGAGAGAGGTAGAGACGGGGTAGTAGGGGAGTCTTTCATCTGTTCGTTCACTCCCCAAATGGCCTCAGTAGCCGGAGCTGAGCCTATCTGAAGCCAGGAGCCAGGAAGGGCTTCTGGGTCTCCCACGTGAGTCCAGGGGCCCAAGGACTTGTGCCATCTTCTCCTGCTTTCCCAGACACATTAGCAGGGAGCTGGATCAGAAGTAGAGCAGCTGAAACTCGAACTGGCACCCATATGGGATGCCAGTGCTTCAGGCCAGGACTTTAACCTGCTGTGCCACGATGCAAGCCCCTCCATTTTTTGTTTTAAAGATTTTATTTATTTATTTGAGAGGTAGAGTTATAGACAGAGAAAGACAGAGAGAGAGAAAGAGAGAGAGAGAGAGAGAGAGAGGTCTTCCATCCACTGATTCTCTCCCCAAATGCCCACAAAGGTTGGAGCTGGGTCAAACTGAAGCCAGAAGCCAGGAACTTCTTCCAGGTCTCCCTTGTGGTTGCTGGGGCCCAAGCACTTGGGCCATCTTCCAGTGCTTCCCTAGGCCGTTAGCAGGGAGCTGGTTTGGAAGTGGAGTAGCCAGGACTCAAACCAGTGTCCGTATGGGATCCCATATGAGATGCGCTGTAGGTGGAGGCCCAAGCCACTACACCACGATGCCAGCCGCAATGCAGTATACCTTTCTATCTTGCTCAAGTTACTCTACTATTTTTCATCATCTCTAAAGCTGAGCAAATAGTAAATGCTTTGCTGTACATTGGTCATGACCCTTCAAAAGAGAAATTTAACAACTTTTTTCAAATGGCATGATAAACTGGCAGTCAGTACTTTTACCTTTTCTTATATATCTTTACTCCAATACCTTTTAGGCTAAAGGAGGTCTTTCTGGTCTGTTTGATGGAGCTGAAGTCGTTCTTGGTCCTGACACTTCTGTAGAGCTTTTGGGTCCAGTGCCACCTGAACAACAGTTTATTAACCAAAAAATGAGGCCTGGTTCTGGAATATTAGCCATCAGAGTCATCCCAGATGGACCAACTAGAGCACTGCAGGTAATAATTTATGATAAGTACTGACACGACACTTAGCATACCCTCTCCAATGCTGCTCAGCAAATGTTACTCTCCAATGTTACTCAACAAATATTCATTGAACATGTGTGCTGGGTATGAAAACATGGTCTTTTCATCTGTAACTCAGAGATCGGGTCTGCCTTGCAGAGTTCCTTCAAGTAGAAGTAAAATGTTAAGTATAAAGTATATGCAAAGTGTAAGTAAAATGTAAGATAATCCTAAAAAAATAAGAATTAAAGGAGATACTGTTAATGCATACTATCGATCTTATTAATCATGCTAACAATTTCAATATTCGATATATTGATAATATAAATAACAAGTAGGTCTAAGCTCTTTAAACAGACAAATAAAGTGTGCTTTGAGGGTTAGAGTGCAGGGTTTTTAGAAAGGATTTGTGTGCCTGGATTTGGAGGTTGGGGGAGCTCCCTAGGAAACATAATCCTTCAGCTGAGACCAACAGTTGACTGAGGACGTTAGCCAGGTAGGGAGGGAAGATGGAGGGGCTGTGCCCTCAATAATGAGTGTGTTCATTCCATCGTTGCTTACTGAGCATAGTTCTAGGTACTGAGCATGTATATCAATGAATAAACAAGTGAGATTGCCTGCTTTCATGGAGTTTACATTCTAGGGATGGTAGACAATGAACAATCAACACAGTAAGTACATTGTATAGCCCTGGGAAGTTGATTAGTGAAGACCCACAAGCAAGAGTGATCCCGGGCCTGGCTGGCACACATAACATGGTGACAAATAAGACTGGAGGTAAAATCAAGGGCCCAAGCATTCTAAGCCTGAAATACAGACTAAAGATTCTGTGTTCTTTCTGAGGCAATAAGGAGCGAGGGAATGGCATCATCCGATAGCTCTTGCCTGCAGAGTTGGAGGGGTAAAACGGAGATGAAGAAATGGCTCGAGGCTCTTCCACTGATGGAGCTGAGATCATGACTGCCTGACAGGGCGGGGCCTGGAGGGTGGACAGAAATGGAATGTGAATGCTTAGGAGGAGAGGTAGTCCATCTAACAGTTGATTGGACTTGGGGCTGAGGAGAGGAAGGAGTCAACCGTGGCCTCCAAGATTCTGATCTGGGCGGCTGGGAGGATGATAATGCAAATCAGGAAGAGGTGAGCGTAGAGCAGACATGAGGGGAAATAAGGAGTACGTTTGAGACACTGAGTTAAGGTAACTGTGTGCCATCCACATGACGATGTCCAAAAGTTATTGTAAATATGTGTCTGATGCTCACGGGATTGATCAGATCATAGTGCAATTAGACAACCAAGGAAATAAAGGTGTTGGCATGTAATGGTGAACTGTAACACAGGACATCATGATCGACAATACCATGTGCAAAAGCTGTCTTCTCTTAAGGGAAAAATGAATACGGTGACCTCGGGGTGTTTCTATTTTAACTGGAGCTATAATTCTGACCACCTACAGATACCTAACTCTTATCATATAAGTTTCAAAGGGTTTGCGGCTTGAGTTTATCAAGTAGACTTAATGCCAAGCTTGCTTTGTTACTTCTATAAATCTTAGCAGTGCTAAGCAGTGCTTTGGAAACCATTAATTTCCACGGACATATCGCGTATGTAGTGCATATAGTGACTTTTAACCTACACAGTGGCATGGGCTAGACGGGGCTTCACTATAGAAGTGTGGGCCCTCACTATATAGTGTTTTATTGGCTTCAGATAACAGATTTCTGCCAACGGAAAAATGACCGTTCATCATATGAAGTGGATGAACTTCCCGTTACAGAACAAGAGCTACAGAAATTAAAGACTCCAGAAACAGAACAGGAATTGGAAGTAAGTTTTGAATGTAAATTTATTTCTTTGATCACCAATTTGTTTGTTTTGCCCTGTAGTTTTCTGAGTTTAGACTTTGTTTTCTTTCTGCCCTGTATGAATTCTAAATATGATTTTGCTTTTCATATTTACTGTTATCACAACATGAATGTGTTATGTAAATGACAACTAAAATTTATGTGAAATCAGATATAATAAGTGTCACTATGTTAAGATGACAATAAAACATGCTAACCTATCTGAATTTCAGTAGGGTTTTTTTCTTTTTTTTTATGATATTATTTATTTATTTGACAAGCAGAGTTAGAGACAGTGAGAAGGAGAGACAGAGAGAAAGGTCTTCCTTCAGTTGGTTCACTCTCCAAATAGCTGCAACAGCCAGAGCTGCGCCAATCCAAAGCCAGAAGCCAGGAGCTTCTTCCCAGTCTCCCAAGTGGGTGCAGGGGCCCAAGCACTTGGGCCATCTCCCACTGCTTTCCCAGGCCATAGCAGAGAGCTGGATCGGAAGAGGAGCAGCCGGGACTAGCCCATATGGGATGCCAGCGCCACAGCACCGGCCCCGGGTTTTTTTTCTTTTAAAGATTTTTTTTTTTTTGAGAGGCAGAGTTACAGATAGAGAGAAAGAGGGACAGAGAGAGAGGTCTTCCACACACTGGGCCACTCCTCAAATGGCCACAACAGCTGGAGCTGGGGCAATCTGAACCCAGGAGCCAAGAGCTTCTTCCAGGTCTCCTACGTGGGTGCGGGGGCCCAAATACTTGGGCCATCTTCTACTACTTTCCCAGACCATTAGCAGAGATCTGATGGGAAGAGAAGCATCCGGGACACGAACTGGTACCCGTATGGGATGCCAGCACTGCAGGCCTGCTACGCCACAGCGCCATTCTCAATAGATTTTAAAGACTGGAAAACTAGTTTGTTTTTTGTTTATTTTATCTTTTGCGTTCCAGTTGACTCTGACCTTTGCCTTCCCTTGTTTCTGTTTGGCCACTGGAAAGAGGATGAAAAGTTTGAAAAGATGAGATGAACATGGAAAAGCACATTTTCTTGATATTTATCTAGTAATGTTTTTTAAAAAAGGATGCCTGTGTGTGAAGCACTGTGTTGGATGTTATTGATGTGCAGTGAGTAACCTATTAAGAGCTCTCTTGGGGGCCGGCTCTGTGGTGTAGCTGGTAAAGCTGCTGCCTGCATTGCTGGCATCCCATATAGGTGCTGGTTCTAGTCCCAGCTGCTCCTCTTCCGATCCATCTCTCTGCTATGGCCTGGGAAAGCAGTAGAAGATGGCCCAAGTCCTTGGACCCCTGCACCCATGTAGGAGACCCAGAAGTTCCTGGCTCCTGGCTTCGGATCAGCACAGCTCTGGCCGTTACGGCCAACTGGGGAGTGAACCAGTGGATGGAAGACCCCTCTCCCTCTCCCTCTCCCTCTCCCTCTCCCTCTCCCTCTCCCTCTCCCTCTCCCTCTCCCTCTCCCTCTCCCTCTCCCTCTCCCTCTCCCTCTCCCTCTCCCTCTCCCTCTCCTCCCCCTCCCCCTTTCTCTGTGTGTAACTCTGACTTTCAAATAAATAAATCTTTTTTTAAAAAAGAAGAGGTTTTGTCCCAAATATAGAGAAGGATTCTGAGTTGCAGTCCTATAAATAAAGTACAGAGCATCCCAGGGCTCTGATGGGTTCTGTTATCTCGCTTGGAGTCCTGGCTGGAGTGGGGAGTGTGTGTAGGAGGCTCGCAGTGAGATGACAGCATTTGAACCGTCACGGTGGATGATGAAACTTTGCTCAGCAGTTGTCAGCTGCTTGGAGGTGAAGCGTAGAGGGATTTAATGCCATTTATTTTGTATACTCTTCCTGGCTATGAGCTACCTTTTAAACAGTCAGTGTGCCGTGTTTTGCTTTCCTTTCAGGTACTTGTGAGGCTAGAAGGTGGCATTGGGTTGTCCTTAATTAATAAAGTCCCAGAGGAACTGGTTTTTGCAAGTCTTACAGGAATCAATGTGCACTATACACAGCTGGCAACCAGTCACATGCTGGAACTCAGCATACAGGATGTACAGGTAAGAGTGAAGGTTTGGAGTTGTTAATCTCTGAAAACACGCCTAGAGCTGATGTGTAGTGTGCTAAAAACATCAGTGTTCTGAAGGAAGTATCTTGTAGCCTTCAAAACAAATCACTCCAAATAGTAGTTGTTTCTTGCTGACTTTCCTGTGCAGCAGAATTCTGACTCTAATAGCTGGTCCATAAATAAGTTAGATAACAGCCAGGGCAGCATACACAGGGGAGGGTGGTCTGTGGTTTCTCTGGTGTTAGAAAGAAGACAATAGGAATCCATCCAGCCATCATCGGGAGAAAGTCACACTCGTCACAAGGAGAGAAGGTAAGGGGACTGACATTCCAGTTTTGGTTAAGGTGGAATCATGAGGACTCTTCCGCTTGGAACAGCCCCCAAGCCTTATTACAGTAAGGATAAGACACTGGACATCAGATAGCGAAGTGCAGTGACCCGTGAGGGGTTGAAGCAAAAGAGGTGAGCCCTGCGGCTGCCATGCTCACCAGCTTAGAAGGTTCCCCGGCCACAGACTGGGAAGGGAGATGGGATATAATAACTAATCTTACAGGAAGTTGCCCCAAAGTACATCATAATCACACTCCTCAAACCACTGATACAGCCAGAGGACAAAAACCGTGTTATGTTCTTTGGAACAAAGATGCAAGTGACTACCATTTCTTTCTGGGAACAGTGCAAATGTGAGCATAGTAAGCAGCATCTTTAAAATGCCAAAAAGGGAATCAGCATCGTTCCCTAAAGCTGAAGATATCCTCAGATACATACAAGCTGAAAGAATTCACTGTTGTTGTAGACACACACTACAAAAAGTGTTAAAGTATGTCATTCACACAGAAGGAAAATGGCACCAGATAGAAATTTGGGTTTGGAAAGTGTAATGAAGAACACCTGAAATGATAACCAGATGAGTGAGAACATGATTATTTGCTTCATATTTAAATATCTTAAAGAGAGAATTGACTGTATAGACAAAAATAACACTGTATCTGCCGTCTGCAGTAATAAAGAATAAAATAATGACAACAGTATAAAAGCAAAAGGGAAGTATATTGTTACAATCTTAAACATGAAGTGGTGTAATGTCACCTAAATGCAGACCGATCAATTAAAAATTAAACATATATACTATAAACCATAAAGCAGCCACCAAAATAACATGACAAAGAGCTAGAGTAATCCAACAAAGGAGATAACAGGAAATCATTAAAAAAGTGATCGGGACCAGTGCTGTGGCGTAATAAGCTAAGCCTCTGCCTGTGGTGCCAGCATCCCCTATGGGCACGGGTTCATGTCCCAGCTGCTCCTCTTCTGATCCAGCTCTCTGCTGTGGCCTGGGAAAGCAGTAGATGGTGACCCAAGTCTCTGGGCCCCTGCACCCAACTGGGAGACCTGGAGGAGGCTCCTGGCTCCTGGTTTTGGATCAGTGCAGCTCCGGCCATTGCAGCCAATTGGGGAGTGAACCAATGGATGGAAGACCTCTCTTCTCTCTCTCTGCCTCTCCTTCTCTCTCTGTAACTCTGACTTTCAAATAAATAAATAGATCTTTAAAAAAAAAAAAAAAAGAAAAGAAAAGAAGAGTGGTCTGAAAGCAATGCATTCAGGTGTCATCTTAAGGAATTTTGGAGACTGGAACTGTGCTGTAGTAGGCTGAGCTTCTGCTTGCAATGCCTGCAATCGATATGGGCACCGGTTTGTATCCCAGCTGCTCTTTTTTTGATCCAGCTCTCTACAGCCTGGGAAAGCAGTGATGGCCCAAGTGTTTGGATCACTGCACCCACGTAGGAGACCTGGAAGAAGCTCCTGGCTCCTGGCTTTGGATCAGCCCAGCTCCAGCCGTTATGGCCATCTGGGGAGTGAACCAGCAGATGCAATACTTTTCTGTCTGTCCCTCTCTCTGTTGAAACTCTCTTAAATAAATAAATAAATAAATAATCTAAAAAAAATTAAAAGTTGTGAACCCAAAATAAACAAAAGTAAGTAAATAATAAAGAATACAGTGGAAGTCTGAACTGGAAATCAGTAATCATAGTACAGAAAAATCAGTATAATCAGAAGTTGGTTCTTTAAGAAGAAAAAAAAACTAACAGGCCTTCAACCAGTATGATCAAGAGGAAAATGGAGAAGACACAAATGACCAACATCAGGGGTGAGAGGAGGCAGAACAGCCAAGTGAATGACTGCCCTTTGGGCGGGGCTTTTGAAAGGCATTGTCTGTAGTGAGTCTTTGTGAGGCTGCGGGGTTTTCCCCGTAAGTGTAGGGCTTTGTCATGGCTGCAGGATGCTGGGGTGGGAATGGTGGGCACAGGATAAGTTAAGCTGCCACAGAACTCACTGTTCATACCAAGTTTCATCTTATTTCTCGAGTAAATACTCTTTGGATCGTTACAAGCCTTTGATTCATATTCGTAATTCTGGAGAAGTTGACTTTGATGACTTTTGGCAGGATTCTTTTGTCTTGCTATCAGAACAACTCCTGTGTCTCTCTGACATCATGCTTGGGACCGTTCTCCTTTATAACCTCTGCCAAAACTGAATTGTGTCTAGGAAACTAGTTGCTGGTAAACATTGCAAAAGAAGGATCCAGAGCCCAGACTACGGTCCTTTTCTCCCAACAGCCAGCCTATGTTCCTGCTGGGCGTGTTCAGCGGATCCCTGGGACAAGGCTGCTGTGTCCCCCCAAAACATTACATGGCACTTCCAGACTGTCAGTGCCAGGCCTCTTTTCAGGGGAGTCATTTGCCATAAATGGCAGTTAATTTAGGATAATCACAACTCATCTGTGGACAGATAAAAAGTATTTTTCTTTCTTTTACTTTTTTTTTTCAATATTTATTTGTTTATTTGAAAGGGAGAGTTACAGAGAGGCAGAGGCAGAGATAGAAAATCTTCCATCTGCTTGTTCACTCCCTAGATGGCTACAACGGCCAGAACTGCGCCCCATCCAAAGCCAGGAGCCAGCAGCCTGTTCTGGGTCTCCCTCGCAGGTGCAGGGGCCCAAGGACCCGGGCCATCTTCTGCTTTCCCAGGCCACAGCAGAGAGCTGGATCGGAAGTGGAGCAGCCGGGACTCGAACTGGTGCTCACATGGGATGCCGGCACTGCAGGCTGCGGCCTTACTTGCTATGCCACAGTGCCAGCCCCTCTTCTACATTTTTGACCTTTTTCTTCTGAAGAATAAAAGGAGGGACGTTGTCACTTGAAGTAGCCTGGGAAGATCTTCCTGAGGAAGTGAGAGCTAAACTGAAACATGAAAGTGGAAAAAGAGCAGACCACAGAGAAGGAAAGCCATCCCAGGGAAGTTCAAAGACCTTGAGGAGAGAGGGACTTGACTACATTTGAGAAACAGTGGGGAGGCTCCTGTGTAGACTAGAGCAAACTAGGAGGAGAGTGGCATGTGGTTTGGTTGGGGAACATGTATTGATTCATGCAGACCTTGGAGGCTGTGGCAAGAAGTTTGGTTTTTATCCTAAGAGAGAAGCCATTAAAGGGTCTAAAGGAAAAGAGGGTATGGCTTCTTATATTTTTGTAAATGTTTGTTTATTTGAAAGGCAGAATGACAGATTTATTCCATCCTCCAGTTCGCTCACTAAATGTCTGCAACAGCTGGGTCTGGGCGAGGCCGAAGCCAGAAGCCAGGACCTCCATCATGGTGTCCCACGTGGGTGGCAGGGGCCCAGGTACTTGGGCCGTCATCTACTGACTTCTCAGGTGCATCAGCAGGGAGCTGGATGGGAAGTGGAGCAGCCTGGACTCAGGCTAGCACTTAGATTTGGGTTGCTTGTATTGTAAGTGGTGTCTTAACCAGCAATACCGCAGCACCAGCCTCCATTTCTGTTTTTCAAAGATCGCTTTGGAGTACACTGTAGGGAGCAAGAGTGGAAGTCAGGAGAAGTGCACTGAGTCTCCCGCCCTTCCCTGCACTTTGAGAGGCAGCAGAAGGAGAGCCCGCATACAGGGTGACTGTGTGGAAATCCAGGCAAGACCATGGACGGGTCAGAGGATTTGGTGCAAGAAATACCTGCATTTGAATCCCTGCTTTTCCGCATGCTAGCTCTGTGAATGTGACCGAGTTCATTTAACTTCTCTAGACTTCTGTTGATTTGTTGATACAAACCCAGTCTTTGGGGTTGTAGTAAGGAATATGTTAGAGGGTGATGTGCAAAAGGTACCCATCGATGGCTCGGCAGGGGTCCCCAGCAGATGGCCCCCTCTTGTCTCTTCCATGCGCGGACCTTCAGAGTACAGCAGGATGTGAGGGTGGCTGCCCCTGCAGGACGTCCCCTTTATCCACCATTTGAGTGCAGCCTGTGCACACTGTTGGGCTGCTGACTGGGACTTGGGGGGTAGGGTAGGTCCTAATGCCACTCACTTCACCCTTGTATTCCTGAGAAGGGAGTTGACCTTAGAACATGGAACTGTTCCCATTTGTTAGCCAGTTGAGCTACTGATTCTCTAGGTTAATTGCCTTTAGGGAATTTGGAGCAGGAGAGAACATTGGTAACATGTGGTTAAGAACACTGGCTTTAGGTCAGATAGCCCTGGACTGAAGCCCTAGTTCTGTCATTGACGTAACTATGACCTTCAGCGAGGACCTCACTCCTTAGCTTCAGCATCTGCAAAGTGAGGTCAGTCACATTTGGCTGTCGTAAGGGTTGCAGCAGAACCCATAGTGCAAGAGCAAGTGTTGTGAGTAGTCGGTGACTTGACGAGCTAGTGCATATGAGGTGACCAGTGTAGTACCCATATAGTACTCAGCTAAATGTTAAAAATACTACATTGTTAAAGTTTTGATTCATTAATGCTTTATTAAGTAAATCATTTTATTTTTAAAGATATATTTGTTTATATGAAAGAGTTACAGAGATAGAAGGAGAAATCTTGCATCTGCTGGTTCATTTCCCAGATGGCCGCAACAGCCAGGGCTGGGCCAGGCCAAAGCCAGGAGTTAGGAGCTTCTTCCAAGTCTCCCACATGGGCGGCAGGCACCTAAACACTTGGGCCTTCTTTCACTACTTTTCCCAGGCTATTAGCAAGAAGTTGAATGGAGAGTCAGTTAGCTGGGACTTGAACAGTGCCCATATGGGATGCTGGCATTGCAGGCAGCAGCTTAACCTCTGTGCCACAGGGCCCGCTCCTCATTAATGCTTATTATTTGAGAGGCAGAGAGCAAGAGGGCTCCTATCCACTGGTTTACTCCCCAAATGCCCAAAAAGGCCAGGCCTGGGCAGGGGCCAAAGCCGGAAGCCGGGAACTCAGTCTAGGTCTTCTGCATGGATGGCGGAAAGCTAAATTCCATGACTATCACTGCTGTCTCCCAGGGTCTACTATATTGGAAGCTGGAGTCAGGAGACACAGCTCAGTACTAAACCCAAGTACTCCAATTTTGGATGTGGGTGTCTTAAAAGCTAGGCTAAATGCCCATTCTCATCCTTTAAATTTTCAGTTGGCAAGTACAGATTGTGTATGTTTATCAAGTGGAACATGATGTTTGAAATATGCGTATGTTAAGGAATGGCTAAATGAAACCCGTTAATGTAGACATAACCTCAACTACTTTTTCATGGTGAGAAAATGTAAAGCACTCACTGGCCAAGTGTGACTTCTGTTGTCACACTGTTCTTCCTTCTGAAGTGTTGCTGTTGCAGGTCTTCACTGTGGTTGCGTGCTTCCAGCTGCTGTTGAGCTAGAGTAAAATGTGAAGAGCCTGTGTGATGAGTCACTACTCAAGGTGGAGTGAGAACTAAGCTTGCTTTGCTGTGTGCTCCTGTCCTAGGTGGACAATCAGCTCATCGGTACCACTCAGCCCTTCCTGCTGTATGTGACTCCCGTGAGCAATGAGAGCGAGGCCGTTGAGACCGGCCCTGCCGTGCAGGTCAACGCGGTGAAGTTCCCCAGTAAGAGTGCACTGACCAACATCTACAAGGTGGGCTGTGGGTCTGCTGCGTGCCAGAGGGCTGATTCCTTCCCTCGCAGCCAAGTCAGAGCAGCAGTGCCGGCTGCGGACGGAATGGTTACACAGGGTTAAGGCACATGCAGCGTGCTAGGTTGTTAAGGGGATTTACAAGAACTCCGTCCTTTGGCACCTTGCATTTTCAGTTGTGTTTTCAGTGACCCTGCAGGTGATCATTAGATAGTCCTGAGTCCACAGGGCAGTCTTCCTTCATTAGAGCGACATCTTTGTGGGAAGGTGCAGCATCTTCTAGATCAGTCAGAGCTAGGTGGGGGCCAGATCTCAGATTAAAAATAGAGTAATCCAGAGATTTGGGAAAAGGGCTGAGGGGCAGACATCTGGCTACCGCAGTATTCACTCAGAGCAGATAGTTCACAAGTGGCAAATTCTCTTCCTTGGGGAAGTCTCCACGCACAGGCTGCTGTGACAGCTACAGACTACACAAGTGGAAGCCGGGTAAGAGGCTGCTTCCCTTGTTTCTGATCCTCGGTCACCAGCGCTGCCGGGACCGAACCTGTGGCAGCCTTGAGATTCACTGCTCCTTAGGAGAGCCGCCGTTCGTCCTGAGTGCAGGGCCAAGCAGCTCCTGCACCAAGTGCATCCCTGACAGGAGGGTGGTGAGCCATCTACTAAACATCACCTTCAATTCTTTTGAACTGTAACAGTGGAGAGAGTGAGAGCCAGGATAAGTTGGCAACGTGATTATAAAATCACATGAGACCCACGTCATGTCACTGGGGCCTTTTTAATGGCACAGATGAAAGTCGCCGCTGTTCATGCTATAAATCGGAATGTCTCTCTCTAGCACCTGATGGTCACAGCGCAAAGATTCACAGTGCAGATCGAAGAGAAGCTGCTCCTCAAGCTGCTCAGTTTCTTTGGCTACGATCAAGCCGAGTCAGGTGAGAAGGTGTTGTGTGTGTGTGCTGGGTGCCGGCTCAAGGGTGGCCTTCCTCAGTCTGTCAGCAGGAGTCCTGCACGCCTGCACGTTCCCTGTCTGCCTCCCCTCCTGAGCCGGGAAGCTGAGGCCCGTGTTCAGCTGTTCTCTGCAGGCGTCATTTGTCGCCTGAAGTGTGACTGCACTGCGGCTGCTCGGTGGGTCTGTGGGCGTCCTGCAGTACCCAGGAGGGAGCCTTTGGGGAGCAGACTCTTCCCCTTTGCTCTGCGTGTTTTGGTCCCTCTGCTCTAGGAGTGCAGAGAAGATGTTCGTCATTGAGGAAACCACTGTGTTTCCCAACCTTTGTTTATTAAACAGATTCAGGCCAAGAATCAGAAATCCCTGTGGTGGCTTCTTGGGTTTAGTTGAGAAAAAAACTGGTTAGCCTCAGTCTGTTAACTTTTGACATTCATTCCCCTATGGCTTAGTGTCATTACAAAGACATCCTCTTTACCCTCTTCTTTGGAGAGGGCAGTAAAATAAGCTGTTCCAGCAGTGCTGCAGAAGTAATTTGGTTGGTGTCTCTTTATTTTATAGTCCTGCTTGCAGGTGGACTTTCCAGAGCGCTCTCTACAGCTTGGGAGTGAATAATGCCCAGCCTTGTTTGCAGCCTACGCTAAGTGTTGAACCTAAGGAAATGATAAGAAAGAGACTTTTTTATATTTATCTACCTATGTTGGCTTGAAAAAACAAAATTAGAAGAAAAATATTTTTGTTCTTCTTACCCAGGCTTAGAATTTAAGCTTTAAGGCTATTTGGAATCAAGAGTTAGAGCGCGTCTGTTTAGTGCTGTGCTGTCAACTTGGGGTTGGAACACCAGTGTCTGTCTGTGTTCAGATGGATGCCAGGTAGCTCCCTGGCAAGTACAACTTTACACTTGACTGGATATGCCTTTCTTGTATATGCTCCTTTTTCCCCCTAAGATTTACATATTCTTGTAAATTTGGTGATTTTCCTCTCAAGCACTGTGTAGTGGATTTAGACTTTTGTAAAATCTATCAGCCTTTCATTGGAACATCTCTTCTCCTTTCCATAGCTGTTCTGTTTTCTGAACAGAGGTAGGCAGGTCCGTGTTGCAGCATCATTGTTTTGTAAGTAGAACTAATGATCGCTTACACCATGAATCTGCGTGAGAAGTAGGTGGGTGCAAGCTCTCTGGCTTTATTTCTAAGACATGTGAAGCCAAGGGAAGACATGCTGCCCAAGTGGATGTGGTCCCACAAAAGAACAAACAGCACGTTGCTGTGTTTTAACCCATGCCCTTCTTTTTTATTTTTTGGGATAACATGTCAAAAATCTACCTTTTGGCCCTGTGTAAGTGGATGTCCACCATTCGCAGAGGGGCTATTGCTTGTAGTGGTGTCAGTTCCTTATAGTCTGCAGCCTGGTGCTTCTCCAGGTATTACGTTCCATTCAGATTCATTATTTCACTGGTGATAGTGTTTGTTATGATTTAGTTGTACTGGATTTCTTTTTTTAACTTTTATTTAGTAAATATAAATTTCCAAAGTACAGCTTATGGATTACAGTGGCTTTTCCCCCCCATAACTTCCCTCCCACCCGCAACCCTCCCAACTCCCGCTCCCTCTCCCATTCCATTCACATCAAGATTCATTTTCAATTATCTTTACATACAGAACCTCAATTTAGTATATATTAAGTAAAGATTTCAACAGTTATACTGGATTTCAAATCCTTATTTGGATATCATCTTATGAAATAAGTTCAGATAATCTGAGTCCTTGATAAAACAACAGTTTCTAGAAAGCCCATTGCCAGGGAAACACACCTGGGACCTTGGGCTTTCACACCTGTGTCACCAAAGGTGCTACCTTCCAGGTGGTCTAAGTCACAAGTTAAAGTGAGGCTGGCATGGTTTTGTATAAACAGGACGAAGCATCTGTGCTCACGAAGAAGTGGAACTGGGGTGCTGCACATGTTCCAGAACTCTCTGAAACCAAATCAGAGGAACATTTTCAGTTTTTCTCAACAGAAAAACATTTGAATCATGAGTTTAAGGAAATTTTTTTCATGCTTTAAAAATGTTGCCTTTCTCCAGAGGTGGAAAAGTATGATGAAAACCTCCATGAAAAGACAGTAGAACAAGGCGGGACACCAGTTCGCTACTACTTTGAAAATCTCAAGATCAGCATTCCGCAGATCAAGCTGAGTGTGTTCACCTCCAGCAAGCTGCCTCTGGACCTTAAGGTGAGCGGAGCTGCGTCTGGGAGACTTTGTGCAAGTGATATTCCCTGGAAGGAGCGAGTGTGTTTGCCATGTGCTTGCTCGTCCAGCATCAGTATTCATTGCAGATATTTTTACAGGCTGCCTTTTTTAGAAGGTTTATTGACTCCTATGTATTTCTGTGTTTTTATTGGATATTTGAGTATGACTTTGGTAAAGATCAAGCGAGTAACTGAAGAGAGTAAACACAGGCAATTATGTAAAACCCGTCTATTTTTGTGTTGTTCCTGTCTCCCCAGGGGAGGATAAAAGCCTGTGGTTCCTAGGGGTGCTCCAGACTCCAGGGACAAACCAAAACCAAGGTGGTGTTTCTTCCTTTTGTGCTCAAGACCTGCTTGCTCTCTAGTTCTCTCTTCCTCTCTTCTGTCTTTGGAACAGTTGTCGCTGGGAATGTGTGCCCCCGGGCCTGGGGCCACACTTCTGCACACTTGGTAGAGCCTCCACACACCTTCATCTCAGCAGTAAGATGTGTTTTAAGGAAGGGAGCGGCTGGGATTCAAATCCAAGCCTGTCTGACTCTCAGTCTTTGTATTTTTTGCTATACTCTGCTGCCCCCTAGAACACAAGGAATCAGCGAAGTTTAGTCTTAGGAGGCCTAAGCAGGCAGGGAAACTGAAGGTCCAGACCTGTCCAGGGCGTTCTGGAGCAGATGTGGAGCCAGGACACTATGAGGTCGTTCTGAGTTCGAACCCAAGGCCGCGCCTGGCAGCTTGCCCCCTTGGGTTCACGTTCTCTCCCCTGTTGTTCGTGAAGCTGGTTCGAGACCTCCTCCTCTCTATAACCACTGGTCTGAGCCTTCCCACCACCCCACGCTGCCTCCTCTGAGATGCCGTAGGATGGTCTCTGAATGGGAACAAATAAGGAATAAATCTGGAGTCATAAATTCAGGTGCCCACCGGGGCGGTGCCAGCAGTGCAGTGGGGGCCGGTGCCTGCCGAGTGTGTGCACTTCAGCCGAAGGGGCCAATTGTTGTGGCAGAATGTGAACCCCGTGTTACCAGATCTTTAGATTTTTAAAGAGAAGCCGGAAATCTGGGTTTTTATGTGGAATCTCCTGGTTTTTAAATGCTGGCAACAAATTCAAGTTTCTTGTTTTCTCTTAAATCTTGTGGGCCTAACAAAACACACATGTGGGCCTCATGTGGCCCGTGGTCTGCCAGCTCACAATTTCTAAAATAGACTTCTAGGTACTGAGACAGTAGTCTGGTCAGCATCAGATCATATTTGGATAAGGATGAGGCAAGGGTGGCTGCTTCGTTGAGGTGGCAGACGGGCATGAGCAGCTGGGAGTGCCAGTGAGGCCAGGGGGCAGTGTCACCACTCCCGCAGCCACCCTGAGAACAGCATGGAGTGCCGTGCTCCGCTTGCTGCCCTGGCTGCTTAATTTGCTTTAATTTCATGTTTCCCAGGAGATTGAAGATACTTATAATTAGCATGGGAGTGAGGGGAAAACCATGAGAAAACCACTATCTTGTTAATATCCACAAGTATCCACTTGACTTATGTGACCCTTTGGAATGGGTTTGTTTGATAAAGTGTGTATTCCCCCAGAACACTTGGCACTCACCCAACAGACCAATGTTAAGCATTTCCTGCAAGTTGAGGGCTCCTTGTTTTTAAAATCATCTTTCTAAGAAGTAGAGATATCTTCCTGTTTCTTTCAAATTGCCTTCTGCAGAAAGCTTGCCCAGACTGACACGGCAGGGTGACACTCTGCAGGTGGAGTACTCCTGCCCCGGCTCTCTGGTATTGCTGCTGGTGTGTGCACTGTACGTCCAGTGACTGCAAAGTACTTACATTGAATGTTCTACCCAGCACTGTATTGGAGGAATATTTTCAAATCATTGTTAAACAAATTAAATGGAGCAGCCGTGTTATGAGGTGTGGGGGGCACGCTGAGTGCCATGAGTTAATGCTTCCAGCAGGGCGCTGGGAATTGGGACTGCAGAGTTAAATTCTCAGCTTGTCGAAGTCGCCGTTTTACTGCATAGAGTGGAGTCTGGGACTCATAAAATAATGTCACTTATTCAAAGAGTTTTCTAACAGAGTAATATCCCTTTATTAGTAGCTCTTAGAAAGGACAATATGCACTTTTAGATGAATATCTAACAGCTAAAATCTGTGCTGAGGAAGCACAGGAGCCACAGGAGTCTGACTAAAAGGTAACGAGTCTCTGGGATTGAAGGAATAATTGTCTTGATTCTCCCGACTCCTGGCAGGAGGGAGGCTGTCAGAAATCTCAGAGGGAAGTCTCCGCAGGTTTATGCTGAGGGCGTTGTTGCCAGGTACAGTGCCTGTGCGGAAGGCCTCAGAGCAGCCCCGCATCTGCTATCTCAGTTGGAAGGAGGGGAGAGCAGCGCCGGGTCACAGCTCGGAGCCGCCATTCCCCCTCCTTGGCTGCTCCATTATTCCCCCGAGAGTGCACGTCAGAGGCTGGCAAGCAGTGTCTAAGTGCCAGGTAGTTTCTGTGTGTTTGGGGTTTTTTGAAAGATCAAAAGAGGCCAGGAGCCTTTAAAAGGTTTCATAAGGTGGCCTACAGCAGTCCTTTTCCCATTTAGAGCATTTGGGTATTACAAAAGAAGGGCTTTAATTGAGCAATCTAGTTTGGAAGAAAACCCACATTTTAATGGTCAGAGTGAGAGGAAGGTGGGGGTAAGGGGGGATTTCAAACAAAGACACTATTTAAAAAGCCTAAAACTGTCTTCTCAAAGGCTTGAAATAATTTGTTGGGAAACTTCAGACCCTTTACTTTTTCCCTCCCCTCCCTAAATAAAAACCAGATTTGTTAAAAGGAAAAAAGATCCAGTATTGTTAATTGTATTTCAGAAAGTGCCAGAGAGGGAAATATCCCTGTTTTTAAACACTGTCCCACGAGGGAAATAGGCAAATACCCTGCTTCACATAAACAGTCTCAGTGTACCATAAATAAACCTTACAGAATGAATTCCAGACAGTTGTGTTTAGTGCAGGATAAACCGAGGAAGGAAAGGACGTGGCCCAGGGAATAGCTCGTGCTCTAGGCCCGCAGGGCGTGGAGACAGGTATTCCTTCTTTCAACTCTGCAGAGTGTCTGGGCGACTTCAGCAGTCTTTGTCTGAGGAGGTAGGAATAGACAGCTTTCTAATTTTTATTAGGAACTTACGAACTCAGAGTTGCTCTCTCCAGAATCTGTTTCTAACAGGAAACTGTCTGCTACTTAAGTAAATAAGCGTCCCCGTTGCATACTACTGTGTTTGATTAGTCCTTCAGTTACCCCAGAAAAGGCCCTGTTGGCTCTCTGTCCCATCTCTTTTAATGACCAGGTCCACCTGAAGGTGGCAGAGTAAGGCATGCAAACCACAGGCTGCGGCTGGGCTCCTTCAAATGCGGGAGGCCCCAGAGCTGGGTGAGGGTAACTTCTGCCTCAGGCCAGAATCTGTCCTTGACTCGGACAGCGCGTCTCAGTCACCCAGCAGAGGACGGTGTCTCGGACGGAGAGCCTGACAACTGCTAGAGGTTTCAGAGTCTTTGCCACCATGTTTGGCTCTGCAGTGTTTGGTTGCAATGAGGAAGTTGGGGTAAAAAAGCTTTTCACCTTAAGCCTTTGTTTTGATCTCATTTCCCCTTCTCTGAGAAGAAAAGTCACGCTCAGAGCTGTTTTGGCAAAACAAAGTGCTGAACTGTCAGCGCCCGGCTTGCCCAGCGCACTTCCTGCCTGGCTGGGAGAGGAGCCGCTCAGCTTCTGAGCTTCAGTCTCTGTCAGTGAAATGAGGAATACAAGGCCGGCTTGCCGACATCATCATCACTCGTCACGAGGACGGGGAAATAGTGTGACCACTGTCTTTCTCGCTTTCAGCCCGGTAGCTGGATACTGTTGTGAAAATGAACGCGTTCTAGTCCGGGTCTACTGCTAGGGAGCTGCATGGCTTCAGACCATCCTCTGAGAGAGAAAGGAGAGGGGAAAAGACACGGGGTGTTAACTTGATTTATTTTGAGGATGCTATCATCTCTAATGTTTTGCTCTGTAATAATTTATCAAGAGATTATTGTTGCCTTCCACAGACGCCAAACCCAGTGATGTTTTTCTTTCCTTGTCTTTGTATTCCTGTCGTTTTCGGCGTTGCTGACCTCCCTGTTCTGTTCGTCTGTCCTTTCTGGCTCTGCCTTCTTTGTTGGTTCTCTGTCTTTTCCTAACCCATATGGTAAAAGGCCAGCTTCTTCTCTGAACCTTCTGGTCAAGTCACTTGCCTGTTGTTCATGCAGATGATTGGTCTTTTATTTCCTCTAATTTTAGAAGCTCTTTATAAAAGTTTTGCCTTTAATGAGAGTTGCTGCAAGTTTTTTTTTCTTCAGTTTGTCATTTTTTTTTACTTATTTGCTGTGTGTCTGTGTTAAATCATAAGAGACGTTAATTTTTAGTTAGCACATTTCTCAAACTCTTTTTTTTTTGACAGGCAGAGTTAGACAGAGAGACAGACAGAGAGAAAGGTCTTCCTTCCGTTGGTTCACCCCCAGATGGCCACTACGGCTGGCGCGCTGTGCTGATCCAAAACTAGGAGCCAGGTGCTTCCTCCTGGTCTCCCATGCAGGTGCAGGGCCCAAGCACTTGGGCCATCCTCCACTGCCTTCCTGGACCACAGCAGAGAGCTGGACTGGAAGAGGAACACCCAGACAGAACTGGCACCCCAACCGGGACTAGAACCCGGTATGCCAGTGCCTCAGGCGGAGGATTAGCCTAGTGAGCCATGGCGCCCGCCGTCGAACTCTTTATAACTGAATTTTGAACCATAAAAAGTTTTATTGTTTGGTTGAAAGAAATTTCATCTAGGGGCCATCTCTGTGGTACAGTGGTTTAAGCCGCTGTCTGGAGCGCCAGTGTATGGGGACCAGTTCAAGTCCTGGCTGCTCCACTTCCGATCCAACTCCCTGCTAGTGTGCCTGGGAAAGCAGTGGAAGATGGGCCATGTGCTTGGGGCCCTGCACCTG